CTTGTGTGTAATTGCTTGAACAGTTACATAATATGTGTCATGTCATATTTGCAGTCTCATTTATGTTTTTTATTTTTTGCTGTCTCTCTTGACAGTTAGAAAACGACCTGTTATCTTCTGAAACAAAACCTTTAACCCCATCTTCTAGCATAATATTCCTCGCTGTGACGTCACGCATTTATAATTTATGAGAAGAACGTTGCGTGCGTACGTTTGAGTCGACCTTGTACATACATATACAATGTGTTTCATATAGTTGCAATATCTTATTGAAAAAAGCACATTGCCTTTTTGTATTTTGAATTTCTTTTTTGCTCATTTTTTCCTTTTCTAATTCCTCTGCATAATGTATTATAATTTGAACAGAGTAATAGAATCTAGCAATACAAATAATAGCATTAGTAACATGCTATCCTATCACATACACACATTCAAAGCATTTTCTCTTTTCAATTACTGTTTCTTTAAAATTGTAGAAGAGAATTGTAAGTTTTATATTAATATATACATTGATATATATAAAATTTAGAAAATTATTTTGTACAAAATATCCATGCTAGATTATTTTTAATAGGAATGTAGCAAATTTGATGATTAAGAATTTGAAAATTTATTCAATTTGCTCGAAAATAAATCAACTAAATTCATGCATTTTGAAATCTATTTTAATATATCTATCTGATTCTCATTTGAGGATTCCAAAAGGATATCTATATTTTTCCTTCTTTGTACGATGTCGTTAGAAGTGAATGCACGTTCTTGCGGTTTTTCGAAAAAAACAATTTATTTTTTTTATTTTATTAGTCCTATGGCATGTATATATGAGAAAGAATCTCTTACGTAACGAAAGCCATTCGAAAAAGCGACTTATATTTATGTAATATAGCCGGAGGAAAGAGGGAGAAAGAAAGATACTTCTCTTTTATATATTACGCGATGATTTTTCATTGACATGCGGAATGATTCGAAGACGTTGATTCGAGCTCACAGCATAATGATAAATCGCCTCTAGCACATTTACCTTGATCCGTTAACCCCTTATTTCAAAAAACCTGCTTATTAAGTTTCTTGCATAGACATGACATTAGTGTCGCGATTGTACAGAGAGTTTGAAATCTAAATATTCTTATTTTTCAAAGGTAAAAAATTGTATTAAATATATAAAAAGATATCCAGATCTGTATGCAAATAGAACTTAACAAATTTCTTTAAATAAATAATTATTAAATATTATTCAAAAATTGTTATTTAAAAGCAAATATTAAAATTAATTCAAATAGGTTGTGTAGTTATGTATCAATTAATTATGTATTAATTTATAACTGTTTTTAAGCAACTTACGATTTCTTTCTTCACTGTTTTCTAATTTATTATATTTTCTAAATTAAAAGAAAATTAAAAGTAAATTTTCTAAATTGCTTGAAATAGTGTGAAGTAAAAATAAAATTGATAAAAGTATAAAATTCAAACATTACAAAATATAAAAATTTGACATATTTGAATCACATAAATAAAACATCAAACGTTTATATTTCTACAAATTATCTCAATGTTTTTATATATTGTTATGTGTTATTGTTGTATATTTTTATATATTATTATGTATTATACGATCCAGATAAACCAAGTTTTTACTTTGATCTTAAGCGCATTTTACCGACATATATATACATATACATATGTTAAACATATGTTAGAGAATGTTAGAGAATATACATATACATATGTTAAACATATGTTCGAGAAAGCTATTTAGAGAAAGTTAAAAAAGATTTTGTAAAGAAATATTAACTATTGAATCTAGAATAAGGAATCACAGAATATTTAGCAAAATAGCAAACAATAATGAAATAATAATTTCATTGAAAGGTAAATTTTGTTAAATATACATATGTATAAATAAATTATTAATATATATATATATAAATATATATAACATATATATATATATAACATATATATATATATATATAACATATATATATATATATAACATATATATATATAACATATATATATAAATATATATAACATATAAATATATATAACATATATATAAATTATTAATTAAATAATTATACACGATTTAATATATTATATTATTAATTTGTGGAAAAACATTAAAATATAAATTATTTTCTCGTAAATATGTAATTTAAAATTTATTTATATTTATAATTTTAGTACTAGAAAATAATTTTAGTACTGTACTAGAAAAATGTATCAAAATAATTGTTCCTGATATAAATGGTTTCGCATTGCGATATCTCGTAACCTCTGAGTTATTAGTTTTGTAATCTTGTTTCCTCTCTAGTGATCACTAAAACAAGATAGATAGCTTATATAATTTATACAGAAATTTATGATTCTCTAATATTTGATTTTCTATATGTGAAATATGTATATATAGGGTAAAAAATGTTTTAACATATCAGTTTGTAAGCGTATCGGAACATATATTTTGCGCATGTGCTTTGTTTCTAAATATTTCCGCATTATAAAGATTGTTGATTATTCGAACAACAATAGCACTGTTTCTAAAAGGAGAATAAAATGTTATCATTTTATTATTTGTTTCTCGAATAACCGATGGTTATCATACATGAGCATTTAAAAATGCGAGTGTCGAAATCTGTGCATATACCTTGAAACATGTGTAAATTTATGTACTAAGATATTTCTGGCCTTGTGTATATCCTCTGATTCTACAGCAAAGTGATCTTAAAATTCAATATTTTGGCCAAAGTGGTTTTAAAATTTAATCTTCTTTTATTCAAATTTTTAAGTTTTTATAAAAATAATTTTTAAAACTCAAAAGCACACATTCAAAAAAAAGAAAACTAATTATCTATAAGCTCTTTAATGAAAAATTTTATACGGTATTTAAAGAAACACATATATTATATGAAAATATCTATTTTTACGAGATTTATATGTATATTTTGCTTTATTATCAAATTTATGCATGCAAAATTATAAAATACATTTTTAATACTCGAAATCTTAAATATATAAGAAAGAAAAAGAGAAATATAATAATATATGCTTAAAATTTATGATAATATAACTTTATATGTTTATATATATACATATATTAATGCAATTTATAATTACAAATATGGTAATTTATGAAATTCGAGAATTAATATTTATTATATCTTTTTATATAGGAATTAAATGGACAATTTTCTATTTATTTCCAATTTCACATAATCTATCTAATATTCTAAGTTCCTTGTTATGATTGCATCAGAAATTAAATTGATAAAAAAAATTATATTTTAAATCTCTTTTATATTAGCAGCTACATAAGCATTCATGATAGAAATTTAAATAAGAGATAATTTTGCCATGTAGCGGTAAACAGTATGTATTAAAAAATATATGAGAATATACGAGGACTGGTATAAGAAAGATATAGAAATTGTTTTCAGAGTATATTACGGTATATCTATAATTATATTCAGTATATGTATAGAATAATATCATATGCTGTTGTGAATTAGCTTACAGAAACATTCAGAAATTTTTAAAAGCTTTTTTACAAATTACGTTAATGACAGATTTTTCTATTTAAAGATTATATGTTTTTTAATTTTAAAACATTTAAAACATTTTAAATCATCTTTACTTCAGAAATAAACAAAAAACAGCGAAACAAAAATATTTACTTCGAGACATGTTCTCAATAGTGTAGCAAATATTGCGATATAATTATTATTATTTAAAATTATATCAATAAATTATATAAATGCATCATCGATAAATGCGACTATGTTAATCTTGAGTATGTTATATTTGACGCATATGTATCGATAAATGATAAGAAAGAATGATAAGTGATAACAATTTATAATAATTTGATGATTTGAGCATATCGCATTATCATCATAAAATTATATTTCTTTTGAGCTTAAAACTTAAAAAAAAAACAACAAATATTTGACTAAAAAAATCTATTTTAGACTATTGTGAGACTGTATAATTCAGTCATGAGAAATAATTATTCTAAATTATCATAAGTTATGTTAAGTAAGTGTGTGTATATATATATATATATATATATATATATATATATATAGAAAGAGAGAGAGAAAGAGAGAGAGAAGGAGAGATTGATGTATTTTTAACTGCCCCTATTAATATGCAATTGCTGCAACTGACGGAATGTACTGGCTTTGTTGCACAGGCGCGCTTAAACGTTAATATTATTAACTGCAGTAAATCATTAATGTACACTAGAATGCATTTATTCAAATTTAAGGCTCAAGACTTTGATGATCCTCTCTATATATATATATTTATATATATTTCAATTTAAAAAAAAATTATGCTCTTGTCCAACATTTCTTTATATGTAATAATAAATATAATAAAAACATAAGAGGATATAAATGAACAATATATTTATTAGAAAATAACGAATAGTTTAATAGAAAATAATGAAATATATGTGATAACTAAAATATTTTTTTATATGATTTAATAACTTTAGTTACAAACTCGTGTATGAAGTATATATTTGGCAAAAGATATTTTATAAAAATAAAAATGTTCACTTTTATTACAAATCTTGTTACAAATCTCGCAAATAACAGGGCAAATGGAAATAATGTAATCGTATTATCATAATAATATCGTAGTGATAAAACACTATACTATACAATGTACAAAATGTATATTATTTATATATTTTTGTAATATATTTAATAGTAGCAAAACGCTGTAATATACAATCTATATATCGTTTATATTATTTTTTTATTATTTTTTATTTCTAAAAGTGGAAGAGTATCAGCGAACAAATGCTGTGGAAAATTTACTTATATACATATTTTACGCAGTTTCCAATAAGCAGAAATAAATTCTTGGATTAATATCAGATAAAATTAAGTTGCTATTTTATGCGTGTAAGAAAAATAATTGATACGTCTCACGCCGCATAGCAACAGCTCGCCAAGTTTTTACGTCGTCTCTTCACGGTGGACTTGTTTTTGCAGGTACTAGGTAGGCAGCAGTATATCGTACGACCGATGATAATGGAGGAAAGTTGTACTTCTGGAACCGGTAGTGACAACCCAGCGATTGCCGGAAGTAGCGGTATTATTGGCGAGGCAGCGCTGGCACATGCTCCAGCTTTGACTGAACGAAATCTTCGAGAGTACGGGATACCTCTGCAACAAGCTATCGAAAAAGTATTTGTCATATCGATGTTAAAAAGAAAATAAAGTTAAAGTAACAATATTTGTTAGGATTATTATGATCAATAGAAAGAAAATAATTTATTAAAAAATTTATTTATTATTATAATTAAGAGAAACTTATTAGGAGAGTAAGAGAGAAAGATTTTTATTTATTATTCATTTATTTATTGAGAGAGAGAAAGATTAAAATTTTTTTATAAATCATTTGAAAAATAAATGAGAATTTAAGAGAAAAACATTTGTTTCTGTGATACAAACGATAAAAATATTATTACATTTATATAAAAAATAGTTAACAATTGATATAGAAAATTGTGAAATATTTAAAAAAACAGTTTAGATATTTTTAAAGATGTATGATTCCATAATAGCAATAGAAAGTCATTCAAATCAATGTGTATTGAATTTGTGTTGTCTGTAACATCAAATAAATAGACTTAGATTATGCAAAAAGTTAAATTATTGGCAAAATTTTTTACAGTTTTATTGGGGGGGAATATTTAAAATTAATATTTTTTTTATATTGATAACATATACTTTTGAATATTTTCTAAGAAATAAAAAACGAACAATTTAAATTTTTATTACGAAAATACTAAAAGTCAAGAGAATCAATTCGCATAGAAGGGAGATAGATTAAAAAACATGATAATAACGTCAACACTACTACGTATAAATGATGCAACTGTACCATTTTACATGTATAGCACAATGTTATACATTTTTGGCTGTTTTTTATATGTATTAATACACATTATTTCTTTAAAATGTTAAGATTATTTACACATTATTTTTTTTAAATGTTAAGATTATTTACACATAGGCCAGTCTAATTAATATATTTGCAAACTTGTACAGTTCTCTATGCAACACTGTGATGACGTTATGCTTTTCGTAATTTATTTTCTCAATACCGAAAAATAATCTATACCGTCATCATACAAAACTGTCGGACAAAATTCCTCAAGTCTGCTTACAACACTATCGGGGATTATCAATGGCGACATGTCTTGATCACGAAATAAATATTCCCTCCAGGCGAATTGACTCTATTTCTATAGCTATTGCCTCTAGTCTTCATGATTTTCACGAACGAACACAGAAATGTTTCGGTTATTATAGGCATTTATCTTTGATAATCATGTTTCGTCGTAAGTTTAGGTAAATAACATGTAAATGAGTCAATCCGAATGAAATTTTACATAAATGCTTGTGAAAATTTCATTAATATGTATAAGAAATTTAAGTCATATCATTTTTTAATATTTTTTCTGTCTTATATTTGTTAATAATTTTTCTAATAATCTCTCAATTTTTCGATTTTAAAGAGCCAATGCAAGCATAAAAATTAAACGAAAAGAGTCGAAAATTATATTTAAGTTTTGGAGATATTTAGAAGAAACAATAAATTTATTAAATTTATTAAATTTTCACAATATTTAATTGTGATAATGTGCAATATGTTACTTTTTTAAAATGCGCTTATTTATCATGGCAATAATACTAGTGATTACTGTTTTTTTGATAGTATTTAAGGCGTTAATATAATATGACAAATATAATGTAATTTCATATTGATGTTTTTTATTTCAAGTTTGAAGCTTGGTGGATCTCTATGTCTGGTGTCACATTCGGTGCTAAACCGCGATTCATCGTAGATGGCCAGGCGCCGATGAGACAATGTTTACATCCGGAAGCCTGTAACAAAGATATCGAGCTACCGGAACATTATAACTATTTCCACGACCTCCGGAAGGATTTCGTAGAGTGTTATTCGTCTTATGGAGAATTATCGACCCTCGGAATACAAGAAATGCTGCAATGTATCCTTTTAAATTTATGCAGAAATTGTTCTCAATTGTAAAAGCTGACTTCATTGCGTATTTTTCTTATTTTGTATCTTCTTTTCTATATACTTAGCAAATATTTCTAATTTCTTTCGTGTTTGATCTGTAAAATAGATGATATTATTTTTGACATTAATGCTATTTCATGCAACTGGTTAAAAATAGTTAATATATGTGTGTATTAATTTTCTCATCATAATTTATAATAATTTTTTCATCTTTGATATTCTATTTTAGAATATTAGATGTAAAAATTACGAGGTCATTTTTATTGGCAATTTTAATAATTTCTTTAACTTATCGCTACATTCTCAGGAATATTATTATTTTTAAAAATATTTTCTTCATTTTTAATTATCTGTGACTTAATTAGTCTCTTAACATTTTTGTTATGAGAAAGTCATTATTATAAAATAGTTAATGTGTATGAAATTTTATTTGATATAGGGATCGGTCTGTATCGATTCGCAATGCATTATGTTACAAAATTTTCCATAGTATTGTATGTTAATATCAGTCCACGTCATTTTTGTCGATATTGTTGTATTGATAACGGTTAAGTGTTCATGACGTGGTGGCATTTTACAATCTTGCGGTCTAACTTTGCGTAATGCATATTGTGGCATGACTGATGCAAAAAAAAATACATTTGTTGCATCGTTTGTTAATTTCTACATCCAAGACTTTCGCATCCCATAGCCACCAGACGGCGCGACGAAAGTCCGATTGAGACACTCGGTCTTCGACGATATCGTCGTCCTAACTGGAATCAGTAATCTTTGCGGTCGTATAAAGTACGAACGCGAGTCACATCGCTCCATTCATGAAGCAAATAAGATTGTGACGAATCTTCGACTGTCTTCACTCCATTTTTATACGAAGCGAGAAAATTTATCACATGGATCATATTTTGGATTAAGAAAATCAATCTTTGTAGCAGAAGGTCGAAACATCTTCCTCCATAGAGTGGCAGAAATTATTTTGGTCTCATCAACGCATGCATTTCAATGATGTTTGGAATTAAAATCGTAGATAGGTATGTTCTAATTTTGTCTCTGGAATTTGATGATTAGAAGATTGTATTCAAATATCGAATCATTAATTGCATTCGAAAAGTTTTTCGAAAAATAATCTCTTATCTAATTTCTCTTATCTATCAGTGCTCTTCGAGTTTGATAGATTTTTAATTTTCTAATTTTTTTAATTTTATGTTAATTACGTTAATTAAGTCAACCTGAATTTTTTATTTTTTTTTTATCAAAGTCACACCTCTGATTTGATAAGAATATCACTATCCTATCGCTCCTGTCGTTCTTATCACTTTCTTACATTTTATTCGTAAGGTATTTTATGGATGAAATTTATTTCAAGATTTTATATTCTCTCGATATACACGTATCAAAGGACATATCAAAATAATTTCTTTTCTCAATTCTTTTCTTAATTCGGATTTATGTTAGCTAAGCGACATTGATTTTCTTTTTATATCTGCACCGTGTTGTATCCATCTGGTAGTAATAAAATAAGACCACTTGTGCCGGTTCTAAATAATAGTGTACGAATATATACACATGTGCATACCGATTGGCTCATCGCTCACCTGTTCAATGCGTCGAGATTAGTCAATCCACATACAACTTGGATTTTTTACAAGCTTGTCACGGACACGTGCATACACGTTTATATTTAATATATAGTTAATATATTTACGTCTTTAAATAATTAGAAAATTTATTTCGAAGCAGAAGTCTGAAGAAAGAATTTGGAGCATATTTTTACTATCATATCATTTTCTATCTTATCAATTCTGTTTACAATAGTTTATTTTCCTCTTTTATATTTTATCAGTTTTATTTAGAAATTTCTACATGTTATTATACATTTTTTAAATGTTTTATTAAAAATTAGAAACTTTTAGTATTGTCAAGTTAATATAAGTATATTTTTATGTCATCATATCAATAGTTCTATATTTAATGATTAACATTATTTTTTAACAAAATGTTCAACATAATCTTCCGTTACTTTTATCTCAGTTAGAATTTCAAACATGTCATTTCAAAGAGTTCTTAATTTTCAATTAAAAAATATTGAAATATGAATTTTGTTTCCACGCAATTTTTCTTTCTTTACACATTTAACAAGACATATTTTTGGATCATTTCTTTGTAGTTAAGAAAAAAATTGCGAAAAGAGAAAAGAAAATATACTTACAATCAATACCGACCAAATGACTTGAGAAAACTTTGGTTTAAACGATATGACGGTCTTATCGAGACATAGTTTAAAGGTCAGCCCTATAGATATTAAGTGATGAATACACGTCATGTTTGTGAGTGTACGTGTAAAATGCACACAATTTCTTCGATTTCCTTCACGATTCCAATTTTCGATTAGATGCTCGTTTCTAATCTGTGATTCATATTTACATGACACTCGTGTTATCTAATGCTCACATTTACACTTATTTAGTTATTAGAGGATATTAAGTAACGTTCTTATTTTTCTTCTTATTTTTGCTCGATCATGTTGATGACATATTTTGTTTATCAAATTATATAGCAAAATTTATTATTTCTTTCGTTCGTTTGATCTAATTAAAGTTCCAAATTTTACTTCCTTTTATATATTAACATACACATATATTAATATATATTGATAAAATTGTTTCTGTATATACTGTATATAGTATTATTAATATATTCTTCTATCTCATTATGTAAAATTTATATGATTTAGGTCACATGCTAGAATCACATGCAAAGTAGCATTAATGTCATATATAATCAGAGTTCATATGAAAAAGAAACATATGTGAAAGATACAAAGATACAAAGTTGTGATTACATACTTTTATATATTTCATTTTGTTTGAAAATAATTATTTTTTCAGATAGCATTTTTATATTTTTTATATCATCTTTTAAAGAAAATGCAAAGTTATAAGTTTTTACATTTGTATTTGTCAAGAAACTACGAAATTATCTATACTTTCCTTTTATTTATATTACATTTACTTCGCATTTATATTTCGAATATTATTAACATTAATGAAGAGGTTTGACGGTAGAAAAAGAAAATGTAAAATTCTGCAAACGTTTTGTACGATTCCCGTTTCTGATAAATTTGAGTCAGCATATAGCGCAAAGGTCATATAAGAACTCGAATAATCCTGATCCAAGAGACTTCTTGAAAACGTAAGCGAATTATATACGCGCCAACATTACGATATCAAAATCGATTTTATCGTACTCGAACATATTTCTCCTTGACAATTGAAAATCAGATTTCGGACTGCCGCCTGATACTGACAATGATTTTCATGTCAAAGAAATAGAGGACATGTTGAGCGTGATACAGAGAATGATTAAAGATGGTAAGCTAATAAGTATCAGTTTGTCGAATACCGCAATTGTACGTGCTCTATCAATATCATGGGGATGCACAAAAAATATATCTATATTTCTTCAATTTTCTTAAGAAGAAAAAAAACAAACAGAATTTAATTAATTTAATTTATCTAATCTTGAAAGATGAGAGAAAGAGAAAGAGAAGATCAATTTATCAAAATATACCAATTTATGAAGAGAAAAAAATCTTATATTTTGATTTTGCAACATCTGCTTTCTTGAGAGCACATTATCTCTCTTTTTTTTTATTTTTTACTTTGCGTTTATATAAGATAAGAGTTACGTGCATACATACATATACACGATATAACATTGTGTATGCATTTCTCCAAATAATATGCAGTATGTTTACGCACGATGATGATGCCCTTGAAGATTGCAATAGCGTCGATAATTAAACTCTTGAATTATTCTTAAAAGAGCTTTGTGTAATTTTTTTGATTATGTGGAAAATATCGTCGGAATATATTTTCTTTAAGAAATTTGCTTTTTTTAAGAAAGAAATATTGCTTGTTTGGTATACCAAGAAGTTTTTCTAAATTTTTGATGAGATTTCGAGATTTAACAATTCAACTATTTCTAAATAATGGTTTTCAATTGTTGTACCTATTATATTGCATTCTAATATAATCTCTCTTCTAGCTACATCTAAGTAAGAGCGTAGGTCAAACTGTGTTTTAAGTTTACTGTTGGCGTATAGCTTTCTTATCACAGTGACACTCAACCTACTGAAAATTACGTCATTGACTAATATACACTAATACCACGTGCTATCGTGATATGTATGCGAAGAAGAAACTGATTGCGCTTTTGACACCGCGTATTTTTTTATTCTGCTATATTAATGAGATATACATTTAATAATAATTTAAACAACTAACGTTACATTAATAATATACATTAGTATATTTAAATCTCTCACTCTTTCTCTTCTCCTTCCTCTTAAAATAAAAACCTATGCATTATCTGCAAAAAAACATTTTTTTTATTATAATTGTCTTTAAAATTTATTATGTGACAAGTCAGAGGATATATTTGTAAAATATAATATTTATAATTTTAGCATTGTTAAAAAATATTCAAAAATATTTGTTTAGTAATTTTGAATACATATTTTTGTAGATAAATATTACATAATATAACATATCTCTTCAAAAACAATCCAAACAATGTTTATTCTATTTGCAAAACTTTGTTTGCAAATTTTTTTCTTATGATTTTTTTTCTTGTTATAATTTTTGATATAAATCCTCTATTTGTTGCATTAAAGGAAAAGTAAAGTACAAAGTTATTTACAAACGGACTATTGGAGAAATAATGATTGATTATTCATGTGCATTCCTCGAAATGAATTCTACTTGTCGACAGCACACATTTCGCTGAATCTGCGATTCGAATAATCATTTCGTGCAGGTATGAGAAAGCAGAGACACAAACTGACGGATATAGAATTACAGAGGAAACGCAATAAGCGCGAGTTCCGAAAGCGTTATCGCAAACTTCGAATCGACTTACGTTTGTAATACATTCTGATTTTGTTTTTACGCAGATTTCCATTCTTTGCCAGAGTATTTGCTAAACAACCTGTACCTTTCGTTAAATAATTTAAATAAATTCAACATTTGAAATGCGTACAAGAATTCCCACATGAATCATCAGAGTTTTATGTGGTGATATGTTAGATCTGTATTCTTGTTACGTTTCCTCACATTTTTCGCATTTTATATAAGGTAATCATTTATTCAATCGTTGGGTGGAGCTTGAGAAAAAAAAGAGAAGTGCAAAAAGTGCAGTGTAAACAGTACAGATTAAAAGAGTACAACTTTTATTAATGGGATAGTTCGTATATAAGTATATATATGTTCTATGGTGATATGCAATGCGTGGTACATGTGTGTTCGTATGCTCGTACATATTGTATATTTCTGTTAAACGTATTTCAGTTTGCTTTTATAATTGACGATTCGAGTAAAAGTGCATGGAGGGAAAAAGAATTACTCGAAAATTTGTCATTTCACGCATGTAAGCTCGAATTTGAACCCGCTAATAAATTGTTAAAAGATATATATTTCTAACGTTTATCGATTTCTAAGGTTAAATCATGAGATCTTTCCACAACTTTCCCTTTCTATGCTTTTTTTTATCATGACTTTTTTCTTTTTCACTCTTCAAGGTACACAAATTCACTCGTTTTATATGGTAAAAAATACAAGTTAAATTGCAAAAGTATATATTGCAGTTACAGTAAAAGACATATTTAACTTTGCAAACATATGTGTCCTAAATTTGTTTGAAATATATAAACATGAATTAGTATTTTTTTATTTATTTAATAGGTTTATAATTATAAAATAATTAAATATATGTATGTACATATTTTTCAGGTCACGTTTTTAAAAATCCAGAAGTAATTAACATTGTCTTAGAACCTGGTATATGGTAAGTTTATGGAAAATTCTATATCTTGATGTTAATTTTTATAATTTTGATTATTTGATCTAATAATAAAATTTTTATATTTAGTTCTAAGGATGAAGAGGTAGACAATGACTGTGTAGTAAGAGCACGTGGTCTTCCTTGGCAATCTTCGGATCAAGATATTGCAAAGTTTTTTCGTGGATTAAATGTTGCCAAGTAAGTACATGTAAATAAATACTCTTAAAATTCATGAAACAAAATCAAATACAACTAATGAAATGTATTTGGTTGAATCAAATTAATTTTCCTCTATATAATATATCTATTGGTATTTATGCACAAGCCACATGGATGTATGTGAAGCAGGTAATTGAGATAGTTGTATTTCTATAATGCACTTAAACGCACAAATATTATTCTAATTTTTTCTATATGATATAACAAGTGCAATTTGAGGAAATTTTCTTATAGTTATATATATATAGTGAGATAGCATTAGCACTATTCGGAGTTATGGATTTTATGTACACTATATGTACTCTAACAATAATTTTGAGAATTAAATGTCAGAGAGAATGTCTCTAATACTTGTCATACTTATTTACTTTATGAATTCTCTAACAACTATTTGTAATAAAGAAGCTGTGATATCACTGTGCAATGATATTCTAACAATAGTGTAATAACTTTTTTAGAGGTGGTGTAGCTCTTTGTTTAAGTCCTATGGGAAGACGTAACGGCGAGGCATTGGTACGATTTATTAATAAAGAACACAGAGACATGGCGCTGAAACGACATAAACATCATATGGGTCCACGTTACATAGAGGTTTACAAGGCCTCTGGAGAAGATTTTGTTGGCATTGCTGGCGGTACGAGTGGGGAGGCGCATGCTTTTCTATCACGTGGGGCTCAAGTTATCGTTAGAATGAGGGGCTTGCCATATGATTGCATTGCTAAACAAGTGGTATATAATTATTTAATAATTTCAAATTCAATATAAAATAATATAAAAGGATATATATTTTTTAAATATATATTTTACTCATTTTATTTATTATATGTACAATGTCAGTAATTTTTATATAGCTGGAATTTTTTCAATCCGGACAAAAACCATGTCAAGTGTTAGATGGCGAAGAAGGAGTGTTGTTTGTAAAAAAACCTGATGGTAGAGCAACAGGTGATGCTTTTGTACTATTTGCAAAGGAAGAAGATGCTGTAAAGGCTCTGAGTAAACATAGAGACCTTATTGGTAGTCGATATATAGAACTTTTTCGAAGTACAACTGCAGAAGTGCAACAAGTAGGTGCAATAAGCACATGAATGTTTTAACAATTAAAAATATAAAATCTCATATTTTAATTTTATTATATACAGGTCCTAAACAGAGCAACTGATCCAAAACAAGTAATACTACCACCACCACCTATCACACAACTTCCACCCTTGCTCCCTCAACATATCATTACTTCTGGTACACGTAAGGATTGTGTTAGACTTCGTGGTTTGCCTTATGAAGCGCTCGTAGAGCATATTTTGGAATTTATGGGCGAACATTCCAAAAATATCGTCTACCAAGGTGTTCATATGGTTTACAATGCACAGGTATACATTATATAATGTTTACGTTTCGGTCACAGATACTTTTGTACTGAGAGAATTATTCTATATATCTTTGAAATTGTTTTATCAGGGTCAACCGTCTGGTGAGGCATTCATTCAGATGGATAGCGAGGCATCAGCATACGCGTGCGCATCGCAGCGGCACCATCGGTATATGACCTACGGCAAAAAGCAACGGTACATCGAAGTGTTCCAGTGCAGCGGCGACGATATGAATTTGGTATTGACAGGTGCGGTAACACCGCCATCGACCAAGGCGCTACTATCACCCGGTACGTTGACCACACAAACTTCCGCGACCTTCACACATCCGTCTGCGCCGACAGCGATGCCGGTACCGGTACCGACAGCGCAGCCACCGCCATCACCCTTATGGGACCCCATTCACGCTCTGGCCCAAGCCGCGCATCACGCGCAAGCGCAGGCCGCCCAGGCGCAAGCCGTCCAAGCGCAGGCTATTAGGAATCAGGATTTATGGTTGATGGCTTTGGCGTCGAATTCGTGTCCTACCTCGACTACCCCCGCTTCGCCTTCGACAGCCGTCGCTGCCGCTGCCGCCACGAGCAAGTCCCTGGCTTTACAAAGCCCGAACCCGGTCGCTCATATTCCTGCCTATGCGATGGCATCTCCGACGGCTGCCGCGGTCGCGGCCGCTCATGTGGCGCTTCATGGACCATCGGCAACCTCAGCGGCAGCAGCGGCGGCGGCAACGCCATTTTTGCTTTTCAACGTTCATCCCCATCATCCCCGTATTCCTATTTTGCGAGCGCCGACGTCGCATGGGTTATTGGCACCAATTGCTATGGCCGCTACGCCGGCGTTAAATCCGGCCTCAATAATAAGCTTGAAACGAACGTGGGATGCAACTTTTCCTGCTAACGCGGCGAATAGCGTCGCCGCAAAACGCCCAACCTGGCACGCACCGGCCGCAGCGTTTCACGCGCCGGCTCCGACCACAACGCCCGGCTTGCCTTACCCAGCTCAATTTTATCCCCAGATCTGATGCATTATTGCATCTCTATATTCGGTCTCTAGCTTGTTTTTATATATTCTTCTAGGATTTCATAAAAGAAGAAGTATAATAATCATCTCGTCTCTCCACTGAGGATTCTCTGCTGGATGAGAATTTCTAATTTGTGCGAAATATATACATTCGCTGTTGCTACTATTGTTAAAGATGTCGCCAATTGTTACGACTTATTTTTTAACGGATTTATATATATATATTCTTAGCGAATAAATATTATTCGCGATATCTTCGTGACATTCCGTTTCATATTCCGAAGTTTAATAGGACGTCATTTACAACGTTTGTTCAAATAATAGAAAATACTAATCACATTTTTTGAAATGTTTTTTTTTTATAAATATTTGGACGTTTATTTATACAATGAACTTAAAATGATTCCGCGAAATCTGATTTATTTTTCTTATCCTAATGCATTTAGGCAGCAAACTTAATTTTAGTAAGCATATTAATTATATTGATATATATGATATAATTCTACTTAGCATATATTCTATATGATATAATTCTACTGCGCATATATTCTTTTTTTTGTAATTCACGGAGAATTCGTGTTCACAGAGTGCCTAAGAGAGATCATGTCATAGAAAATTCACGTTTAAAAATTTACGTGAATGCAAAGTGCCTTATTTAAAGTAACATAAACATATATAAAACATATTGCCTAATTCTCTAAATTTTATGTATATGTATTTTTTGCATATACATATTATAGAGTGTTTCAAAATTATCATACATACGTCAATTACGCCAGTTTCTGAATTTTATCAAAAATTAATAGGTTTCTTTGGAGCACTAAAATTATTGTCAAAGATACTTTTTACTTAAGACTAAACATATTCTCTTATTGACATATCAGATATTAAAGTCTGTGACTTTTTGACTAATTGTTAAAAATTTTTGTTGATATGAAATATAACATTTTATGCTAATTATTTTATGTTATAATTATGATATTGTTATTTAATAATAATTACAAATACTTATGACTTTAATGTCTGATATCTCTTAATAGTATCTGCAGTGCAAACTACAGAATAAAAAATATATTTAGTAATCCAAAGAAAACCTGTAAATCGGTCAGAGATACAATTTATATTGCATGTGTATATGTATATACATATATACACATACATATACATTTTTTCTTTGACAACATTGATTTTTTTGGATTACTAAATATACTCTGGTGTATGCGCGTGTGTAATAATTTATATATATTTTGCTAGAAATATTTTTACTATAGTATGTAAGTGTATTAGTAAACATTCCATACGATATTACATATTTGGAAACTCTAAAATAGTATATATATATATATATATATATATATATATATATATATATATAGCAGATTCTTTTATACACGTTGAATTTATCACGCGCGCATGTATGTTACAGTCTGTGTGTGTATATGTGTGTAAATAAAATTTCACTATAAATTATACGCGAATATGAGACAGTTCACTGTTAATTAATTTCGAATTTGTCTTTCTTTTTTTTCTCTATAGTTGTGACATATAGTTGTGACATATAAGTTTCATCTTGAACAATTACTATATATGAATTAATTTCTAAGAAGTTATATGATTAAATTAATTTCTATTTACACACAAAACTTAATTTGCTCTATTTTATATATTTGGGCAAAAATATGTACACGCACGTATATGTAGCGTTTATTGCACTTAATACATATCATGTGATGTGTATTAGTATATTCGTTATTAATTTAACGAACATATTGACGTATACGAAAATGATCTACACCATTAATTCAATCATGTATAACGGGATATACTGAGTATGTGTGTGTATGCGTGCGTGTGCGGGCGTGTGTGAGTGTGTATATGTGTATATTAATATTCGGATTGGTTTGGAAACTATCCGAGATAATAATGGGGAACGAAGACAGTGGAATTAAACATCGGTCCTGTACGCTCACGCGGCTTGTGATTTAACTGTGGTGTCGGCGGTATTTACTCTTTCATAGCTATGACTTATGGCCTTTAATACTTTTGTGATGATGTAGTTGGTAAGATCATTGAGACACAGATGGATAGAATGATGTACTATAACTGAGCAACGGCTTCATCGGAAATGCACCTTACCGATTTTATTCTTGTAGATGGCTGATATTATATATACATAGATATACGCACTGCCATGTCAATAACTGAGAACTTTCATCATTGGTATCGTAATTAACGCCCTTCAAAAGAGAAAAAGATAATGATCCTCACATGCGTAGTCGATCTTGATTTTTTTTGCACGGATCGCAAACTATTATTTTAGTAATTTCACTTCTTACTCTTGCCACGTTTTTTTATCAATATTACTAGAATAATAGCTATGTAGATACATCGATATGAGAGAAGCGGTCGTTATTATTATTCCTCTATCTAATATTCACAGATATGCGGTTGTGGCTGTACGTCATGTGGTTTTGTGGAGGAATATATTTTCCTCCTATATTTTAACTATTATTTCGCGAAATACGAAATTTTCGTATAACGCATTCTTGGTCTTTTTTTCAGTCTTTCCATATATATATTTTTTTATACGACGTTATAAGTTGATAACTTATTTCAGGAATCATTCTGTACAAGAATGTTCTCTTCGCTCTTCTTTCTCTCAAATCATCTCATAAGTTTTTCCATTTTACAACGCGTTATGTAATTATTTTACTTTCCACAAGAAAGAGACACAATAAAATCATATAGTATTGGAACCAAGTATAATAATAATAATATATATTATTATTACATATATTATTATTACATATATTTTCATTATATATATATATGTATATATATAATCTTAGTTTCATTTTCATAGAATAACTGTAGAAAAGTATCTGCCCCATTATGTATATTATTTTAAATCCAGATTTTTGTCTATTAACGTATTCATTCGAGAAAATGTATTACTTGAAAATAATTGAGGATCATTTCATTTTTTTTTAAAGAAAATGAATGTCGAGCATAATTACACAGTAAATAATTGTTCTTTAATCTCGGGCTGCTCAGAGTGAAATGACTATCATTCAATATTACCTATAACTTTACAAGAAACCACAACAAATAAGATATAATACGCTATTAGTTGTCAATAATTGGACAAAGGAAAGAAAAATTTTCATAATAATAATGAAGATGCAATATTGTCAATCATTTTGGTTAGCGTCCCGGGATTACTATATAATTGGATCGTGCATTTCTGAAATCCTGAAAAATATCGGGACCACACTCGATTCGACTTTACATAGCATTATCTAATTCTTATCATAGACATAGCAACAGCGAGACGATGCGAAATGGACTGGTATGCAACCAAGTCAAGCTATTTGTGTAGATGCAAATATCGGATACGTAGTGGATGCAAATAGAACGATGAGGGATCTCGATATACACTAATAATGTCATTTCCGCATCGTTCCATAGGGGTGCATCTCGGAGTGTTTAGTATAAGTGTTTAGAGCGCGCGCGCAAATGTTCTAAGCATAACAAAATAATTAACATGCAACATAACGAATATGTACACATACATATTATATATATAAACACATATATTTATAATATACACATAAAAATGCATGCATACATACATACATATATAAATATACATGCATATATATATATATATATATGTATGTATGTATGTATGTATTTATATTATTGGCTTGAAACATATATATATATATATATATATATATATATATATATATATATATAGTGTGTTTTGCAAAATCGACGGATGTCCATTTAATAACACAATTGTTTGGTCAATTTTAAATAGATTTTTCTTTAGCGGTAATGTTATAGAAAATGATCATTTATTGCAATTTACTTTTTTTTAAAGATATAGGAAATTCAACACACGCACGTAGTATATACATATTATCTATGCATACGCACACTCACACATGTGACATTTCAGTATAATCTCTCTTTTTTTATTTCCTGTATACACTCTGTATATCGATTTTATATCGATGGTCGAAAACGATCATGTTTAATAAATGTGCCTTGTGGAGATATATATCTTTTTGCTTGCCGGGCTGGTGGACTCTTACCCTGAGATTATATTACCTTGTCCGATGGTTGCACTTTTTGCGTATTTCGTTTCCCACAATGCGTATTTTTTGCGTATTTTGAGTGTGGAAAACATAATTTTTATTTAAATAATAAAATTAGGAAGAACAGTTTATCATGTAGACTTTAAGATCATTGAGCGATCATAACTCTTGTTCCAAGAAAGATCAGCGAAGATTGCAACCACTATGTCTTACTACGTTCTATACATTTTTTTCCATTGGGCTCACAGGTATCTTGGTATTTACAGATCACACACAAATTGGAGATTTCTATATAACTCTTTCTCTCCCTCCCTCCTCTCTCTTCTTTCACTCTCTTTCCTTTTTTTCTCTCTACTCCTTCCCTCCTTTTTCCCTTCCCTTTTTTTGGATGGTTCTCTTTGTTTTTTTGTTAAATCTTCCTTTTTATCGTGGTTTACTCTTTTCTTCCTTTCTCTTTCTCTCTCTCTCTCTGTTTCTCTGATATTTTGTACGTGAATCTTCTTTCTCTTTGTTTCCAGTCGGAAGATGAAAGATTCTCTAACAATAAGTGTCTCTCTCTCTCCTCTCACATTTGTTTACAATCGCTATTTTTGAGATGTTAGATTCTCAATTTATTAAAATTGGATGTGGTCAATGCCTAATGAGTCATTGCTTTTTGCTACGCTGATCATTCCAGCTGTGTTGATCTATTTATTTAAAGACTAATAGTAGTCTGCCAAATCTTATCTGTTTTTCACATCGTATATTATACGTTTTTCTTCTTGCAAATTACTTGATGCAATACAAAACCACGTTAAATTGTGTAACATTTACGATTGATTATTCACTTTTGATACATTATATTCACAATAATTCCATTAAAATAATTTCTCTCATATTTATTCCTTTTGTTTGATATAAACTATAACTGTAAAATAAATATATATATAAATACTTGATGAATGAGACCACTGAAAAAAATTCTATAGGAGAAAAAATTTTTTACTATATTTTACAGGCTAAAAGAGAAGAAACTATATAAGCCATACTTATAACAATTGTTAAAATGTTGCGTACAAAGGGGCTTTTCTGCTTGGTGAAAGAGGGAAAGAAATGAGAAAGAGAGAGAGAGAGAAAGAAAGAGAGAAATAAGAGAAGGAAGGAGAGAAAGAGAGAGAGAGAAAAATGAGGGAGGAAAAAAAGAGAGAAAGAGAGAGAGAGAGAGAATCTGCGTGTATCTGATTATTTGGCAGTGGGGCGAAATCACAAGTTGGTGCTGCATTACATATATTATACACATACATAATACATGTATACATACATACATACATAGATATATACGGATACACATTATATATATACTTATACATCGTGTTACAATGGTGCAGTGTCGATTTCTGTTATGGTAGCGGGATCTACAAATACTAACTTCTGTGCTTCCAGGTAGGCCAAGTCCAAGTCATTATTCCTTTGGATATGACTGCGCTTTTGTACGTTCTGGGCAGGATAAACAGGAGGCTTAAGGGAGATTATATTTCATAATATTGAATGTGCATTATAAAATACTTTCTCTAATACACAATGAGCTATTTAAAAAATTTAAAATACTGTCTTGCTAAATCGTGTACTCTATGTTGTAATCTAATTAATTCAATTATAGCGCTCCGTGAAATATTTGCTCAAACCGTACAAGACCAGTCTAATTAAAAGTGAAATCGTGCAGCGTACGAACTTAGGAAATCTTAGTGGTCATTTTCCACTAAAAATTATTCACTATTAACTTTTATAGTGCGGACAACGCTGTTGTGTATAGTCGATTGTATTACTGGCGCATTACTGGTACTGAATAATGAAAACGCTTTGTGTGCTTCTAGAAACCTCTGCGGATCTGCACGATGTCACTACTCGTCGTAATTGTGGAGTGGTTACATAGTGGGCATTTTCTTCTTTACGTTTGTACATACATAACGGACAATCATGGGTACTAAGAGAGAAGCTCTTTTTCTGAACAATAAAATTGAGACGCGATATTTTGATTCATGATTTACAAGAAGAAGAAGTCGAAGAAGTCGTCCGCGAGTCGCGATTAGAAACAAGTATCCGCGAGAATCGCAAGGAAATTATAAATCAAACGAGAGTCTATTTTTTTTTCATTTACTCGCGCGTTGAATTTAATCGAGCTGGTTAATTGGATCATCTCCCAATTGTGTACATTGAATCTTACACGTTTTCTTTCTTCTATAGGAGGCACGATGTTGCCACCACCGCCAGTGGCGATATTTCCGCCAGCTACTGCGATGCTGCCTCGCGCTCCACCGCAATTCGCGGCACCGTATCCACCGCCTATTTTTTATTGGCCTTATCCTTCACCGCCAGTTAGTCCGACTAATTATTACACTCCAAATGTCGGCGGCATCGCACAGATTCCTCAACAAGCGGCTCTGGTAATTAAAACCTTTACATTTCTTTTAGTTTAACAAGAAAGAGAAATAAAAAATTTACTATATAATTTATCCAGGATGTCTACTCCTTGGAAAAATAAACTTGACATATTCACAAATTTATTTTATGCTTGGAAAAATCAGAATATTCTTATGAAATGATTGGAGTTTTTTTCAAAATTTTCTTTAATTTTGCTTTAATTATAAGCAGTCGGTCCGCCAAGTTAAATTATGTGTTTAAAATATATCTGTCTTTCTGTTTATATATTCAATGCTTTAAATCACATATTAAAATATGCAGTATATATAAATATAAATTATAATCTATAATATAAATTATAATTTTTAATGATCAAAAGTGGAAATGTTATGCAAGTGAAAAATGTTTATAAAAGTTATTTCTTTATCTGTTGTAAATCTAGCACTTGAAACTTAAGAAATTCTGTTTTCCTTATAAAAAGTATGAAAAAATGTACATAACAAAATATTATTTAAAAAATTTTTACACAAAAAAGTCTAAAATATTTTCTTTAGCTGGAATTTTGAACAAAAATTCCTAGAAAATCAGGAAATTTTTTTCCTAGATTTGACCTTAGATACCTTATTATCACACAAAAAGATATAAATTTACAAATATTTTATCATTTTGTACTGTATGTATATAAATTAAAATATTTATTATAACTGTGCAAGAGTTAGAAATTAAGTACATTCTTGTTTGTACTTTTCATAGGAGATACTTGTTCAATTTTTCATGTTATGTATTTATAATGAATTTTTACGAATCATTTTTATCATTATGTATCATGTTTTTTTCAGTTAGCCCCAGCTGAATGTCTACAATTAGCATCCGGGGCTACAACGCTACCAACAACTACATCCACACCAACAGGCCTCGACACATGTATCGAAGCGTATTTACCGCGGGTGGAGTTGGAAAAACGAATGGCTGCGTTACCTCCACCGCAGACCGAGTGCAATCCTTTCATCGAAGTTTTCATGGTTTGATTTTCTCGCCCGAGTCTTCTCTTGCCAATCGATTTCTGATTCCTTGTTTAAGTATGCGTATTCCCGAGTTCGTTAGCATGGCGAGAAATCGAACCGTTGAAACATTTTACTTGATTCATGGAAAGATCATTATTTCACAAAAATCTTTACAGGAATCCTTTCAGAATGGATTCTATTCTCGCGTCGTCGACGAGACGTAGTCGACGATTTTTAGAAACAAATTTTGAGCAGCGTCGTACATTGCTGACCTAGATAATATGTACGTCGTATATACGATGTGTATGTGTGGCAAAAGTGCAAAAGATGCAATTTCGTTCTTCGCGTTTTTCCCCAAGAAAGCTTCCCTTGTAAATCTTCGACGCACTGTTCGTTAGAACGGCGTATTTCTTTCTAGTCTAGAGATGGATAGGAGCCGTTGTAGCACGTTGCAACAGCGGCGTCGTTCTTTTCTCGTTGTTTGTTCCGATTTCTCCGGGGATGAGACGAACCGTGCATTGCATTTCCTTCCATCCAATCATCCTTTAAAAAAATTTTTTTTTATTACGTTGCTCTCACCTTTTTCTCGTTGTGACAGTAGTGATCCATGCATCGTATACTTCGATTCTTCGTCGTAGTTTGAAACGAGTTTAAAGAGTTTGCGGGATTAAAGAATCGAGTAATCGATTCAGGTGCGTCCCGCGTTATAAAAATATATACACAAATTATATATAATTAAATAGATTGTAAATAATAATTATATTTGTGACGATCACGTATAATCGTATAAGCGATTGCATCTATAACATTTAGGCTAGATTGCATCAATATTATTTTAGATTTAAGCGAGACTTAAATATGTGTCCATCTTCATCTTTCCTTCTAAATAATTAAAGACAGATATATATTTAAATCTCGCTTGAAGTCAACATAACGTTGGTGCAGTTGAGTCTTAAAAACGTAATAAAGTGCAGCGCACTTGCAAAGAACGTAACATTCATACAAACGCGTTTGATTTATATGAATAAAATAGTCTTTTTATAGAATCGAATTTAAAATTCTATTCATTATACGGACTATGCTCAGTTAATTTTCTCCATTTCAAATGTTACGTGTGCGCGCGTTACTTGTTTTAGAATATTATATAATATTTAATTTAAAGAATTTTTTAAGAGGTAAGAATTCAAATGGTGCGTGCGCGTGTTGCGTACGTATGTGCGTGCGTGCGCATATTTTATCGATTATTTTATCATTTTCGCTTGCGAATTCGAAACGCTTTTGCGTGTTGTACATTCCCCCTCCTCCTAAACATCCGGTCTAAGTATCTTTTGATACGCGTATGTTATTAAAGAACGACAACGCACGTTTTTCTTTTTTTTACGTTAAAACAGCAAATATTACAAAAGTCTTCCGCTAGTTTGTCATTTTTTTTCAAGCAAATTACGCGATTTCACTTATTAATTCGCGTTCATTATCGAGATTTTGAGAGATATGTATACTATATTAATACATATTAATCGATCACAGCACATAGCGTACAGTGACTTCTACAATACAATATACACATGTGTATGTATGTGTGTATACATGCGTGCGTGCATGTGTGCGTGTGTATACGCTCGCGTGCGTGTATTTGCGTGCGTCGCATGTATGTGTGTAGAAGTATGTAATATAAGAAATATCGTTCAAAACTTATAGCATTAAGTTAAAAATATGGCTACGAGAAATTAGCCACACTATATAGCTCAACTATATGATTAGTTTAAATTTATGTATGTGAATTTAGCCAAGTTGGTTCGTTATAGTGCGATATCTGGTTACTCTCTTCCTTAACTTTTATGCGAAAGAAAGATAACTTATTAATATCGCGATATAGTCTTTAATGTTTCAAGTACATATGTGCAATGTTTCAATGCTATTAAGTATATAGTAACTTAATACCGAAGTTATTTTCGGATTTACATCATCATCATATTCATTAGATCGTTCAAATAAAAGCGAAATAAACATCCTTAGAAAAAAATAATGAATTTATTTTGGAATAAAAATTTATTTTGAAATAAAAATTTATTTTGACAAAATTTAAAGCTTTGCTGAAGAAACTTAATAAATAATAATATGAATTAAAAAACCAAATGCAATTCACAGAGCAAATATTATAGCAAATTTACTCAAACGATTACAAAAACAAATATAGTTCAAAAAATATATAATACATATGTTTCGGTTCTGATCTGAAGTCTCTTTAGTGTGTGTGAAGTGTAAAATGAAACAACTCTTCAATGCATAATTACAATAATTACAAATAATCGATTATTTAAATTTTTTATAATGTATTTGCACTGTCAATTGCATTTGATGTTTTAAGCTTACATTATTATTTGTTGAAATAAAAGTTTCAAAATGTATATTTTTTACTACAAAATATATAATTTCTTTGTGGAAATATTAATAAAAATTCGAAGATATATCAATACTATCGAGAAAATAAAATTATAATGCGCAATCTATTTTTATCTTTTATATCTTCTCAAGTTTTTTTTAACTTTTTTTATAAAGTTTTTATAGAAATATTAGCTTCAAGCGTAAATAAATGTTTCAATATTTTTCAGTGTGTTTATTTCGGCATTTTTATTTGTACGATATGATCCATTTTCTATTTCATTTAAATCTAATGAAAGTGAAACAATCACTAAATATCATGAGCGAATAGATTTAGTTTAGTGCGTGAATTTCCGCTCCCCTTCTTTTTTTAATCTTTTATGATAATTTTCGTATCGTATGCGTTTTAATATGCTGATCGATTCTGATGAGCGCGACTTAGGCACAATGTTTGCGACTCCGCATTCAAATATGAAGTGTATATTCGGAGTTCGTGTTCGTCGTGTTGTCGTTACCGTACGTGTGATCATGCACGATTGGTGTGCAATAGTTTTATAATATATCTCTTCGTGGTAACTTGTGCAATAGAGATCAAGCCGGTGCTGCCATTGCCTCCGATGTTGAGAAATGCTAAATGGTGAAACGATAAATCAATTTAAATTGATGCTCGATTTAACGCCGAATTTGCCAAATAAATAATATTTACTTGTTTCTTTGATAAGAATGCATAAATATATATTATTATTAGATATATGTATACATGTGTATGTATACACACATCAGAGTTGAGGAAGTTACTTTATAAAAATAATTTATTATCGTTATTCAAATAATAATGAGTCGTACTTTTGTTACTTTTTTCTAATGTTAATACAAAATCAAATTAAACACTTAAATTATATTTTCAACTTAAACACTAAAATTTATATTTTTATTTTATGTACAATTATATAACAAAACTGATATAATTTTAATAATGATATCACTTTGAATATAAAAATATTTTAAAAAGTTAAAAAAATTTTTTGAATTTTTTAAATGTAAAATGTAAGTAAATTTTTTAATAGATTAAAATCGCTTTCTGTACATTTTTAATCTTGTGCAATTTTAAAATCCTAACAAGATATACTATACTAATTTTCATAATCTTGAATTCTTGGCTAATCATTGAATCATTAATCCAACTTGATGTTTTTTACAAAATAAAGAGAAACAAAATACTAAAAAGAGTTTTTATAGAATTCTGTACTTTTGTACAACGCTTTTGATTAATGTTTCTTCATGAAAATTATACTGAGTTTGTTTGAGTAAATAAAGATAACTTAAATTTGTTATTCTCGTTTCCAAAAAATGCAATTTTTTTTGTTACAAATAAAATTTGTAATACCGTTACTTCACAGCTCTGATACATAGAAGAAGAAAGAGAGGAAAAGAGAAAGAAAGGAGGAAAATGAGAAAAGTGTGTGATAAAGAATTAAATCACATAAGAACAGAGATTGTAAATAATTTCTTTTCATGACAGATATATACATGTTTAGTTAAAGTCGCATATAGGCTAACGCTAATAAAGTACAATTTAATTGTTTTTATTGATTGCAAAGATATGATATACAAATTTAGTGTCTTTATAGGCAGTAATGATGTGTGTATCTAAATGCATTCAGCAAACAACGGAGGTACTGGACGATCTTGATATGTGTATGTGAACTTTCTCATATATATATATATATATATATATATATATATATATATATATATAATGGAGAAAATTGTATGTATGTGTTTACACACAAATACACACATATGTACACATACACAACATACCTATAAAAATATATTTTATTGTACGATTATATATCTACCAACTTATTGCGTTAAAATGCAAAATCGAATAAAGCCGTTTTTGCTGTAAATCGGATTGAAGCCACAGCGAGTGTGGCATTTTAGAATTTCTTCGTCGATTGTTTGACGTAGAAAGAATCTCCCGCACCAATGTTCGTTTCAGCGGTTCGAAAAAGCGGCTGCGACGAATAATAACCTGATATTTAATTATGTTATTGATGATATTAATATTAATATATTCGATATATATTGTTTTGAAGTCTTCGCCATTCTTTTTAAGATCCTATCCGAAAAATATATTCTTTTATCCTTTCTTTTACCAATTTTTCATATTTGTACATCGCATCGAGATTGTAAAAAGTGAATATTAATCGAAGCGTTTAATTTGACTGCGAAATTATTGAACGTTATAATTTTTATCCGAAATTATTGGATGTTATCATTTTTATTAATTTGATTAGTTTATTTCTGCAGCGCATACAAAAGGCAGCTTTTTGTAACATTGTTTCATTCACGCGAGTATCTAAAAGAAGAAATTCATCCTCTATTAAGAGTTCGTTAAAATTATAATTAAAGTTATATTTTGCATATATATGAAATGTATATTGAACGTTGTAAATTTCCTCGCGTTTCACTGATAGATATGTATAATATCATTCATTTGTATGTAAATGTACACATATATACCTCCTTTTTTCTAATCTCGAATTCTCTCATTAATCTTTAAATAGCAAAAATTTAACTAGAATTTTATTTATTATTGTGCATCTTATAAATGCGATTATCACTTGCGATTGAATCTAAAACTACGTGTATGGACGGATATTGTATTAAAGGGTAAAAAATATTTTCAGTAAGAAATTTGGTGAGATCACCTTGCTTAAAGAGAATAATAAGTCTATCATGTAGCATAAGGCATATATCTTTGTGAAATCTGGAAAAGATTTTCACATGACGAGTATAACTTTTTATACTCCAAAGCACAATCTGATATCTAGTATGTATAAATTTGAATTTGCTGTTGCACACGAAAATTATGTACGACATTGGACGTATTTGGCAGTGTAATATTATTTGCAACAATCTAAATTCGCTGCTTTTGGTAACTGCCAATTTCTAATGTTACTAGAATATGAAATATCGAATTAATAAGATAATTTGTTCGCTTTTCTCTATACGATTCTTACACTAATAATGTATATATAGAAAGAGACAGAGGTGTCTACTCATTAGTTCAACGAAGAGCAACGAGATTATATAATGCTAATTACGAATATGAGGTCTGTTTTTAGTCTCACAGCTTCGTCGTAATAAAATTATACATATAATTGTAAAAAAAATTATTTCTAGCTCTTATTTTTAGCATTTTTCTTATATTAAATCTAAAATTAATTTAATCTCTATATTCGGCCCCTTGATAATAAATATTTCTCATTATGCGACATCTGTTTGATGACGTATATTTTCTCTATTAATGTTCAATCTTTTTATGTATATTAAATTTTCAATATTTAAATTGATCTATTAAATGTTTATTATTAAAAAATTTTAACGATTATTCTCATAGGATATCACTTTAATAAAGTATCCACGTCATTCGATCAAAAACTATATCATTATTAACAGTCTATTAAAAATTAGCTATTAAATATCATTTGTGCATACAATTGGATAAAGCAACATATTATTATAGCAAAAAGATCTGTCCTTTTTGAAATGAACGTCACTTCCAATAATCATTAATAAAAAATCGATTGAATGAATGTCGAGATCTTTGTGATATAAAAAAAAGCGGTTGTCTCTTTTTAACCATACATGCACAATTATCATCGCAATATAAAAATATGAAAAAATTTCTTAAAATTAATAAAATTAAATTTTTGACATTTGTACATAATGAATATTTTTTTCATCGAGTTCAAGTTTCACGAGACATAAACTTGTATCTTGACCTCATATTTATTACTATCGATAAGTATATCTTAAACGACACGATAAATATGACAATATTCTGAGCGCACATTTAGCAGCATTTTTACTTCATTCTTCATAAATTTGATAAATTCTATCGTCTTTGTACGATAGATTTCACTATTAAATATATATCGAGTTTTTATGATAGAAATTTTTCAACAATATATATGATATAGATATATAATAGATATATAGTAGAAATTTTTTAACAATATATGGCATCAGATAAATTCTAAAATTTTCTTAATTTCTTAAATCTTTTAGTATTGCTAAAATTTCCAAAGTTTACACTTAAAACAAAATAAATATATATTCAGATATTAGAAAGAAGAGTGAAAGCGAAAACTTTCAAAAACAAAAACGTACATGAACTTTTAATAATATAGAAATGCGAAACATAAAATTTGCAAATCGTAAAACATAGTAAGTACATTAAAATATAAAAATAAAGTATCTTGGCCAATCATTGTGCAATATTATATATAAAAGTATCTCCCATGCTAAAAGTGCTGTAAATATGCGATGAGAATACGATTGATTTTAATCGTGTTACCGAAACATTTGCTTCTTTAAAGACAAATGTGCCGATAAAAGTAAATTCAGCATACAGGCCATAGATTTCATCGAAAATCTTAAATATAATATGTTTACATGTGTCATTCATTTCAAGCGCAAATTCGGTGGATTTGTTAAAAAATCGTATAATTACTATATCAATTTAATATTTTATAATTATCGCAACATGTTAATGTATATGTAACAGATTACGACTTAATAAGGAGTTTTCTGAAAGACTAAGTCTTTTCTTTAGTTCCCAGACTGTACATATCCCTAACAGAATTCTCTTATAATTTAAAGACATCTTTAAAATGTCTTTTCTTGTATTGTTTGGGTTATTATATCTAACGAGTCAACATTGTGTATGCATTATTATTACATCACTGTTTGTCGGTCCATTCTCATTCACTACATGCAGCAACAGCAGGATTTATATATATTGTGCGTAGATACCAATGATTTTAATTCATTGCTCATTAGCACAAGCATGTTGCTATGAATGATTTAACATATTTGATTGTGCGTTAACTGGCAGTGTCCGTTGTTAAACAGAGACATTTGGCACACGTTGTGCACCCAAATTGCATACAATGCTGGTCTATATATATTAACGCTAGAGCAATTACATCGCCGTTTCCAATGGTTGACTTTTGCTTCGCGCGGTCGCTGACAGTTGCGTAAGTTCTGTGGGCTCGTTGATTAAAAATGCATCTAGATTGGTCTCGAGCAGAGCCTCGCTCTTGGAACGCAATGGCTTCTCCTCTCCCGTGTCAAAGTTAGTCTCCAGCAGTGCTTCACTTCTAGGCCTACTCTCAGTCTCATAGTGGTATGGATGTGGCGGTATCGGCGGTTGAAAGTCCGACGAATATTCTGGAACAAGCTCGGATGCTTGACTCGGCGTTAATGTGGCCATGTCGTAAGCACGTTTCGAATCATATTCCACGGAATCGTAGGCCTCGATGTTGCGTTTCAGTTCACTCATCGAATCAGTGAGCGCAAGACTGGACTGTAACGGCAGTGTAGATGTGTTGTTGAGATACGATGAGCTTTCGTTGTTACCATGATCCACTGTTGGACTTCCGTCGGTCAAGGTCGACTGTACATTCGGTTGCGATGGCCAGTTAGAAGCGGCGGCAGCTGCAGTATCCCCAGTCGTGAAAGTAGAATGATTGCGGAAGCCCTCGTTGCGATACGCTAAATCGAAAACCGGATTGTCGACAGTCTGTGCCGGGCCATACTTGTGCGCCGTGTTCTTGAAGTCACTCGTACTCGGTGAGTATCGCGGATTATGAGCTTCATATACATCGTAACTCTGATTATCTTCTATTGAAGAATTTAGTTGAGACTTGTCCATTGAATCCAGACTGCCACCGTTCAACATACGCTTATAATCAAGCGATTTCGAGTTCAATGTATCCGTGGAATGTTTACTCTGAAACATATAGTATATATATTATTTAAAAAATTGTATCAATTTCTTTTAAACTTAGGAACATAGACTTTAGACTAGTTGCGCCGAATCTATTAAATCGTAAAATTTAATTATATTTAACTTTTATGAAAATTCGTGGATTTAATCTTCATCACATGTTCAAAAGTTATATGCAAAACATAATGCGATTCATATTTTTACCGCGATAGGTTTCCGTCGATAGGCAAGTTCCGTGAAGCCAGATGTGGAACCAATCGATCGTAGGGAGTGCAGAGATTGTCTGATGGAATTACGTCGCTCTAATCTCTCAAGTTTACGCTTCTTTGATTTGGATACCCATAGTGCGATAGCAGCAGTCAACAGAGCAAATGCAATACAAACAGCTCCCAAGACGCCAATTGCTATGATATCTTTTCTCCACGATAGAGGATCAATATTGACTCTAGGATCTATTAAAATTCGAAAGATAATTTTTTTTATAATCTTTTTTTAAATTAATATAATTTATTTTAATATTATATATATTTTATCCACTACTATGATATTTTACATACCGATCTCGCAAATGAACGGATTAGGTTGCGCACAATGATCAATTTCAATAGTCTGATAGGTGAATACTGTACATTGATCCACACGTTCCAACTGCTGCACCCAAACACGCTCCGAATAATCAAATCGTTCTTGTTGTTTGCGCGCGAATTTCCAGAGTTCCAGATAATCCCCCATAATAAAGGGCATTGATGCGTTTGACGACTTTTAAAAACAAAATAATTAAAAATATATATGTGAAGAAAATGTAATATTCAAGAAATTCCAACAAAAAGACGTGGTACTTTATGTTGAAAAAAATTTTTTAAATATGTGTGTGTGTGTGTGTGTGTGTGTGTGTGTGTGTGTATGTGTGTGTTACGTATAGATACGTATAGATACGAACAGGATTATTTACTTACTCTGCAAAATTCTCGTGCGCTATAAAAATCCATAAGCGCGCCGATTAATATGTAACATGTATCACCGACGAGATCCCACCCAGGCGGACATTTACCGCTTAATACAGATTTATTGTTCATATGGAAGGGTTGATAATCGACCTGCAGTAGCTCGGGCAAGTCTCCATGATCTCTGATACGTCCCGCCACCGCCAAAGTCTCGTTGTAGCCCCACCAATTGTACTGCGCGTCTATGTGAGCTCTCCATATTTCTAGTTGCCTAAAACGATTTACATTTATAAAGAGAACCTTTACTTTAATTTTGCTGAATAGTGTAGTATATTTTAATTTTATTATGATTTACTGAGATCTATTTGTCGTGAGCATCTCGTAATCGTTGTCAGGATTAAAGAACACATTATCGATGTATTGTTGTCCGGGAGTACCGGCAACGATAGTGCTACGGCCTTCGCGATCCACTGCATAATTTCTAAAATGTTATAAATAATTTATTATTTCGACAGTCTGTGATAATCTTCTACAAATTACTTCTACATTATTAAATGTCTTTGTATATTTAAACAATTCTTTTCAAAGATAAAGAAATACAAAGCAAAAATTATAAAAAAAAAAAGAAAATCTATTACTTACTTGTAAAAGCCATTGTGAGATGTGCTTTGATAAATAGGCAAACGAACTCTTTCGAATCCCGAAATCTCCAATAAATGCATACCAAGGTTTGCGTGTAAATAATTTAGTGTCATATTGCTGACTACTTGCTTCAAAACAATGTTATTGTCATAGGGAGCATGATTTTTGTTAAAGTAATTCCTGAATATAGTCACTTCTTGATAAGGACTACTCTGACGACCCTCAATGTATCTGAAAGTTCCGTAGTATTATTCCTCTCTCGTCTTCGCACTAGAAAATTATCATATATACTTACAATGCTGGTTTATTAAAGTTCTCTGTAAAAAGATTATTGTGAATCCATCCCTTGAGGGATGTGGCCGAACCTCTTGAATCGGCACGAATAGAAAGACCACCTTGATTCCGCTGTACCAGATTATTCTAAAATATAAATTTAAAAAATTTAAATTTGAAATTTTATCATATTTTGAGTAAACTAAAAGGAAAATAAGTATGTGTATGATATTTTTTCCATTTCAAACTTACTCTAAAATAAAGTGATTGCGTGTTTTGAACATCAAACCATAGGGCGGATTTACATGTGGAAAAGTTGCCATATAACTTTTCGCAATTATTTATAAACTGATTACGCTCGAGCGTCATTATAGCATTCACCTCGCCGGCACTTGCGTATTTTATGGCGCCCTCGCGACAATTCGATATCACAGAATAAGAAACGTTGTGCTGCACATCGCGATCTGACAATTACAAAAATAAATCAGCAAATAAAAAAAATATAGAGGGACATAAACGTATAGTGTATAATGTAAAATATTGAATGATTAAGATTATATACTTACTAAAACCAATGGCGGATATTGGAAGAGTCACGATTTCCGCGATAAATCCGTGTACACTACTAGCGCCATTAGCGAAGAGCCGTATACTAAGACTGGAAGTCTTTGTTCTAAAGAATTTCTTTTCATCGGGAGCATTAACTTCCAAGTGGCCAATCTTTTTGGAAGTAACATTGTAAATGTCTCCGTCGTATAAAGTTATAGCATCGGCATGGCCTGGCTTTCCAGTGGAGTTGAAAAGATTGAATTGTAAAAGTCTGTGAAACAGAGAAATATTTGCTTATTCTTTTGGAAAATCGTTTTTGCAGACACGGAAAAGCTTTACGCACCTAAATCCAAATGGTTTGGCTCTATAAGTACTACGGAAGATTTTCACGCAATTCACAGGATAATTATCGTATTTATAATAGACGATCACACGCTCTTCGATTGTGATTTCTTTAGCGGTGTCGCATATGTCGACTATACTGAATAAATAATAAGGAATATTAAGATCCTTAATAGGGGTAAACGAACTCTCGTCCGCTTCGCGGCCCTCTCCCGTCAAAGATAATATATTCACGCCATTTCCGAGGACATTAGTAATCGTATTAAATAATAATTCCATCTAAAAAAATAAATAAATAAGTAAATAAATGAGTTATTGTTTGTAAATATTTACGCTCATACCGTGTGTGTAGGAGATACAATATTGATGCCATGATAAGCGCTGCAATCTATATTAACGTGCATTATAGCTGGAGACTTCATGATAGACTGTATGGCATATGATCTTTCGAAATGTAAAATTCCAGCACCGGTTATATTGATGTGCTTGAGAATCGATTCCACGCGTCTTACAGTCTCATGAGTGTCGATGTTGTGGATACGATGCTCGTATAGATGATGTTCAAATTCACTGTTTGTGATGCGTATTCCGCCCCAATAATCGTACGCGTCATCCAAGTTTCTCTCGCCGCAGTGCAGAAAAATAAAATGTCCGTTCCACGAACATTCATGACGATGACCATACAATTGACCGTTCAATCTGATCTGGCAATCTTCTAGACTCTGCTCTTTTCCAGAACACTGCAAATGTTTTTAAAGTTAAAAAAATTGTTTTCTAAAATGGAGAACACAAAATGAAGAAATGAGTCGTACTTGCAGCGGTTCAGGCCAGGACCAGACACGCGTTAAGGATCCAGGGTGAAGTTCATATCTACGATCATGCGACACATAGACGTTGAGGCTATCATAACCGAGTTGTCGACATGCCACTTGGGCATTTCGCTCAGTAAATCGTTCATCGCATATAGGGATCCACTGAAGAGTCGTTCTATTGAAATATTCCAAAAATCCTACAAGAAAAAAAATATACTTGTAATGCAACTAAAAAAGTAATAAAATACTGCAAAATATCGTTAAAATTAGATTTAGAGAAAATTAATAAAAAAGATAAAAATAGATAAGCGAGAATATATTAGACCAGTATATTAAACAAAATGTTAGGCTTCTTTTGAAAATCGAAACATTAATATTTTTCGGCTCACCTTCATTGTACAATGAAGAGCAATGTCCATCTTTGCATAAACGGATCGTTTCATCAGACACTGAACCAAGATTGGTGGAACTCTTCATCGGCGCTAACTTGATAAACGTGGAATTTACGCTTGCGTTTATTCGTTTCATCGGTTTCATAATGATTTCATGGCTGGGTGCTCCGACGGCTTTTAGCGTTCCAAGAACGAGGATTCCAACGTTAGGAGCGAATTCCATCACGACGTCGGGATAGATGTGCAATGTGGCTTCCGGCATAATCGTGATGTCGGAACGTATTACGTAAGGCTCGGGTCTCGCATGCAATGAGAGACTTTCTCTTATACGACCACCCAAATTGTCTAAATCAATATTTTCATTTATATGCCAGGATGCAGAAACAGAGCTGTCGAATGAGTCGCGCATCAAGTACGGCCGATAATTAGCCACAGCATGATCATTCCAATCATCGAAATCGAAAATTTTTTGTCTGTGAAAAAAAGTATATAAGTCTCGTTATTGAGTACATTTCTTGAAGTACAACTCGCATAGAAATCATAAATGGATCTAAATATATGAAATTACCTGATAATAGTATTATTATCAGTGCCCCACCAATTTTCCTTGACATTTATTTCGTTGTCAATTTTCGCTGTTCTAATACCCGCTAATAATTCATAATCCAGTGAATTCTCACCGAAGAGATTTTTGTTAATTAGTACTTTCTGTATGCCGTGAAAGCCGACGACGTAACTAGGATCGTCGAATGTTTGACGTGGTCCCATGCCGACGAAGTCATACGTGTTTCGTTTAATCTCATTGTAATAGAAACGCGCATCGACATCGCCAAGAATCTCGGACTGACTGTTCACACGGAATTCGACCATGTAAGCGCCGCTGTTACCATCGATACGATTATTATCGATTCTGATCTTCTTTTCCATTCCGCGCACGGTTATAAGACCGGTCTTGCAGCGATTGCTATCGAAATGATTGTAAGATATATTCAAATGCGCGAAATGACCGTCTATCACAAAGCCGAACTGTTCGTTGTTGCGCCAGGTATTATTGCCAAAGTACAAGGAGTGCGTAAAATTCTCGTTATACTGCCAAACATCTGGCAGCAACACTTCAAATCCACCGCCGCGATTCCTTTCGATGGTGCTGTCCTGCATTATCCAATGGAAGAGATTGTTGGAGTGCCTTGCGTCACGACTGAACTGATATATCGCTTTACCGTTGTCCGTAATCAAACTGTCATTTATGTGGATCGAAATTTCAGACAAATTAGAGTGAAAGATATTCCAATGAGGTGAATACACATATACGGCTTCTTCTTGATTGTGTGATATCTCACATCCGATCAAACGAATAGTCTCGTTCGCCTTTCGGAGAAAGTGATCTCCAATTTCGTTCAAATATCGATTGTAGTAAAACGCAAGTAAGCCCTTTTTATTACTCTTAATTTTCGTTTTCGTGATAATCAATGAAGGAATAGGACCGCTGACTATTTTATTGCGTATATTCTATAAATTATTATTATTATATAACAATTATTATTATTGTATTAAGATTAATACCTCGATATTTTTGTAAATATAATATTCGCATTCATACATACTTGTGCTGGAGACAAGAGTGATGTAACAGCCATGACAGTGCCACCGAGAGCATTCTCACCGCTCTGATATTCTAAATTTACTATATAGGAGCTAGATGAGACGGGGAAAACACTTAGATCCCGTTTTACATGCCAACTTATTTGATTATTATTAAGGTATTGTGAGTCGTATAGTATGATTTGTTCAGTGCTTCGATTCTCTATTGGATTTAGTAATTGAATACCAATGACGTAGCCGGGAGTACACTATAAATTGATGAAAAAATTATAATTAACTGATCATATATCTATATGTATATAAAAGTATTTTGCATAAGAAAAAAGAAACTTACTTTAATATTTATGGTTCGACGAATAGATTCGTGAACGTTTATTTTAGTCGTTATAATGTATTTGGTTTCTCCGTTAGCGAGTTCGATATTTTTATCCGTTTCCGGTAAGATTATGGGATTATATGGTGAGTCGATCATGTCCGGAACGCGTAGAAACCATCCCGCAAATTCTCTTTGTTGAACCGCCGATAGAGCAGGATTATGCCTTATTCCCGCGACTTTGTTACTCTCGATTCGCGAATTAATTATTCGCACGCCCAATTGTTTGAAACTGATACCGCTTCCGCCATTTTGAGAGAAGTCGCTGTTTGTTACAATATTTATGGCGTCCGCTGAATATATGTCGGAATATAAAACTCCCAATCCATCTTGCAGATTGTTGACAAGCTTGACACCATCCAATGAATGCCGTGCAAAATCGATTTGTAAAGCTGTTAAAAAAATATCAGTCATCAAAATTTATTAATTACACATACATAATTAAATGTACATACACATAAATATACATACAGATCTATTTTATAATATTTTAGCATGATTTTTACAAAAGAAGTTAAATTGAAAAAATTTAATAAACCAATAGATACTTTAAAAATTTCTGCCGGAAATACAGAATATTCAATATAAAAATCTTCCAATAGACATATTATTATTTTGTAATCAATATATTTATTTTGATTACATTTGATTATTTTATTTTTTCAATAATGTTAAACTCGAATTTAATTAGTTTAATTAAAATTTTTTGAATTAAATTTAAAAAATTTTAAACATGGCATAAATTCTGTAATTTTAACGAAATTAATGAAATATATCTTAAAATTTATTACTTAGAATAAAAAATCATAAATATTTTTATTACTTAATTTTTTGATAATTTTTTTGCTATAGTATATTTTGATTTACAAGTTTCATTCTGTACATATACCTATATAAAATCTCTAATATTTAATTTTTTAATTATTATTAACAAAAGAATTATGAATTATATATATAAATTTTATATATATAAATTATATATATAAATTACCTGGCTTAAATGAATTTGTTTTATAATCTAACAAGCCTGCCTTTTCGATTGTTACGTATTGCAAGTCACATCTTTGAGCCAACGGTCCCAATCTCAGACCCGCCCACGCCACTTCCAAACATCTAACACCGACATCGTTCGAATGAGTACACGAATTTTCGAAATCTTGCTCTTTTTCCGCTCGACATTTCGTTATATCATTGTCATTCTCAGTGCATTGAACGTTGCTGAGAAGTATATCCTCATTAATTCCCGCGTTTGGTATTTGCGATCGCTCCATAAACCAATTTTCATAATCTAGAATAAAGCCTAATTGGTGGCAAACGAGCGCCGCATCCAGAATCGTCCATCCATAGTTGCAAACAGTTCCCCATTTATTTCCGATTTTTACCTTTAAGAAAAGATATGTATAAAAAATATACATGTAATTACACATAGAATTTGCATATTTTTTAAATTTCTCAATATTTATAAAGATTTAATAAAGATTTAATAAGTTTAATTATAAATTTGTTAATATCAATGCAAATATTTGTGTTAAAAATATGCTTTAAATGTGTTACTTGTAATCTTCCTTCGAGATTCGTCTTGCCACCGAGAAGTCTTACTGGTACGGACTCTACTTCATCAATTGGACTCATATCTTCTTCCATCATAAGAGTTTCGTTGTTTGGTAATATAGCGAGCTCTTCTTTCAAAGTAAATAAGATATCGCTAGGTCTTTTTCCGCGCGCATCGAATTTGCCAGCTACCATTATTCCAATGGACGGTGGAAAGCGTAATGTAACGCCCGGTTGTAATATTAACTTGCCGCCTGGTCTTACATTAATATCACGCTCGACAATGTATTCTCCGGATCTTAATTGCTCGTTGCCGTCAACCTCACCACCGACTAGATTCGTGCCAGGTGTGACAAATTGTGGTACAAATGTCGGATTTGGGATTATGGTATTCGCGTTAGGGTTACTGCTGTGCAGCAAATAAGGCAGATACTCAATCTTAGCAAGATTGTATCTGTCTTTCCTAAATAAATAAAAATTATAATTATATCTCGTGCTATATTACAATTTGTACAGTAATAAGAAAGTAACATACCTATGGAATAATCGATCAAATATTTTCTTCTCCTCTCCAGATCCCAACCAATTGTAAGTACAGTTGATAACTTTGCTCTGATCTTCCAAGTGGGAACCAATTTCGTAACGCGATTCGAGATTGTGCAAAATGTTGCGGTAAACTTCGACATTGCTCGAAGATACAACAATAACAGCGGCTACTCTCGAACGCGGTATCAATTTGACATTCGATATATTACCATTGTCGAACAATTCTCTGACATAATTATCACGCAAGAAATTTCTCGTAAATAATACATTTTGAACATCGCTGTAAGGTGATAAACCGACGCTAACTACAAAGGTGCCCCGATTATTATAGAATTCATTATGTCGAATTATAATCTTCGCGGGTAAAACATTAAATTCTTCATAAAGAGGATTTCTTATTAGAATCCCGCCGCCCGCTTGTTCTCTGAAGTGATTGTATTCTATAGTAGCGTCGAGATTAAGCGCTGGACTTAGCTTAATGCCCAATTTTGCATTTTTTATGAACGAGTTGTATCCGATCTGCAGCCTCATTAAACCATTGTCTTTCCTCCAACTAGATTCCACTTGTAGTGCCGTCTCGAGACTGGTATTGAACCAATTGCCTGTTACATTTACATACGAGTTTCCGGTGGAATTGCCGATCTGTTGTCAAGAAAATATCAATGTTGACTTATCATAAATATCAAGATATACAAAATCAAACAAAATACATATAATCGTATAAAACATTCATACATGCTTTATATTTGCACTTACCAGAACACCAATATCCTTATTACTGAATATCTGCGAATATTCGACTACGGTCGACTGATTGAAGTACACATATTCGGTAGAGGAGCTGTCATTTAACCATATCGCGAAACCGAAACCGCGATTGGACGATATACTGCTATGTGATACATTACGATTGCCGCCTGTAACAGTGATATTAACGCCATCTCCTTGATTGAAAGCAATACGACTGTCGGTGATGTTGACATCCATTGCACCACCTAATACATGCACACCGGCCACATGCTTATTATTTGATATTGAAGTCTCATGAATGTGTAAGGCGGATCTAATCTTCTCTACGGCAATACCGCGACCGTTATTATCCGCTATCGAACTGCCAGTAACATTAAGATCATATGTTTTTTCTGCGAAAAAAGGAAAATATTAAATTATATAATATCTTAAATATTAAATATCTTTTATCAGTATAATTTAAAAAAAGATTTACGTTATTTAAGATAGCGCATAAATTCCCTTGACTTACTGTAACCCGATGATAATCGCACAAACACGATAGTATTAGTTCGAGGCTCAGCTATAAAATTTATGAAGAGATTCTGACGCGTCGAAGTCACACTTTGCGGTAATGTTCCATTTCTGACTTTAACTCTAGCCAAGAGTTTTTCCACTCCGTTTATACCATCATATACTTCCACAATGGCGCTGTCATTTCTATCAGTTTTCATTTGCAAAAAATGCATTGTCAGAACATGACCCGGTATCGTGAAGATGTGCTGCATAATATTAATAATATCGTTTTATTGTTGAGATTTCATGCGAAGAATAATGTTACTTTTACTGATAATGATTAAATATAATGCTCACTTGTGGACATCGTTTCACATTGGGCGCATATTTATTCTGTTCCATGGATATAGTGACAGGAAAAGTTTGACTAGCCGTCATAGGGAAGGTACACAGATCAAATACGTCGGTACGATCTAACTTGTCGTCCGGTCGTTCGTCCGAGTGCACATATTTTATTCCATCCGCTCCATTTTCAAGTATATCACAATCATTGATATTCGTCATACCGGATGAGCTATTTACATAAATTCCGTAACCTATAACAATAAGTGTATAATACATAATATATATTATTCAATATGACATTTTCAGAAAAAATACAAAATATAATAATACATAACAAATGATAAGAGTTGTGTACCTTTATTATATTGCATGGTACAATTGTTTATCACGACGGGTGCATCTGGGGAAGTAACATTGATACCCGTGAAGGCTGAATGAAGAATAGAAATTGACTCCATTATCGGTGGTACCCCTTCTACATGAATTGCCGATGTTATATTGTATTCTCTGCCAGTTCCAGCATATCTATCGGATCAAATTTTTATATATTTTATACAAAATTGTAGTTGCCATATATCTGTGAGAAAATTAATAAAAGACGCATATCGCAGATATATGTGAGGAGTCGTATCCTCTGACAAGAGATATATATGAATTAAAGAGAGATGTATATTTTATACATATCGCATAAATATTCGTCGATATTTCGTTTAAAAATACTCACTCAATTACTGTATTCCGTAAAATAGATTTCGATTGACGCACATAAAGTGTATTCTCTTGGATAAGTGCTTTGTCATATAATGCATTCTCGAATCGTATCCCTCGCCAATGTTTAATCGCCTTAGTCGTACCATCGTGACGAGGTAGGCAAGAGATTCCCAGGTCTGGATGATAGTCTAAAATTGAATTCAACTTTCACTAATGGATTCTTGACACGATAAATTCTATCGTTTATTTAACAATTAAAATAACACGCATCGTATAATCTTCATCACGAAATTATTCTGGAAAGAAATATATTTGCAACTCACCGCAAACACCGGCGCCCAATTGTCTTTCCGACCAACGTTCGCAGTTCGTCAGCGAAAACTCGGTACCACGACATCCTGGTTCCTCGTAAAGAAGACGCGGCTTGGAAGGCCATTGTCTGTCGAGCCACGACCACCATTGTCCGCCTTGATAGCCGAGCTCTCGACAAGCTGTCTCCAAATCTGCACGAGTCCAACTGCGATAAAATTTACATAAAATATCTACATTGTTGTCGTGACGTTACGTTTCTTGATTACATACTTTCGCGAATTTGTGCAAACGGAACGCCAGCTGCCCCGATGAAAAAGCTGCAGTCTACCTGCTAATGGACTCGGTCCGTCGACAAGGCGTATCAAAGGTGGAGTTTGAAGAGCTGGAGCTTGTGTTTCCACTTCCGCAGCGGTCAGGAGAATCGGCGCGTGTGCCTCACCCTTTTAACATATAAATGTCATTTATAATTATTATAAAAAGATAAATCTTCTATCACTATTATATCACCATTATAATTTACAGATCGCTTTAAAACAAAACTTTCGAAGATAGAATCAGCAATTGTAATAAAAAAATTCTATTTTTTCTAATTTTTATTTTTCAATTTTTGTATTTTAATTACATCGTTATATTACGTATCTAATACATCAGAAAAAATAAATAAAGGAAATTCAATATTTCAAATCACAGGATTTTTAAAATTCTTATGACACGTTATTAATATAATAATGAAAAACCTAAATGTAGACTTGCTAAAAGCTTGATTATACATGGTCATTTGACAGAATCGATAGTATCATTGATACCATTAACTGATAACGAGATTGAAGTCATATCCCTTCGTTATCAGTGAAGTTTTACAAACACGTAAAGATGGATAGAGCGCAAATATAAAAGAATATGATTCATAATTATGTTGTAGATATATCATTTGGAATTTTCACACAGTGATTTAAGTATGACATTCAATTTAATGTTTGTTTTTAACTTTCTTTTTGAGTTTGTTATATGTATAAATTGTATGTTAATCAATTACCCAAATAATAATTAATTATTTTTAATTATTTAATTATTATTAATCTGTATAAGATAATATATCCAATAATAAATTTTGTTTTATTATATAAAAGCTATAAAACAATATTAAAAGAATGCTTTCCTCTTCTCTTTTCTGTGTCTTGAAAGTAATGATATATATTATGTTTTTAAAATATGCGTAATTTTATTTCTCTCTATAAATGATATAATCTATTTTTTCGTATATGTATTAATTTTATATCTTTTATTCCCCTGATATCAATTCATTTTCAAACGTCGTCATAACTATCGATTATCTTATACATGTTATGGATTATCTTATACATGTTATTATTGTTGACATATCATTAGAGTTTCTAATAATAACGAGGTACGATCTTACGAGGTATTTTATAAAAATAAAAAATAATTGTCATTGAAACACTGGTAGTAATATCAAATCTCATTAGGACAGATGCCATTAAACATTAAAGTGTTTGATAATTGATAATACGATCGTAAACAATTCTTTTTTTAGAATATTTTCTAAAAAAATTTCGATTCTATTTAAAATATTCCATATTTAAACTCTGTCGAAATATGTTATAATTTTTTTTATAAATATATAATATAAATTAAACAGAGAAAAATATATTTTTTACACATAAACACGCACTGTGTCTAGCTATTAAAATTGCAATATTATGTATTATCTTCATATCAAAGTATAATATTAATCGCCAATATCGTCAATAAGTTACGTAAATATTCATTTATAATTATATATCCATGATAGCAGTAAAATATTTTTTTTGCTTTATGTAATAATAATCAAACTAGAAGATGTTTTAAAAAGATATCATGCTATAATTCAATTCTATAAATGTAACCGTGAAAGAATGCAAAACTACAGATGTATGACAGGAAAGAGATCCCTTTTCACACAAAGAGCAGAGGCCTCCGATTAACCGGAAATGCTACAAACACGCGAACATCGTTGCGTTATTGGTATATATAATAAAATAGTATTCATGTTTGTCTACGTATTAATGCTTACTACAGGTATTATTTTGTTGCTATTTTAATTGTAAGTTACACTGACAATTTTAAAAGAGGAGAAGGGCATACACGCAATCAATTCTATAGAAACAGGCACATAACACGTTGTAAAAATTGATTAAAAATATTTAAAATAAAAAAATTAATCATTTTAAAATATATTAAATATGCAATGTTTGAAATCAAGTAATAGAAAAAAATGTTGAAACGTCATCAGTAAAATAATCTAGAGCTTCAAAATAAATCATTTTCTAAAATTACTAACATTAAAAGGAACAGAAATATATGTTCTCAGTTTTACGAAATAATAATTCACATAATGTATATTTACAGAGATAAGAACGGATATGCAGCGATTATTCATGGGTGAATAATCACTTGCTGATTTATCGCTTATTCTATTTAGAAGACTATCACACTGATGCGATTGCAGATGTGGTGTATCATTAATAGAGGCGATTAAATGTCCTGGAAGAGGAAGGAACAAGTTGTTCTAATCTCTGTAAATGGATATCTCTTATCCGCACGTTTCTGCCGGTGTCGGAAGAGCTAGTTATAGAAAGCACTAATCGAGTGATTAAGAACAGACGGCTGTCTCAGGCGATTTAACGAGAGTAATTTAAATGCTTCAAATAAATAAAAATAAAGACAGACGGTGCTCGCGAGCGTTGCAAGTGAAACGCACTCTTGGAATCATATCAGTTGTCTTTATTTAACATTATATTAAACAATATAAATAAAGATAAAATGATTCCATGAACATTGCAAACGTCAAGTGGAGCGTGCCTTATGTGATGCGTCTCAGGTCGGCGGTTCTTGCTCCCGCACGATTAACTTATGACCTCACATAATCCTCTTAAAAGCTCAACGGAGTGCCAAGACCTTCGGCATCGCTCTTGGCACCAATCAAACGGCGTAAGTGAAATTCTTCGTTTGTAAAAGTTAATATAAACGCGGGACTTAGTTAAAAAAAGAACGGAAAATTAGTAAAAAAAAAAAGAAAATTTTATATTTGGGAAAAGAATTTAATGTCAAACACTCGACAGTATCGAAATTTTTCTGGAATTGCAATTCATGAGATTTCCTGAGAACGCGATTTATCTTTGAAAGAATCGGTCTTTTTCCTATATATGTGTAATAACACGTGCACAGTTACGCTAGTTACGTTGCAATGAGTCATGTTCATTCAATGTTAAAATGCACACGCATCGATATTCTTCGTAAATCTCTAAAGATGTTTTCTATAATTATGCACATTGGTATGTTCTATACGTATAAAATTAAAGTCATCTGATACTTCTATATCATATTATATCGTTCTATTTGGATTCCTTTTTAATTAATTTGATATTTAAAATTATATGCATTATATGATATAAATATGATATAAAAGATAATATAATACATCAAAGAAAATATATATAAAAATATATAAAAATTTAATAAAATTCTTGGATAGATAAAATCAAATCTCAAATTACTTATTTCGACAGAGAATTTTTAACGAAATTTTTTAATATATTTATTCTAAAGGAATTTCAAAAATTTGCTTAAGTACAGACAGTTTTAACAAGAATGTTATCTTAATGTCAAATTTCTTTATTAATTTATCTCTTGATCATTATCGTATTATTTATGTCAAGAGAGACATATTTGATATTAAAGCTACACAATTGAGAACAAAGTTGAAGATCTTGACAGATAATTACTTTTGTTCTCGAGAACCATTCTGACTTTCTCCAGGAAAGCGTACTCTCTACTTGGTTTTTTTTAGAAATTCTATTGTTGATTTACCTTAGCACTTATGATGCCACGGATAGTGATGCCGACCATGGGACCGAAGCGAATTTCCACACCAGGTTCTACGACGAGCTTGCCATCTTTCTCGATGAATAGATCCTCGCGCAACAAATAAGGACTCTTCGATAACAGCAATATCCTCTCACCATGAACAACGCTGCCACCGTGCAGCTCGTGTAGACCGTTGTTGTTATTTATTATACTAGTGTTTACCAGCGTAGTTGGTTCCGTGTAGTAGATTGATGTTGGCTCATATCTGTCATCTAATCGGGCTCCGGTGGTTAAAACGGCCAAAATCGGCAACAAAATGCATAACCGGGGCATTTTTCGGCGCATATTTTTATTGTCAAGTGGTTCGATTCATCGATGTATATATCGTTAAATAGAATTACGAGAAAGACGGAATCAACCGCTCACTCCGTTGTCCTTTATCCGCTGGTGAATGGAAACGCTACACTCTCGAAGTTTAACGTTTGAACGAAACTAGAGTCTTTATAATGTTTCTAGATAAAAATTCATCGCGCAATTTCTCGATATTACACATAAAAATGAACACATATTCCAATTAAGCGTTATATGAACATTTTATACACAATACGATCTCTCTGACGTGCACTCATGTCGATAAAGCTTTTGGTTCACGAGAATCATTCACTTATCACCGACTAATCCTTGATGTGTCATTCGCCAATCTGTATACGTTAGACATCTCTACTCCTCATGCGTAATAAGTTATACTTTCACTGATTGTATGAATTTAGACACAGGCTGTGGGTATAATTATTTATATAAAGAAATGCTTGATGCTCGCTCGTATCTTCGTGATGAGTAAAATAATTGTATACACATAATATTCGGCAGCTTCTCCCTAAAAATAATTAGTGAACTTTAATAAATTTAAAAAAAGAAAGAACTTAATATAAAAATGCATAATTAAATATTGCATAAAATTGAAACATCTAATGAGCTATTTTATCATAGAACTTTCTATTTTTCTTTTGATAAATAAAAAAAATTGATCAAAACTTGATATCCAGATATCCATATATACATATATATATATATTATTATAAAAATATATTTCATATATATAATAATTCTATAAATTAATCCTTTAATTTTAGTATAGATATATATTCTTAAATCTATTAAATTAAAGATAATCTTTAATAGAGTTAGAATCAATTTCTTTTTATAGTGATAATTCAATATAATATTATTTTTAATAATTCTTCAACTTTGGTATTGAATATATTGGATATTTTGATAAATCTAAACTTCAAATTTTATAAAAATCAATTTAAAATTAAATAAAAACAAAAATTTTATTATTTATTTTTATCCTTAGGATTCTAAATTTCTTTTTTAAGTGCTTATATATAATTCGATTATTTTATAGATTTCTTATATCTTTCTATTTGAGCAAAATTTAATAAGAAAGAATTAAATAAATAAAATAAATAAAATAAATAAAAAAATAAAAATAACCGTTACAAAGATTCTATTTTAGATTCTATTTTACTTTGTTAATTTATCATTATTCTCTACGTCTACATCTATCGTTGTTATTCCTCGCGCGAAGAATCGCACAACACAATGAATCATCTTTGCATTTTAAATACGAGAGAGAAGAGAAACATTCTCTTCCTGGAACGTTGGCTCTTTTAAATTATCGCGAGTCTCGATCATCATTGTTCACCTTATATTATATATCCGTTAATGAACGTTCCTCGTACGCACGTATATGAATGCGTGGTGCGAAAAATCGCGACGCGATCGAAGAACAAGGGATGAGGTGGAAAATCATCTTCCGCGACACTTACCGATCCTATCCTCGGTCGCTCCCGGACGCGGATAGGGTTCGAATTCGAGCGGTAACACTTCCTGCTTTTTCACGCATGAGGAACAACGAGCTGCACGGCTGCCGCCGTTATTCGCGCTCTGCTTGACGAAGGCCTCCTTGTTCTTCACGTAGATCGCAGCGGCCGATCGTCGCTCGGCGCCTGTCCTCCTCCCTCCTGCGACCTTTATCCGGGAAACTTCTTTCGAAATCGAGTACCGCTCGATCGACGCAACGATCCTACGCGCTCCGCTTCTTCTCCCCGCGTCGATCGCTGCCAACGACGCCGATCGATCGATCGCCTCAAGTCGCGGATCCGTTAAATCCTGGCTGGTCGCGGCGACGCGATGCCATCGTCGATCATCGGCGAGAGAGATCGGTCCTTGCCTGCATCCGGGTGATTTCGTCGAACCGTGGGCGCGGTTTTCGTCACTTTGCTCGTCAGTTCGCCCCGTCGTGATCGCTCCTTGCGCAACTTGTCGCCGTCCCGTGTAAAGGTACCTCGACCACTACCGCGATCACCATGGTACGCGCTGACTGGTAGCGCGCTGACGCTACACCTACTACGACCGAGCTGTAGTATGAGTCACGTGATGCACCCGAGCATGGTACGTCACGCGGCTTGTGAAACAGGTGAGTCGCTATACCTACTGGGTGTCCCAGAAGCAGCCTCGTGCTCCTTTTTTCTCCTGTAATTTCTTCGATCACTCTAGCTTGGATTCTGATCGATTCTTGAAACATCTGCAATCATTTTTTCATAGTAAATAATTGATGGATATCTCGAAAAACTTTGATTTTTCATGAGGGAAAATAGGTGAGAAGGTCGTATTTTTCTTCAGTATATATTTACATCAGTGGAATTTTAATTTAGAAAGCTTAGAATTGGTAAATATTATAATATTAAAAATTGGAAAGGGACGGAATAAACGATAATCTTTTCGTCTTTATTACGAAAAGTTACTTTTAAGTTAGTTTTGATCGAGGAAAGCGATTAAGAGAACATCCGATGATTTTGCAGCACCTTATATATGTACAAGGTATTCCACCTAACTTGACATATAAATATCTCGCTTGTTTTTAATATGAAAAAAATAAAGCAGAATACCTGTTTGAAAAGGACAAATATTATAATAAACAATTTTTCTCAAATTCAAATTTTTTTAGACTTCAAGATCATTGATATTTTTTTTTAATTATGAGATTAATTATTTTATTATCGTACTACATATGATAAATGAAATCAGAACCAATCCAATAACTTATGGTAGAATGATCTTTCAGTTATTTTATAAATCTTAGATATATCTATAAAAAAAGAAATGCATCTATAATTTTTTTTATATCTTTTTTACTATTATTTATAACTTAAACTTTACTTATATTGTAATAAAAATTTGATTTTGATTTAATATTGATTATTATATCTCTTATAAATACAATATCATAAATATTATATTATTATATTAATATTTAAATATAATATTAATAAATGTAATATTAATATTATATTAATAAATTATAATATTACATAGAATTTTATATTGTATTATTAATAGAGAGAGTTTTGAAAAACTGTTAAAAGACTCACTCTAACCTGATTCTTACCTTTAAACATGATATATATTACAAGAAATATGGCTGCCTTTCATGTTTTGATTGTAACTTGAGCTGATTGTTTGTCCAAAAGTTTTCTATCAATTAGCCATCAACTTAATTATCAAAATAGCAATTATCACATGACATAACATAAAATCTTGCCAAGAGCTTTATTATAGACCGTATTTATATTTAATTCTTTAAAATTACCTCAAGTAGTATATTCCAATATACTCAATATCCTCAAATATTAAGCCAATCACAGAGCTGTATTAGCATCTCAAGAAAATCTTAAAATAAGAACAAACTATATAAATATTGGCCATAGAGTGTCTACATACGTCATACATATGATATTCTCTGTCGGACGTGCTGATTGGCTATCATTGCAAGAAACTTTCAAAACCCTAGAAATTCTCTATCCGATAACCAATCGGTATGTCAGACAAACTCGACAAGTGTGTAATAGCATCTTGATTAAAACAAGCACTGTTCCATTCTATTGCCGTGCGCAGGACATCGAGTGAAAACGTTTGTCCCGGCAAACGTTTCAATTTCTCCAATTTTAGGTAAGTGCAATAAAAATCAATATCGCCATTTTCCGTAATCGCAAAGTTATGTAGTGACCCGTACGTATCGTTTGCGATCTTCGTACGATTGCTGAGGCAATAAAATTGTTTGCGTTGTTGCCCCGAGACGCCCGCCAAGAAAGCTTCAGCTGACGAGGTGTGTATCATGTAAAAAAATTTACCGGGTGGTGATATCACTACATTGCTGTGACATAACCTAATTTTGCAAAAGTTTTTCTTTTACTCCAGTTTTACAAGAAATAAGAATTTATAATTGATAATAATTCTGAAAAAGACTCGTTTAAGATGTTACTCTTAAGTGTCTAATCTACAGCAGGACAATTTTATGTGTATGTCTTCTGTCTTTGAACAAAAATATTGAATATAATATTATTGTGCATATAAAATTTAATTATATTATGAAACGTTAAAATTTCTCTTGTTTATACAAGTAACAATGTACTTTATTGTAATGTAATTTTTTTTTTCAGAAAACACTGACAAAAATGGCAAGTAAACGGGCTGCAACAACAGAATTGAATCATGATAACTGGAACGAAGAGAATGAACCAGAAGATGCTGGTACATTTGCGAAAGCAACAAGCGAAACACTTGAAAAGAGAATTATAAAGACAGCAAGACGTAATCTTCCACCGAGGGATGTAAGTATATGTTTCAATTATTTTGTATCGATTATATTTCTTTATTACTATTCTGTTTAACCTATTTTAGGGCGCTATGAAAAGCGCATTTGGAACATTTACAGGTTTCAAAACTACGCCAGCAACCAGTTCGTCTCCGTTTGGTTTTTTAGCTAATATAAGTGTTACTTCTACTATGACTACTTCTGCTACATCAACAACTACTGTAAATACAAGCAGTAGAAATATCGCAAGCAATGGTTCTAAAATTCCCGAAAACGATGCGAAAACGAATCAAATGGAAGACACAATTAAAACACAAACACTGTCGAGTACCAGTTCAAGCAAAACAATTTTGACCAAGCAAAATGAAAAGACAAAGCGCCGTTCGTCAGATTATTATGCGAAGTTAAAGGGTTTGAACGAGAGCGTCGCTACGTGGATAAAAACTCATGTAGATGCAAATCCATTTTGTATATTAACACCTATATTTAAGGATTATGAGAAATATCTGAAGGAGATTACATCGAAAGAAGAGAGCATCAAAATACAAACACCGCATCCTCCGCAACATGTAACACAGGCTGCAGAAAAGGATCAAAAGGATACAAATGACCAAAAGGATACAAAAGAAAGTGCAGAAAAAAAACTTGATACTTCCTCATTTGGTACTTCAAATGCGAATACAAAATCTGCTTCAACTACAGCAACAGAATGGAAGCCTGAAAAGTCGATATTTTCCAATATTGCTGCAAATACAAAATCGATATTTGGTAATACAGAACAGAAAACGGAAAGTCCTAAGTCTGTATTCGGTAATGCGGATGTAACTCCTGATAAAGGTAGATCTATTTTTGGAAACATAGAGTCGAATGTTGGTAAGAATATATTTGGTAATGCAAATGTGGAAAGTAATCCCTTTTTACACAAATCCTCTGCCGTTACGGAAGGAGACAAGGCGGATGAAGAAGATACAACATCCAATACAAAGTCTGTTGCACCTACTTTTCCAATTTCCACTTTTAGTTTTGGACAAAGTTCTACTACCAACAATGTTACTGCTGGGTTTAGCTTTGGAAGGTAATTTGTTCATTAATTTTGCTTATAACTTTTTTATTTGAGATGTAAACGTATTTTTTAATGATTTTACAGTGCAAAGCCATTTTCGTTTGCCCCTCAGGCAGTGAAACCACAAGAATCGGAGGATAATACAGATAATGAAAATAAAGATGAAGAAGCTGAAGAACCACCAAAACCAGATTTTAAACCGATAACCGAAGAAGGTGCTGTTTATGAACAACGGTATGTCAATTTTTGCATTGTAATCAGTTGTTAACATCATACAGTTTTAAAAATAGGATTATATAATCTTTTTTTTATTGTAATAAATGAATTAATGATCCAATGTTATCTTTTTTATAGATGTAAAGTCTATATAAAGAAAAATGACAACTATAGTGAAAGAGGTGTTGGGACGTTATATTTGAAACCAACACCGAATGGAAAGACGCAATTGATAGTACGTGCCGACACGGCTTTGGGTAACTTATTACTCAATACTTTATTGACTCAAAGTATTCCCATCAAACGTATGAACAAGAACACAATAATGTTAGTCTGTCTACCTATGCCAGACTCTTCACCACCACCAGTCGCAATGTTATTAAGAGTAAAAACTAGTGAGGTCGGAGATGAACTATTTGAAACATTGAATAAACATAAAAAATAGAAAATTAAATAAATAAATGTGGATCGAAAAAAATGTTTTTTTGACGTTATCATGCTAACAATGAATTATCCTAATTCATACATAACAGAAAATTTGTTTATTAATCAATAAGATTTGTTCATCAACATTGTTCATCATTCCATAAAATAAAATTTGTAAATGTAAATTGTGCATAAGAAAAATAATACTTGAACATGATAATCGCCAATAATTGCAAGTAAACAAAGAGATTTTATGATGAAAAAATATATATTGTTTCCAATTCTGTCTTACAGATATTGTAAAAAAATGTAATTAACATATATATCTTCTTAATAGACTCTGTTTCTAATAAGAGATATAATTTAATTATTTCTGAAAGAATGTCTCTATACTTAAGTACTATTTGGAATGATTGTTGCTAATATAATGTAATAATACATTGAACATATATGTACATAGTAGAAACACAAGTATATATTGCAAATTAGATAATTTACACATGTAATGGCTATTGAAATATTCTGTACTGTTAATTATAAGTATAAGAAAAAATATAGATTGCATGGAATTATCTGATATTTATTGCAACATTTTTTTATGAAATAAAATCCTTATTACAAATAAGAAAATTCTGACATTATTTTATACTAATATATCATGTAATAAACAAAATTTATGTAATTACATCAAGTAGAGATTGCATAGTAAAAGGATAATGAATGTTTGATTACAAGGTAACAAAAAAATACCGATTTAAAATTATAAATTATCAATCTTTCATATTTTGTCATTATTTATACATTTATTATATGTGCTTGATAAAATTATTTCTATCCCAAAATTTGATCTCTTTCAAAAGTATATTTTCTTTGGATTATACACGACTATTATATATAAATATACAAGGAATATATTAAATAATGTCCTTTTTTTCATAATACATGCAAAAAAATAATATCGTCACGAACGATTTTTAGATAAAAATTGATTAAAAAACATCTAATATTTGTGATATAGAATTAACTTTCTTATAATTAGCTGAAGCCTTTACGTCCGCATCTCCGAAATTACCGAATTTCTTTAATGATATCTGTACCATATATAAATCTGTACCATTATATATAAAAGCATGGAAAGCTTCTCAAATTTCAAAGAATTTAACTTTTACTACTTGCTTATATGTACACACGTTGCATTCAATTTAATAATGTGTTGCTGCTTTATATCTAGAATAGAATTATACATACAGTATGTAAAAATTTGAAACATGAACATTCTTAGATCCTTAATATGTTCAATAATATTCAACGATATACAAATTTTTGTCTAATATAAGTATTTCAATGTGTTATGAAATTAAAAAGAGAATAGATACATTCTGTATATACAAAACTAATATAATTGCTTAGATCCTATATGTTGTGTAGACATGTAATTTACATAACAATATATTATTAATATAATCTATACAAGAGAAAATAATTAGTTTATTTTTTTATAAAAAATTATGGTGCCGTGTATTTGTCTATACTGTTTGCCAATTGTACTATTATATGCTTCATGAGAATGTTATATGATGTAATATATGTATAAACGATTATTTTTTCAAGTTTTTTGAGACATAAACGGTGTTAGAGCACCCATCTGTGTTAAACCTAGTTGAATATGCTGCATATGAATTTCTACACAATTTTGAAATACTTGTTGATTCTGTGGACTGAGTTTTGATCTAATCTGCTCCATAGTACCTTGCAACACTTTGAGCTCATATGCGTTTCGATCGGAATCTGATAAGCTCTGTGTTATGCAAAAATATAAGAGAAAATATCTTTAGTATCAAACGAAAATATGAAACAAATTTATTTAAAATACCAATTTATTTTACCTTTACTTGTAACATCAATGCAGTCAAATCCGTTACCAATTGAGTCATCTTTCCTGGTGCTTTATCATTTATCATATTATTTCTAGCAACCATATCTGCCGCTTCTTGCTTGCATTTCTCTCGAAGATGCGATGGAGCTAACATCGCTGCCACGCTAGGTTCGGGCGCCATTTCTTGACACAATTCTTGAATATCATTCAAAAAATCTTGTAAAGCTCCATTCATTCTTTCTAATTCGACGACAATTCTAAAAACGACAGTACAGTATAACAAAGATGTGATATCATAAATCTTGTATGGATATGACTAGTCCATATATCATACCCTGCATATCTTCTTTCAAAATCGGGAGGTAATAATTCTCCGAAAGAACGTCTCTTTTCAGCTTCCCCATTCATTTCTTTCAATTTCTTAATTTTCATCTTTTTATTTGCGAGTATCTTATTCACTTTTACCATGAGTTCGAGTAACTTCAATGGGTAACCGTTCATTGTACCCCCAATATGCGGCTTCTTCGGTATAGACACAGATGCATTGGATATCAAAGGATCGTTAGTTAATCGCGGGGATAACTTCATTGCGTACGGTGGTGAAGGTACGTATTGTAAAGGCCGCGGTCTAAATTTTTGAGCGAACGATGCAACGCTGATCGTTTCTGGTGGTTCGTTCGACTAGTATATTTTAAATAAAATACATATTAATATAAATATGTATATGGATATCAAACGAATTCAATATAATATGTATATGCATATCAAATGAATTCAATATACATTTTTCTGAAAAAAGAGAACAAGAGACGTACCAAAACTTCATAATCCGGAACACTATGTGTTCCTAATCCAGCTCTCTCGAACGTGATTCTATAAGTATTATTGCTAGTATCGACAGCGTCGATGCTTCCAGTGAACAAGCCATCTTGAGGTTTTCTCAATCTTGCTGTTACTTTTGTACCAATTACTAATTGTAATGGTATTTCAGGTGGCAAATCCTTGAAACTATTTATGTCTGCCGTTTTTCTTTGCTGCAACATCCGTATTTTCTGCCGTTTTCTCTCCAGTTCCCGTCTCTCCTCCTCAAAGAATGATTGTGAGCATCTTCGTGGTTTGCCCATCATTCTTCTAATCTTGCACCATTCTACCCGTGTAAGTTTGCGAGTTTTCAATTGTGGAAATGATTCCTTCAGGCATATCATGAAGTCATTATCACCCTCGAATAAAATTCTGCAAAAAAATATATTGTTATATAGTAACACTTTCTGCTTATATTTTCACAAGAGAAATTGTTAATATTTTTATTCTTCAATATATCTTACATTTTGTTATTATTTTTATACATACTTATCAATATTGCTGTAAAACCACTCGTAACAGACCCATTTATGCGCTTTTGGCAGCTTTAATAAATTTCTCAGTCTCATACCAATTTTTTGTCCTATTTTTCGATCTGGTGATGTAGGTTGTAACTTATCAGGTCCCTTTTCTTGCTTGATAGGAGTACTTATGGGAGTTGACGGTTGTGAAGTACTTGTATTTTTCTTTGGTTCATTTAACATCTTGGTGTGTTTTTTCAATGGTGATGGACGCAACATCTTTTTAGGAGATTGTTTTGTTTCTGCATTCAACGGATCCTTCTTGATCCTAAGAATATGATTATATACATTTTGTACATTTAATTAATATTTATTCAACTACCATTAATCATATTTTTAAATACAAAACAGACAATTTACCTATGATGTGGATGATTTATTAAGACATCATCATAAAATAACTTGTTTTTTTTCCTAATTCTTGCAGGCATTCCTCTGCGATTTAACACTTGTACTGGCTGTGTCGGAGGATTCGGTTTGGCAGGTGGTTGAGTGCCTACTCTTTGTAGACCAAGAGCTGCTGGTCCAAGTTCTGGTATTGGTTCAGGTTCTTCAGTATCCATTTGTTGATCCATAGAATTTGTTGATCCATGATTTGAAATATGTTGCTCATCCATGTCCATCGTATCATCATCAATTACTTCTGTTTTAATTTCATCAACTGCTGGATATCCACCATTTTTTATGGATAGTAATGTTTCTGCAGATTCATCTAAACAAATTTATTTCAAATTTATATATGTGTATATATATATATATATATATATATATATATATATATATATATTATGTGTATGTGTGTGGTTGAAAATTTTTTAAAAATTATGTCTATATAACAGCTATCTCTATAAATAAAATTATTAATGCTTGAATAAAAATTACTACAATAATTAAATATAATGAAAACTTTAGCAATAGTGTATATAGTTTATATAGTTATGCAAGAAAGAATAGAGTTAAAAAATAAAAAAAAAATTGCACACACTTGAGAGAACATTAAGCCTGAATATATATCAGGTATTAAATTTATAACATTTGTTATAAATTTAAAAAGAAAGGACCAACTCTTCTCTTTCTTCTCTTTTCTAATTCAATTATAGGAAACAGAAAGACATTACTATTGGTCCATCATAAAGCGCGATATAATTTGGCTCGAAGATGAATTTAAAAAAAACGTTATATATTATATCGATGAAAGATTGGCCAGAATATCGACCGTACCAAGTATTCGTATGGCGTAAAGAGTAACATAACCAAACACTCGTGTTTGGTAAACAGTCTACGCGAACGACGATCGAGCGGATCGTCGGGCTTGTATCGCGAGACCGTCGTAAATCGGCTCGTCAAGACGTGAAACGCGGACGGCTCGCCGTTCGATGTGATATGACGTATCGTCGACGTTAGAGAATCACGGTCGTCCCGCTTGAATCGTGTGTTGGACATTTTTGAAATTTTAAACCCGACACGCTCCCGATCGCCGTTCGAACGGCGATTACGATTCGTCGCGGCCACGTGCGCCGGCGTGCGATCTGTCAAATCGATGAAGCGTGAACGCGGATTCCGCAGGGTCCGGTCCTCGACGGCCACCGTGGCCACGCGTCGCGTTAATTTCATCGAAAATAACAGAAAGTTTACTCACTTTCAATCATGTCCGCCATGTTGACATCAGTGATGCATCATGGGTACGCGCTTCCGAGGCTCAAGGTCCGCCATCTCGCGTGGTTAAATCCGGTTGGTCTACCATCGCGGGATCGCGTACCGAAATTTACTCCTCAAAGCGGAGTAGCGTCCCATCGACCAATCGGGACGAAGACATTTTTGTTTCCTCCGTTGCGATTGGTCGGTCGAACGTCACACGAGTCAAAGAAGTAAATTTTGGAACGTTACCCGGAAGTCACGCTCCGCTCGTCGCGTTAATTTTCTTGGAGCGCCAAGTGCTGGTAAGAATACCGAAATTGTTTATGTATAAAGCAATAGTTGATTAAATAGGACAATAGACTGTTATTTCATCAAAATAATCAGCGTAAAGAGATTTAATTATTCACAATACTTAATAATTTATGCATTCACTTAATAATTTATAATTTGCAAAGTAATGATGATATAGTAAATAATCAATGAAATTTTTTATATATTTTATTACACGGCAGATGCTCATAATTAACAAAAAACACAATATTTTAATTATTTTTTTTTTCAATATAAACAATTTTATGCTTACAACATTAATTCGGTTAACATCATTAAATTTTAAATTTGTCATGATCTATTTTTTTCTTGATTTAAAATATGTTTAGATAAAAGAGAAAGAGGTTATACTTAAGTTGGGATAAATTATATACACCATTCTTTCTGATAATAAATCTTCCAAGAAAAATTTTATCAATCGGAAACGCTTGAAAAAGTTTTGAATCGGAAAAAAATTTTATTCGGAGAGGACATTTTGACCTTGATATGCATATTTTAATATGTATATATTTTCTCGATTGTCTAACTTCAAGCGGTATTATGTATTACTGATTTTTTCTATTTATCTAGATTTTAATCGATCTTGAAATGATTGATAGGTGTAATGATGTATCTTATCTGGTTTATTATGGCATATTTAACGTATAAAAACTGTTTTGCTATCGATCGCACGCTTGTTAATGTTAATAAGTATTGCAGAGATAAAGACAGATTAATTACATCCGAGGAGAATGATGAATATTTGCTTGTCAGTGCCGAGAATCATACGACTATTATATTAGCATGTCGTTATTGGTAAGAAAATCACACGAAAATACTCAATTGTAAAAATAAGATAGTACGCGTATGAATGAATTTGTGCAAACGAATATGTCTTAAATTGTTTATCAAATTAAAATCAATTAAATTAAAAATAATTAAATGTCTTTTCTTCAATTAATCATTAGTTTCAATTAATCATTAATTATAATGAATAGTGTGTCTCAAATTGTTTATCAAATTAAAATTAATCTAATTGTAAATCAAATTGAAAATGATCAAATGTCTTTTCTTCAATTAATCATTATTTAATTATTAATGTCTTAAACACATAAATACATATGTGAGAAATATTTATATTTTTTGAACCGATTTATTTCTCGGTAAATTGTTGGGAATCCACACCAGAAGCAATGATCACGAGGAATCTCAATCAAAAATTTGGTACTACCAAGATCGATATCGAAAAAGTCCGGAGAAAGAAGTCGAGTTGGGAATGGATAATAATGTTTCATACAGTAGAATCTACACGACACCGGATCTTTCTCTGGTCATTAAAAGTTTTTCAGTCGCCGATGCTGGTATTTACCGATGTCACGGTGAAGAAGGACAAGAAAGAGAAAACAAATATAATTATAGGATTGAACGTAAATATATAAATAATATGGCATAACAATTAATGGAACATTTGTAATATGATATTTTATATTGAATATTTTATATATTTTTTTATATTGAATATCCTTCATTTGTAACTATATATATCTTTTTTAATGTCCAATTATCAAATTGGAAAAATTGTTAATCAATTTATTATACGATATAAAACAAGAACAGCTCAATTTATATTTTCAATCATATTTATTGTATTTGATATATATACATATATATAGCTTTTTTAGGATATTTGTCGTTCATCCTGCATATATTGAATCTAATATTGTCAGTTTTTAATAGCAATTCTCAAAGATATTGGCGGCGAGTTTGTAGAAGAAGGAAACATAACTGAATGGGAAAAATATCGTGAAATATATTTGTGGCCTGTCACTACAAGATTTGCAGTAAATTAATCAATTTAAGTGCTTGAATTATCTAGTCGTTTTAATTAAACGAAATAAATAAATAGATTATATCGTTTCTGTTTTCTCTTTCTGTTATATTTAAACGAAAAATGGAATACAAAGTTATGCTATTTAAATTACATAAATTAAATATGATATGTGATATAATTACACTGTTGAGATTAATTTTCCAAAAGAAAATTTTAAAGAAAAAAAAATCTCTTGGGCCAGATCTCAAACATGATGAATTTAATTGAGATCCGTGAGGAAGGAGTTACTCTTCAAGTAATATCCGAATGGGGTCCATGGAGTCCGTGCAAGCAATGTATAAATAATCGTGGTATTAAAACTAGTAGGGGTTACTGCAGATTAAAGCGCAGTATAAATTCAGTGAGTATTACTTATATTTTTTCTCTTATTGTAGGCCATTTGATCTATAATATAGAACTATATCTTTATTATTGTTTTATTAATACTTATTATTATTTTAGACTATGATAGAGAGAAACGACTCGGTTATTGTACACTTCTTTCGAGAATCTCCAATACTTCCTTGCAAGTAAATATCTATAGCATTTTAATTTCGGCGTTTTTTGATTAATAACATGATAAATTTATAGATTTACTGTGCGTTTCTTAGATCTATTTTGCTTCAAGATGAATTTCCCACTATCAGTCGTATCCTGCGATATCTGCCAGAATTTATTTTAAAAGAACCTTGCAAGAAATGTCCACTTGTAAAGAAAAGAAAGAAAAGTGAAAAGTTTCGATACGCCAAACGATACGTTCTTGCCCAAGGCGCGCATCTCACCGTAGTTTGTCCAGAGTAATAAAATTATATTGCGTATGTATTGTATTTTATATAAAATTTGACAATGAGAAAGTATTTTATATGTAGATCAAACACAGCATCGCAAGTAGTTTGGAAAAAAGACAAACTAACTTTAAAGAAAGGAACAGGACAGTCGTTTCGTAAAAGCGATACGGAGATTCGAGTGATGGTAGACACTTTCTCAACACTTTACTTAATAGGTAACATAATATTATATATAGTAGCTATTTTAAGAATTAAAAAAAAATAAAATAAAAAGAATAAAATAAAATTACAATCTAAAATTACAATGCATTTATTTGATAAATTTTTACTTAAAAGTATAATGTAAAATTTAATATTTTTTATATTGTATTTTATAATAATACATTTTATCGATAGATGTATCCAAAGAAGAGCAAGGTAACTATACTTGTTATGTGGATAACATTAATATGATGCGTTTAAAAGTCATCGTTGTATCTAAAACTCGGCTTTTGACGCAAGGTTAGCAACACGAAAATTATAGTAAAATATAATGAATGAATAAGATTACAAACACAATTATAAAAATAATAATAGTCACAATTAAAGTTTTATTATTAACTGATTAAGTTATTAATAATATCTTTACATATATAATATCGAATCTTATAAATCTATATTATATTTATACTGTTACATATTGTTTTTGGATAGCTTTTTTCCGGCATTTGGGTTACTTGGGAGTTATAATCTTCTTGACTTCAATCTGCTATTGCGCGGGTATAGTAATAACTTGCCGACAGAGAGATAAATTTCAATCTTTGCCACAAGATGATCCATCAGCAGGGGAAATTAAGTAGTTTGCCGAAATGCATTAACAACATTTTGTTGATTTTATAAATAAATATAATAAAATATTATATTAAATACAATAAATTATTAAATTACATTGAATGAAATTTTTATCTTAGATTGGTAGTTTTTTTTCTAATAATCTAATGCACAAAATGTTTAGATTTTTAAATCTAATTTTTATATATGTTTATGAAACTTTATGAAAAACTAAAATTTATCAGAGAAATATCTACAATTAATTAAATTGCTTATTTTTCACTTAACAATATAAATTACATAAATATGTCACTTTTATTATGCATCTAATGTTTTTGTTTGTAAATATTTTAACATTGTATGATAGATCAGTTATCGATTGAGAATAATCCTTATGGCTATCTCTTTTGTGTTCTTTCGATCCGATTTTTCTTGGCATATGATGACCTTAAAGTAAAGTGAAAGGGGGACTTGGTACGAGATAGCTACGTGTTCGTCTCCAGATAGTTCAGTTTAGTTCCAAAATGGCTATGTTTTATCGTAGCTCCCGGCTTCTTATTTACGGTGCTTATTGATGAACTAGTATAATTAATTATACAAAAGATTGATTGAAGATTAATGATAAAATAGGATGAAATTTCGAACAAGTGTTTACGCGATCTTCGCAGCTTTCTCCATTATCACGATTCAAGAAAGTGTTGGTGAGTTTCTTGTAAATGAAAGCGTTTTCTTAATTACATTGTATTCTTAGTCATACATTCTTAATTCCTTTTTAATAATATGTGAAATTATAAATAAGAGAAAAAATGGAATTATATTTCGTTAATATTTTATTTTTATTAAATCAATAAAAAAATTTTTTTTCTTTCTTAATAAGAATATTAATATTTTATGTAGATGTTCATTAATTTCTATGAACAAAATAAGTTGTCTTATTCAAATGTATAAATAATTTTTATTATAAACTATAACTTATATATTATTTGTCTTAATACTTTATGCATAAAAATTATAAGTAGAAAATCCTATATATCAATACATAAATAAATCTTATTGATCAGTGTCATTGTGCTACAGTGAAATGGCGATTTTGATAAAAATGACAGTCTCATTTTTGATGGTGTTCCAGGGATTCTTCGAAGATGCGTGAGCTGTAGATCAAGAGGAGAACTGGGTTCCTGTAAGGATCCTTTTACCATGAATTCTACGCAAATTGCGCTTGAAAAAGGAGTAGAAGCAGTTCCATGTGTTTCTGGATGGTGTGGGAAGATCATTGAGAGTCAAAATTTAAATAATGGTAATTTTTTTTTAAATATTTTTTTTATATTCGGCAACATATGTAATTTATACTTTCTAAAATGGAAAATATAATACATTAATTTCTTCGAGATTTCTATTAAATTTTACATTCAAATTTATGTTACTACTGAAATAAAATTATTAATAATTAAGTAATAAAAGATTTTATAATTTGATAATAATAATTTTATTCTTTTAAGAAATTCTTTTAAAACAATTTTGATATAAATTTTTACTGCACAGAATATGGTACTGCTACGCAAAGACTATGCTTCCAACGAGGTCCCGACGATACCGAAGAAAGATGTGCTTATACTGTGTGGAATTACAGAAAAGTTTATATGTGCCTCTGTTATGGAGATCTTTGTAATGGAGTCATGAGAATAAGCGTCATTAACAGGTTTTTAATAACGATAGCTATATGTTTAATACGATGGTTGGTTTGAGGACATAAATCATTAATCTGTTATAAATGAATGAGTACTTAAATGAATAATTAAAAATTCTTGTGAGTATTTTGTAAAGTATGCAAAAGATTTTACAAAATCAGCATTTTAGTAGATATGTTATATAGATATGTATATGTAATAAAAAATAATGTGTTTTTTAAAAACATATCATATAATAAGCGTCATAGTAAAGTATACTTTACATTTTATTTTATATATTTAGATTTTTAATTTTTTGTTTTAATTTAATTCTAATTAATTTTCTTAATTAATTTCTTCGTAAGATAAAGTGGAAAAAATTCCCAACGCAATAATATATGATGAAACACTTCATATATATTATTATCAATTAGGATTTTTAAAGAGTGTTCTTAAATATTTCATCTTTATTTCCTTTTTCTTGAGCAATTATATTTTGATTTTTAATATATTGTATTTTGTTTCAATATGTCACAAAATATGATGCATTTTTTATTTGTAAAAATTTCATATATTGCAAATTAAACTTATATATAATTTCTCAGAGCACAGAAATATTTCTATTGAGTATAAATAACTTTTTTCAATCGAATCATTCTCTTAGCTTATTTGCTTCTCGACACATGTCTGTGAAATGGGGATCTAGGATTTAAACTGCCTAGATTTTGTCCGTGCAAACCATTTAATCTCCTTTCTTCCTGATTTCGCAGCAGTGCTTTTGCATGCGGATAATCATCGAAGAAAAGCTCACCTAATCCATAGAGATATTTAACTGCCATCATCGCTTCACGGCCGGTTAATAAATACGGATCTCGTCCTGTACAATCAAAACAAATTAAAATCAAAGACATATATATAGTATTAAACAGAACGTTATTATTACTTAAATAAAGAAACTATGTGTAATTAATTTTCTAATCACTTTTTCTAATCACTTTTTTCCAATATATATTGAGAAATCAATTAATTTTGTCTAGAATGTAAAAGTATAATTGAAAGTACGTAATTAAAAGCAAATATATATAAGTAGATTTTATCAGCCGATACATAATTAAAAGAAAAGAAAGTACGTAATTAAAAGCAAATATATAAATGGATTTTAATTATTAGCGGAAAGGTACTTTTACCCTCCAATTTGTAGAAATTAGGAAGACCACGTTGCATCTCGTGCCAGCTATATCCGAGGTCATTAATGTCAATCGGTGGCAGAAAGACACCGACCGGCCACAAGGATTCAGCATTTTCAGTACTCGATATCTGCTGTAAGTGACTTTGTCGTAGATTCGTTCTATAATTATAATCTGTAAAAATATAGTATAAATATAGTATCTGTATAAATATATCGCAAATATAAATTATTTTTATTCACACTGAAAATATCGAGAAATATATTTATATAGACTATACTATTTATATTATTAATTAATTATATTATTAATTTATATTATTAATTAATTTAAAATTAAAATTTAATATAATTAAAATCGATAAAATAATTAATGCACAAATACATATAAGAATAAAATAGTTACCGAGATCCTTAGAATGCTTCGCCGAGTTTCTTCGACCGATCGAGATGAATGATTTTTGAGCCAATGTTCGATCCCCTGAAGAGAAATATGAACGAGTTAAAATAAATTAATGCAATATAAAGCATTATTGCGCAATTGGTACCTAACCGTCTGTTGTGATGCTGTGCTCATGTACATTGGAAGGCGATACGAATTTCACATGCACATTGGCGAGCGGCAGAGAACTGACCGTCGATGTTGCGAATAGTAGTAATATCATTGTTATCTGAAATTAAAATAGCGAGTTATTTTGTAATTAGGGATTGGCAAGTATATTAACGAATTGTTCATGAATCATAACAAATGAAAAAAGCGGTTTCAGTCATTTAAGAATACATTTCTCTCAATTACTTTGGAGAATCGATATTTTTCTTCTTTGTAAAAATTTCATATTTTTGCTGAAAATAATATTTCTATAAAGTAGAATCAAGAGAGATAAGATTTTGCTAAATATTTTGATTCGTCTTTGATCAGAGCGTGTTACAAAACATGTTACATATATCCATTTGATTAAAATATCTATATCATATATCTATATCATATCAATTACGTTATCTGAAACTTAATACGCTGTGAACAGTGTTTATAGATTTTTTTATAAGAATTAGATTACACATATATATTCCAGTTTCAAGATATTATTTGTATATTGTACGTTATTTTTGTAAATTCGTTATCTATGTATTAAGAATTATGCTATTCTTTACGAGAAAGCCCAAGGCACTTCTATATATATATATATATATATATATATATATATATATATATATATATATACATATATGCATTGACGACAGATAAATTTCTTTTTTGATAAATCATTCGATGATGCAATAAATAACCGTAAAAAATACATAATGTACAAATATGTCAAGGCGAGCAAGTTTCTAAAATTTATTCTAGATGTACACAGAATTTATAATTGTTTTCGTGGGAGGAAAAATTACATAATTGTCTGTGAAAGTAATTTGAGAGATTAATCATAGAAAGAGCTATATTAACCGTGAGAGAAGTTTGTAAATCATTATTAATATATAAAACATGTATAAATATTAGATAAACATAATTAATTGATTATAATGTATATAAAAAGTCATTACATCGATATATGAAATAATCGATTCAGAAGATTTATGTTTTGCGTGGACCGAACATTTTTTAACAACTATTGTATGCTATTGAAATTTTATGCGCAATAATCATTTTAAGATCATTTATCAATATTTATCAATATTTGATTCATTCATTTTTTATTATTTCTTCAAAATATAAAAAATAGTTGCATTATAATTACATTATTACATAACATTGTTACATAATTATAAAGTTGCATTACAATTACATTATTGTATAATTACAAAGTTTAATTATCATGTATATATTTTATCTATATCTATTATTATTCAATGGTATCTAATTTTTATTTAATTTTTCGATATCTAATCTTTATCATAAGAAATGGATCCTTTATTATCTATGTATATAAAAAAAGCAATATTTATTAATATCATAATTATCTCTTTTTATAGGTTCTTCATATATGGAGTTTCAAGATTTTACTAATATTATCTTGATGTAATGTTGGAATGCGTTTACATCATTTCGATGACCTGCTTGCGAAACATTGCCCTCCCCTGCGAGTATACCAAAGACGATTTTCCCACAAGGATTACCAGCAATATTTGCGCTTTGAAAGGCAATACATTTTTAGCAACTACGTAGAGAAAGAAAAAGAGAAGGAGAGAGAGAGAGAGTAGTAATACTATATCTTTGCAGTTCATCATTGTGTACTATTACACCATCACTAAGCGCACCTACGCCTAGACAAAACGCGTGCACGCGTGTATGCGTGCGAGCGAGTCCACGAAGAGACTCATTCTCTTACAGAAACATACACGTGCGCTCGGCAATGCGTGTCAAGCTACCCTTTCGTTTTCCTTTCCGTTCACCTTCACCTGGGAATATACTCTCTTGCTATTGAATCCCGCATTTGAAATTCAACGTTGCAGAAATTTGGTATGCATAAATAATTTTTTATGCTAATAAATAATTTTAATGAGAATCCTGACAATGAGATTCACGATCAAAAAGATTCAATTTCGGAAGAACGTAGATCTTTTTTATAAGATGGAAAATTCAATTAATATAATAGTGAATATAGAGATAACATTATACAAAAATAAATAAATAAATTCGTAAAATAAGAAGAAACATTGACACATGTACATAGGTGAAAAAGAAGGATACATGCTGCTATATTTAAAGTATTTGATTCTATTCTCGTAAGATGCATTAAATATATCTATGATTGAATATATATATATATATCCAATTGAATAAGAATAAATCATAAGACAATTACATTAATACATGCACGCATGTTTTATTGTCTTATTTTTTTTGTTTTAATCATGAAATTATAAAATAATAATATATTCTATGGAAGAAATAAACTCATGGATAAATTAATTCGCTATATAACTAATTATTGGATTGCAATTACAGTAAAAAAGTGAAAGAATAAATTAATTTGTTATAATAAAATTTTCTTTTTCAAATTAAAAAAGTTAAAATCAAAATAGACAAATTAGCTTTTCAATTTCCTTTATAAATTATATATCGTGTAAATATACTTTTGCTTTTCGTTTTCTCTTTCTCCATCTATCTATTTATAATTTTTTAGATGATGACATTGAAAGATTAAAGATTTAGAAAGATTGTTCTAATCTCTCTTTTATAAATAAAAATATTAAAGAATATTCTAAACTATTATATTTATATTTATATTTATTATATTTATAAAAGTTAAGAATTTTATTAATTCAGATAACAGATATAGGACTGTAAAAACTATTGAAAGTTATTTAAAATTTCCACTTTTTGTAGTTCTTCATAGAATCATCAGTGTTGCACTAAACGTTTAAAGATGACTATATTTCTTTGTCAAAAATTCCATTATTTTCTAAATATTTAAAGTGTTTCAAAGTTTCACACAGTGTAATTTCCTGTAAAATTTACAGCTAATTTATTATTCACAATAATATTGCAAGATGTCATTTTTTTCAATTTTAATTAATATCTTGATAATGAAATCTCGCGTTAAAGTTACGTTAAAAAAACAAAATAATTAAATTGGAGGAAGGAAAAACAATGGATATATTACAACTATTGTTAAATGTTTAAAGTATATATGTTAACACCATAAACATCTTATTAAACTTTATTCCACCCACCGTCATTATTATGCGTTTTTGCGTTCGATCGTTTAGCACACCAATCGAAAGCTCGACGAAAGGATGGACGATTTCACTGTGCACTCTTACTCAATCGGAACACAATCGTCCTAAGGATTTTTTCCGCGAACGTGTCTTTTAGGATCTATCTAAATTTCGCGAGGCGCCTCATGGATGCGGTCAGGAACTGATCCAGTTTTCGAACGGAGAACGTGGCTGCATGTATGCATGAATTTCAGCATCCCCCTTCTCGCCACACACCACGTATATATACATAATACGTACCCCACCTGCGTAGTTCGACTTTTGCGAAGGTACCCAAGTAATAAAGACTGGCAGAGGATCACGACGAGACTTTCATCTCGATTGAGATCGCGCGGCGCGCGATCGAATTTAACGCTTGCGAAACTTCTCCGTGAACGCACCACTTTTCTATTTCCTTCACGATGAATCACGCGAGATGAATTCGCGATTAAATATAATTTATTATATCATACAGATATTGTATAAGTCATTGACTATTAATTCATTTCAATATTAATTATTCATTTAAATATTAATTATAAATTCAATTTAGTATAAGACACAAATTCTAAGCTTTATCTACTAATTGCAATTTGATATTATTAAGATAATTATGAATCATGGTCATGTGAATACAGAAATATGTCTATATTTTACTTTAATAATCAAAATGTTAACAGTAGATTTAGAAGCTAAAAAAATTTGACACTTATAACTCTGTTCTTGTTCTAAAAATAATCGACAATTAAAGGACTAAAGTTAGACATTAGGAGCTAGAAAGTGCAGTTTTTTATTAATAGTATTTTATTTTCAAATAAGAGGGAATTTATGGAAAGTTCCTCACAACTTCTTTTCATTCAGTTATTACTTTCTTAAATTGTTCTTGGAAAAGAACGCAAAAGAACGGGCGAAGAGCTTCGAATGTTTGAACGTCCGAATCAGAAGGCGCGCGTTTCGCGCCGCCGACAAAATGGCCGTCGCCGGAGTTTCCGGTGATCGTCGCGCGCTAGTCGCGAGAGGTGTTTCGCGGGCGGCCGAGTTTATGGGTAATATTTCCCAAGATTCTTTGTGATGTACTGGCGTTACGGGGGGCCGACGAAAATTCAACTCACCGCGAACGAACGGGCGCTTCATTCATGGCCTCGTCTTGCGTCATTTCGCGCAGCCACGTGTGTATTTTCGTCTCGTTCATCGCGTCGCGACGTATCGGTTCTTCTTTTTGGAGATGGCGAATCTCGCAAAACGAGACGCGATTCGGTGCATAATTTGGCTTCCGCGGGTTCGTCCGGAGAACACATGCGATGCTGCGTGTTTTGACGTTTCTGCGAAATGTCAGTCGCGCGTAGATATGTCATCGACTTATGTCGATGACAACTACGTAATTGTCAGGATACTGGTTAATCGCGGATCGGGTATTGCGTGACATTTGATGCGATTTGCGCGGTAAAAATATATCATGCGATTTAGCGCGTGTTTGAAGGGAGGATAAGATCGCGAGCAGGATAAAACGGGATTCTTCTTGTTCGGCATCTATCAGCGAGAAATGTTGTCTGTTCGCAGCTGTGGCACAGTCGTAGGAGATTATGTCGGCGCAAAGTGCAGATCCTCCAAACTGCATCGCAAGTCAGGAAGAAGAAGAGGAGGAGATGATCTTGGACGAGGCTGAGGTGTGCACAGGGAGATATCCTGCAACAATCTTATTTGGATCATTGTATACATGTTTTGATATTTTTTAATATATATATGTGACTCTTTTTCAGAATAATCCTGTGGATATTTTGGAATGTTTATCAGTTATGATAAATGAGGGTACTGGGAACGATGCGAGTCAAGTGCAAGAACTTCTGTTGGATGATCAGTTGCTCGGTACAATGGTGACTGCTATTACATTGCCTGATGGAACTCAAGCTTTTGTTACAAATAATCTCAATGACATTGGTTGGTAATAATTTATTTTTTGCATGCTATCCAAGATAAGAAAATTTTTTTAAAAATTAATTTTTTTAAAGAAATTTATGTTTAAAGAAACGATTACTTTTTTAAATATATCTATATTCTTATATATATCAAATCATATTATGTATTTATAGATTCAGATTTCAAGACGCAAACATTACAAACAACGCTTGAAAATGGAAATACCATATTACTACGAGATTTGTCAGAATTTGGGGAGGGCAAGGCTCTTCAATTGGAATTAGATCCAGCTACTTTTGTACAAGCTGAAGATGCTTCCAATGAAAATGTAGAAAACACATATTCGCAAGTCGAATTTATCAATGGCACAACAACATTTATGGTAGCTAGTCACATGGATCTTGGTGAAAATTTATGGGAAATTCAAGATGGGAAATTAAAAAAGAAAGATTCCAAGATCTTAGTCAACAAATTGTCTGACACAAAGATTAGATATCCTTGTCCTAGAGAAGGATGTTCAAAAGTTTACAGCACACCCCATCATCTCAAGGTAATTAATAAAATCAATATTAGTAATGTAGACAAAATTAAGTAAATTACTATAGAAATATTGTTCAAATTGTTTTACATATAATATCTAAATTGGTAATCATAAATTAAATTCTTTTTTTGATAGGTTCATGAGCGTTCGCATACTGGTCAAAGACCATATAGATGTACGCATCCAAAATGTAAGAAAAGCTTTTCAACAGGATACAGTTTGAAAGCACATTTGCGGACACATACAGGTGAAAAACCATATAAGTGCACGAATGGAACGTGTAATAAGAGTTTCAAGACATCAGGCGATTTATTAAAACATGTGAGAACGCACACAGGAGAACGTCCATTCGTATGCCCATTTGATGGTTGCGGCCGATCATTTACTACAAGTAATATTAGAAAGGTAATATTATAAAATTTGTTGTTAATCGAAATATTTATAATCGCAAAATTTAATGACAAATGTTATCTGTTTGTCAGGTTCATGTAAGAACGCATACTGGTGAACGACCATATAAATGTACTCAGCCGATGTGTGGTAAGGCGTTTGCCAGTGCAACAAATTACAAGAATCATATACGGATACATTCGGGTGAAAAGCCTTATGTTTGTTCCATAGAAAATTGTGGTAGAAGATTTACCGAATACTCTAGTCTGTATAAACATCACCTTGTAAGTATTCTTAATTATTCTATTATAGAATGCTAATAATGTATAATAATCTATTATTTATTATTGATATTAAAAATACAAATATGCATTGGGGTTAAGTATATATAAGAAAATTATCTCTAGATATGTTGTATCTTTTTAGGTACATACACCACAACGTCCATTTGAATGCACATTGTGCTCTAGAAGATATCGACAAAGTAGCTCGCTGGTGTGTCACAAAAGAACAAATCATGCATTGATTGATAGTGACGATAGTGCTGATGTATTTTTGCAAGATTCTCTTGAACTTTCTAGTCAAAATAAAAATAAAAAAAAAATTACAAAAGAAACTGTAAGTATGATGCAAAAATCCATTTATTATTTGTTATTCACGCTTCACAATTATATAGTTGATAATTACAATTGATTTGAATTAAATCTAGCCACTTGGGAAAGATAAACAAATACAGATTTCTAAAATGATTGATGATATAAATGATAAGGAACCACAAATTTTGTTGGTGAGCGATTCTTCGCAAATCGCTACATTACAGGTTTGTAGAAAATTTTATATTTGCACATAACAAGTCTATTAATAAAATATTTTTACATTTCAAAATTTTAAATGCAGAAAATTGGTCTGGATGAAAGTTTTGATGATCCTGGCATTGATACAACTTTTGAAGGATTGAATATAAAGATCGAAGACATAGAATTTGGTTGGAATTAATACTAAAAGCGGAAAATATGATATATATGTGATTATTTTTTCGACGTATATCATTATGTGTGAATATCATGAGCATTAAATGTTAACGATTTTGTTAACATTCATGCATATATTTTTTTTAATACCAGAGCAAAATCAAATAAGCAAATACGTGATAATAGCTGCGAGCTCAAATTTTATTTTCTCATCCGAGTTTCATAAACTCATCAAACAGAAATATAAGATAGTGTCAAGCATTTCGTAATGAGTGTGATAGTTAATATATTACGGTATAAATTGTTTCAATAGTCATTATAGCCTAAGTAAAGATTTATTTGACATAATTCAATGTTTAATCAACAAATATGCTAAAAGGGACTTTAGAGAAATATACGTGTGTTATTTTTCATTTACGGATCGAATTTGATGATCTCTCAGCGAAATTATATCAGTTCATACTTTAAACATATGGGTGTAAGCCAGGTAAGATTAAGAAAAGAAGATTAAAGGAAATATATAAAGAAAATTAATATTTATACTGTTGATTATGTTTTTAAAGGCAGTGCCTTATCTGAAAATACGCCCGAGCGTGAAGAAAAATACATATTATATATTATTATATATTACATTTTTTCTATCTATAATTACCGAATATGTACATGGTATTTTTATAATATTATAAATCTTTTTTTCACACTCATATAATTAGACTAGTTGAATTACATTTATATTTTTTATAGATATTTTTAATTAACATTTTCAATCAATATGCCGAGAAATTTAATTTTATTATATTATTATTTTATAAGATAATACAAGAGACATAGAAACTGAAGAAGAGATGTGTGATGACATACTTTATAATAATAAATGGATATAATATTTATATAATGCACAAATATATTTCCTAAAAATATCAAAAATAATATATGTATTGTATCTCGTTTCTAATATATTCATTTTTTCAAATTAAAAATTGCTTTTTTAATTTTACAAAATATATCTGTAAAATTTGAAAATGAGTATAATTGAAATAAAAAGTTCAACGATTTAAACTTTAAGAAAAATATATTTAAAAATGAAGAAGTTCTATCTAAATTAAAATTTAGAAGCTGTGTTATTTAGATATATATGTCATTTAGATATATATATGACATATATATGTCATTTAGATATATATATTGCATTCTTTTCAAATAAGATTTTTCCATATATTTTTTTCTGATCAAATTCTCATAGCTAAAAAGAGAGACGTTGCGTTTGATCATGCTAATTAAATAGATCATTAACATAGCTAAATCACAAAAGGCAACAGATAATGTAGATGTATTCTCCAACGATTGAAATAATTGGTATCAAAAACAAATTAAAAAAACATCGATTTTTGTAATCTTTATTTAGTTCTTTTTTATATACTATATCTCGAAAAAGTTTACTAAATTATTTTTTAAATTTATATTAAAAGCATTTTTTCTATTCTCTATATTTTTATAGCGCCTATATTTTTAGTTCTATATTTTTCTATTTTCTATATTTTTAACTGTTTTTAAGAAGATAATTTTAATGAACACTGTTAATATATAAGATAAACTGTTAAGAAGATAATTTTAATGAACTTTAAAGAATAAACTATCTTTTTCGATCCTCCCACCATCTCACAATCTTTCGCATAGTGCTGCTCTCGATTACGGATAGTCTTCATTCGACCAAGTACTCGACCGTGTTGATCCGTTAATCCTACAAATAATATTTAATTTTTTATTGACAAGGGCAATAATAACTAATTTCTATGCTACTATTTCTAGAATTTTATCTTGTGTAAAAATGATTCAAAATATCCCAGTTGCAAATCTTGTTATAAAATATAGCTACTCGACTTAATGCAAATATGTGGTACGAATTTGAACAGTATGTAATCAAGAAGACAAGTGAGTATCAAATAATTAAATAAGCTGATAAGGATTAAAAGGAAATAGTATTTTTTAGAAACTAACTACTGTGTTGATATTGAACATTTTCTTTTTTATGTATTTAAATGTTATCATTTTAAGAATTCACGTTTAATATGTATCCATTTGAATTCAGATATCTATTATATCATATCTAATATCAAGATGATCTCTTATTCATATGAAAATTGATTACGTACTATATTGATAATGAATAATCTATTTTGATAAAAAATATTACTTTCATTGATAGATTAATATTACAACGTGTAATATATAATTAGATAAATATGTATTTATAAATATGCTTTCCAGACAGAATGTATTATTTTATAATTATTTACTATATTAATGTAAAGTGAAATAATTCGATGTTACGTAATGAATATATATATATATATATATATATATATATATATATATATATTATTGCATTCCATTAATATATATTTTATTAAAATATGTAATTTTTTACATTTAGCATCAATGAAAGTTAATGCTTGCAAATTCAAAGTTATCTATATCTTATATCGAATCAAAATAATATTAAATTTAATTTATTGAATAATATAATTTCTGATACAAATTTATATTTTCACAAAAAATATACTTAAAATGAAGAATAATCGAAAGTATGCTTAAAAGTTATTAAATCCGGTAGCCGTGTATCGATTAATGGAAAATGTGAAACAAGAAATGTGAAAAAATAATTGATAACATATCAGTGTCAATCATGACGTTATCGCTGAAGTGTTAAAACAAAAAAGAACCTATCAATTCTCTTAGCCAATAATTACGATTTCTGTAATTCGATTGCTGCTATATAACTACGATTACGCGTAATGCTATCTTGTGATATTTACTGTCTCACATTTTTTAATCGACTTAAATGATTTATATTGGACATATGTTTGTGTTAATTAATATGATGAAAATAGCATGATTTATTGAAGAATACATCATTTTTGTAATATTATTCATTTGAATATAAAGAAACGAGCGTTATTTGGATGTCAGATATTATTTAAGAAGTCACAAAACTACTTTTAAATAAGCTTTTCAAATTAATGGCGGTATTCAGATTTTTTAATTTAATCTTATTTAATCTTATTTAATATTTTAGGATAATTTAATAACAAAAATTTATTTTTTAAATATATATATATATATTTTAATTTTACGAGATTAATATATATAAAAATTTAAGTATAAAGGAAATTATTTTTTAAAAAAGTACAATTTTTTATGATCTTTTTATTTTAAAGTGTTGACACTATCGTTTAATAATGAGTAATTATTGTAATAATCGTTTAATAATGAATAAGTATTGTAATAATCGTTTAATAATGAATAATTATTGTAATAAATACTAACATTCAATCTTTTTCTAAGATGTAAAATTATTACAGTTTAATTAATTGTGCGATAGGTAGGAGACACATGATTAATATTTCATATTTTTTCTCGACAAACTATTTTATACATTAATTGTTGACTAATTACCGCACGTGCATTAATATCGGTATATTTTAACCGCAACCGTGACCGACACGACGTGAGCAGTAAATGGAAGATAATAACAGTTGTTAAGTGACCGTTAACAGCCATAAAATTATTCGAGTTAAAACGCCGTCGTAAAACATTGTCTGTTCAACTAATCATTTCAACCTGCTCACATCAAAGTGTGTCATTTATGTTTCAAAGTTATAGACTCCGCGTAAGATTCATAAAATTATTGCCGAATTGCGATGAGATGCGATAGTATTGTAGTTTTGTTACCAAGTGAGATCTCTGCATCTGAGAAATAAAGGCGAATGAGTTTAAAATGGTTTGACGCAGTAGCTCTTTCATAATAGCTCTATAAATTAGAGTATAATGACATAAAATAAACTCCAATCAAAGCTTTTAAATACAATTACTCAGAAGTAATGTAACAAGGCGATCAATTCACGTTGCCATAAAAAAATTGTTGTAATTTGTGATGTGTATATAATACATATTTCCTAAAATAAAAATTTCATTTAGATAAAGTTTTTCAATTTTTGAATAAGTATTATTATATTAAACATTTGTTTGCGTATTTCTTTGTTTAATTTATTTTAAAGGTGCGCACTTGCAATTTTCTATTCTCGGCTTTTTGAATTTATATCTTGTATCCTTTTTTGCATTTTTTATATTATAAAATTATTTTATTAAAAATTCGAAATTATTTCATTAAATAAAAAATAGTATGAGACAAATTGTTACAATTTTGCTTTAACTAATTAAGGAGTAATAACATTTTATCTTTAGTACTATCTATTTTTGGGGTGAATCATATTTCTCATCTTAACTAAACATATTATAAGTATTACCAATAAACTTTATTCGAGGAAAGAATTGTGTGACTTGGTTGTCATTTGTGCTATTTCGCGAATAAAGGAAATTGACGTGCGTGAAACGCGCCCGTAAATTTATCTCGACAATTAGAAGCGATAATCGACACTAGCGTGATGTATAGTTGTTAACGTCGCCGAAGGTTCGCGACATTTGACGTATTATTCTTTCATTGCGAGTGAAACACAAAGGGGCCCAGTAACTTGGTAATTCTCGGACGAAGCGAAGCGCGAAGAATGAATTCCTCAGTTAAAATAGAATACATTCTCGCAAAAAATATCTATTTATTTTTGTCATTAATATTCTTCAATTTTTATTAATATTTTCTTCTTTTGTTCAAGAAGACCGAATGATATTTTTGCGCGGAAAGGGGCCTGAATTGTAAAGTTTCTTCGTTGCGAGGAGCCCCTGATCTCTGCTCGCAGCGAATGTGAATTTTCTCATGCGAGTACAAACAAGCGACGTCCACATTGACATTATTAGCAAATAATGATCGACATGTTAAGACATTGTAGTCCTCGTACGTCATAAACTATATTTATGAATATCTTATATACACATAAGAGGACAAATTGCTCGACTATTGTCACATTTTTTCTTTCATTATATTGTACGTCATTATATTATACGTCAATTTTCTGCGCCACGTTCTAAATTGATATAAAATATTATTTCGTCTCTAACTTGAAGTGGATATACGCTTATCTTTTAACTTAATTTAGCAAGCTTTTTTATTCGATTCTTAACTAGAGATTAAATGTTAATTTTTTGTTTTACATCGCTAAACGAAAAATTAATTCTCGATTTCACAATAAGCAACTCTCATATGACTTTCCGCCAATCCTAGAATACTTTATACTATTTACTATGCAATGCGTTTATGCAAATTCGCATATGATGCGCTTAAACCGGCACGAGTCATGAGACCAGACAGGAAATGTGAACTTGAGAAAGAGACACGTCTGTGTTGTTTCACGCCGTAAATTATCCTCGCGAATGCAAAAATCGATCGCTATTACGATCCACGTGGATCGCTATTACGATCCACGATCGGCAGGCAGGCCGGTGGGATATATGGTGTTCGCTTGTAGAGACCGAGCGCATTGCGCAACCAGACATTGTCGAAGGAAGGGTTTTAGTTCGCCGTCGAAGGTGCGCCGGATAGAATCTCGTTTCGGGTAAATATGGGCTGCGAATTTTGTAGACTTATTTAATTTATATTTTTTAATTTATCTTGTATGATATTTATTTTTGAGATTTTCGATGAATCAATTACTTCGTACAACATTTACTCCAACATACTATTGATTTAAAAAATTAAATTAATACTGTGATTGTAATATTCTTTTCTCGTGTATGTAAATTTAAATTTTTGCATATTTTTCCTTCTCAAGTATCAATCTATCAATCAAATTCATGCGATTTTTTAATCACAGTTTTTCCGGGTACTTAACAGCGAGGTGCAGCTACGATGATGACGTAGTGTCTAGATCGGTAGAAAGACTTCTCGACGGATCGAAGATATCGGACAGCGGTTTGATAACATTGCCATCGTGAGAGTTCGTGATAATCGATACGACACGACGATCGGTACGAAAAAACTGTAAAAGAGAGCCGCTCCTCGCGGGAGAACCTTAGTGCGCTTGTGACACTTGTGATGTTGGTTTAGCTTCACCACCGAAAATCATGTAAAGAATACGCATTCGTAACTCCGTCGCTTTACCAAAGACATTATGATTATCTCTGATGAATCCGATGAATCGATCTGATGATCTAACGAACCATCATCCCCTTGTGATTGTCTGATTCACGCCAGATTTCAATATCTCGCCGGCAGCATTCGAGAATGTCCAAGAAGCAATGGCTGGTGTTGCTGATGTTGTTCCTTGCGTACCTGCTGCTTGGCGCCTCTATTTTCTACTGCATCGAAAGACCTCTCGAGAGCAAAAGGATCGACCTAGCTAAAGAAGAACGCGAAAAGATTAACGGTAAGAACGATAACGACAATCACTTTCTCTGTATCGATTATCTGGCGCGAAAATCGCGTCGTCTTTAATTCATCAAGAAATCATTATTTCTGCATATTTATCGGCGCAATTGCATTAATGTATTATTTGACAGACACCGCAAATCGATTTTCGAGATTATGTTTCATTTACATTTTTCAATCGATTTTTGAAAATCAATTTCTTTTTAAAAATAAACTTCTGTATGAAAATGTTGCATGACTAATACTTTAATTATAGATGATTGTGAGAATATAAAGGATTTTTTAAAAATTATATTTTTAAAAAGTAAGTACAATTTTTAAATTCAAATAAACTGATAAATAGATAATTTCATAAAATGTAGATAAATAATTTCATAAAATTTAACTTAATAAATTGATAAATTTTTTCTGATAATTATTTTTTCTCTGATAATTATGATAATTCGAGGACAAAGAATACAAACATATTTAATGTTAAAGGTTCAAAATTAGCGTCAAACGTAAACTACCTTGACAATTAGCTAAGGAGAAATGAATTCATTTCACGTGCATTCTATATAAATCACGCTTATATACTATTATTCATTATTAATAGTAGGAATAAAATAACGAAGCATTCTGATTTTTGAAAATTATTTTAATTAACAAGCTTTATTGAAGCGGAAAAATACTCTTGACATTATCGTCAAAATGTATAGTCATGTATGTCGGGCTAGATATTAATTTAAAAATATCTTAATAGCATGAAGATATCGGGTTATCGTGTCTGTCTAATGTATTCGCCATTAATCAGCTGATCATTACGCGGTCACTTGCGATACGTTTCGAGATTTCAGTGATAATAATGCAATTAATGCTTGGTACCACACGGTCGTAGAAGACGAGTCCAGCGTGTAAAACATTTGAAACTTCCGATATGCGTTTGCTAACGAAATATCTTATGCATCTAGCGTCTTAAAGCAAGACAGTTGTCATTGATCGAAGTTACACCAGTGCAGCCTTGAAAGTGGATGATTGCTTGTCGCTTTCTAAATCGTAAATTTTATCACAATATAAACAGATATAAAAAAAATCCGTTCAATTTAATACAATTGTTCCTAAAATAAAAAGTTTAAATATGTCGAAGCAACGATAAATTGGTCCTAAAATAAGAAGTTTAAATATGCCAAAGCATGATAAGACTAGAATGTTTACAAATCATAAGTCTCTCCAGTGTATTGATTTTTGATATTGGATATTTTTCGAGTCTTCGAATATTAGATATAAAAATTACAAATAATGGAACATTATTTTATAGATATTTTTGATCATAAAAAATAATAAAATCTTACATATTAATATTCGATTTTGATTCTACTTCGAAATCGCGACTTTCAGAATTTATATAAAATTTGGATTCTTTTTTTGCTAAATTAAGTTCTTTTAAGAGTTCTTAAGTTATTGGATTCTTGACAGAATTAAACTTTACAAAAATCACTAAGAATGTAATTATGCCAAACACATAGAATCTTTTGTAACCGTAATTTCATAAATAGCCGGAAAGTCGTCGCGACTGTTTGATGTCATTGGATTTTGTATGCACGATTGTGTTCGGTATTATTGTTAATGCAAGAAAGGGCAGTATTTAAATAGCTCCCGTTGATGACAATGTCGCGAACTAAAGAATCATCGTTAGAGTTGACGGCCAGTGTCAGTGTCATTAGGAGGCTCGATTGGTTACGAAATTGTCATCTCATTGACCGCTCCCGTCAAAATTATCGCAATCGAACCGAAAACGACAATATCCGTTTTCACAACATTTGCCTTTTCCATCTGTGTATGTGTGTGTTCTACGATGTATGAATACATGTAAACACAGACATAACTATGAAAAATTATTTATTTTTCTTCTATAATAACAAAAATACGTTGTACGCTTATATTCTGTTAGCCTTAATACAGCGAGATTTGCATTCCGATTGCAGATTTGCATTTGTGCGCGTGGAAGGTTCAGGGAAGATTTATACAAACGGGCAATATAAAATGATAAATATCAGCTGATAAGATAGCACGTTATTGTATCCGAATGACTTCGTTCGAAAAGATGAAAGAAGGATTATCTCCCAGCGGACGCGAGTAGATGCTGTGAAATAGATTATAAGATCATCCACAATGGTAAATTTGCATCTCAAACACGTATAATTTTTTTCAGGCTTACTTCGAGAGCATTACGTGCCCAGTGTTGCGTACGATCAAAATGAAATTCTCGACATTCTCACCAAATACTGCGGCAAGTCAGTATACAATAATAGCGATGTGGAAGATCATCCTCAATGGACTTTCTATAACAGCTTCTACTTCGCTTATACAGTCGTCAGTACGATCGGTACGTATCGGTCAAAGTATTAAAATTAAATGTATAACATATATCTAAAATTCTTTATTTATTAATTTATTAATTTCTCCATTTTTAAATATGTGATATTAATTTCTCCATTTTTAAATATGTATCAAGAATCGGTTTTTATCTGAAGAGATTGTACTATGGATTTTTGTGACATTCTTTCTCTGGAATTAATTATTTGCAATTACAAAATCTATTGTTTACATTAATTAATTAATATTTATCTGTCAAACCACACAAAGACGCTCTTAAAAGACATTTTTAAAAAAGCAAAATGTTTGCGTGAAAAATTTTTTAGACATTTTAATTAAAGAATAAGCACCTTTTTTCTCTTTTTTTCAAATAAAATTATACATATCCCAATTAAAAAAATTTAGGTAACATAATAATTTGAAAAAAATGCTTATTCTTTAATTAAAATGTCTAAAAAATTTTTCACGCAAACATTTTCTTCCTCTATAAAAGCGGAATTTTTAGATACTTTTTTCAATTATTAGATTTCTTGAATTAGTGTGATCTTTGTTTTGATATCTGTTCTTGTTTATTCTTTTTTATTTTTTCGAAATTATAAGTTTATAATTTATTACACAGGATACGGTAATCTAGCACCCACAAATATGCTTAGCCGCATCCTAATGATCTTCTACGGTCTAATAGGCATCCCGATGAACGGGATCCTGTTAACGCAGTTGGGTGAATTTTTCGGCCAAGTGTTTATCAAGGCTCATCAAAAGTACAAATCTTATAAAAACGGGCAATCGCCGTCTGATTATTCCTCTAAGAAACCAACGCCATTTGAGACGCACAAGGTGGGCCTGGCCGCGCAGATTCTCATGTACCTGACACCCGGCTTCGTCATGTTCATCTTCTTCCCAGCGCTCTTATTCACACATTACGAGGGCTGGACCTACGATGAATCGGTTTATTACGCCTTCGTTACACTCACGACCATCGGTTTTGGTGATTTTGTGGCGGGTAATTATACTATCTTATCGTTTCTCGGACATGCGCGGAATGTGACTAATTGTTTTCAACATTAAGATTTTGTTTATAACCGCGTGACGAGTTGCAAAACTGCAAGCTCTTAAGACACTTCTCAGAAATGCAATGTCCATTTTTGCATTTAATGGTGTATTGTTTATTTATATCATTCATAATATGTATTTGAACTGTAGCATAATGATAAAAATATAATGCGATGAGATTAATATTTTTTGCGATTAAAGAAATATTCTATTTTATTTTACGTTTTATATCTGTAAACAATAGAGAGAGAAAGAGAGAAAGAGAGAGAGAAATGTTCAAAAAATTTTAAGACGTTGGATATTTTGAAATTGTAGAAAATTAAAATCAATATTTAATTTATTTTTGAGAAAAAACTGGAGAGATATATATTTATTATATTATACGAGACATTTTTATCCTCAATGATGAGTATAGTATAAAGTTCAGAATTTAAACATCGATTTGATTTAATGATAGTGGGCCACTTGAGTACAATATTTGATAAATTTTATTAGCTTTTTTGATTATTGACATAGTATATATTTGATATTGATTGATATAATATATAATATATAATATATACTATATAATATATACAGTATATACTACACAGATATTTGCATTCTCTCTCTCTCTCTCTCTTTTTTTCTTATCACATATATCAATCAAGCAAATCAAGCAATCTACGAACTTACATTTTAAAAGACAAATGTTTTCAATCATTACACGTTCACGTGGGAAGCAGATCTTAATACGTAAGTAATTCTGCATACATAAATAAAGAGTAAAGTCATAAATTAAAAAGTAAAGTTATTTATTTACAGCAATCAATTAAAATATTGAAATATAAGAAACGATAAATCAGAAAATAATACTCAAATGAAAAAATGTATAATTAGAATATATATCCATGAAAATTAAATCAAAATCATTCGAAGTTATTCAAAGCTAATATTTTTAAATTAATTTTTTGTGAAGTTGAAAGCTAATACAAATTTATTGGGGAAATTACTTTTAAATGCAATTTTTTTGCTTAAAAAACAAAAATAAATGGAGAAGAGATATTTTACTTTCAATTCCCTGCTTCGTAGGTCAGGACAATACAAAGGGAAGCGGCCCATTCTTTGTTATGTACCAGATATTCTTGATTATCTGGATCTCCTTCGGATTGGGTTACATCGTCATGATAATGACGTTCATCGCTCGCGGTATGCGTAGCAAAAAAATCACGAGGCTCGAACATAAACTAGCGATGAATCTCAAGCATACGCAGAGCAAGATTTGGAACGAGTTTAACAAAGAGGTCAACTACCTGCGTCGCGTTTTTAACGAGTTACAGCTCTCTAAGGTCAAAGTAAGTGACCTTCTTAACTTGGTCCAGACATTCTTAAGCAACCGCATACACATTTTCGTTTGTCGCAAAAATATTTTCTGTGCAACATATTTCTTCTTGAAAATACTTTTATTTTTCTTCACTTTATATCGTTCCTTTCTAAATAAATATGCTTCAAATCTTTATGAACTCGTTTTTTATAATAAGATAAGATTATCAATTACTTGTTAAGCATAATTTTATTTTTAATTATACTTAATATTTATTTTTTGACTTCGAATGCTTTTAACAATGTGATGAATTCATAGATGTTAATTATCAAAAATTTTTTTACATAATATATTATATATTATATTACTAATGAAATTGTTTACACATTGATTATGTTCATTGTTTATTTAATATTGATTGCTAACGGCTATCATTTTTCTTATCAGAGAGTATACGTTGACGAATGCGATTATGAAATACCTCCGACGAAATTTTCACGTAGCAATAGCTTCCCGGACCTCCGAAATTTGATAATTGGTGGATATGTGGACAATACTATACCACATCCGCGTCGACGAGCTAACAGCGAAGTGGTACCAATGGTATGCGATTTATTTTCCATATAATTTATATCTTTTCAATTTATATCTTTTTTTCATTTTTTTTACACGCATTAATAATACATTACAATCTCTTTTTAAATAAATTTAAAATCTCTTTTTAAATTGTAATATCTTAAATAACATTACATATTATTTATTTACATATTTATTATTATTTACATTTTACATATTATTTCGTACAGACTCAATTGACACGCGTGGTATCTGAGACAGATCTTCAAAGGATAGACAAGACTGCAACGTTTGCCACACACGCCATAGTGCAACCAGCAGAATTATTAGCACGTTTAGTAAATGTTCTCGGTTACATTCCTCCACGGGATGACTGGGATCAAACCGAGGATCAATTGAAACAGGTCGACACCCAGAACGAGATGCAGCAAAGCAAACCAATTGATCAAGGCCTGGCCAACAACACTCAGTGGACAATTGGCGGCGAGAAGTTTCCGTTCGCCAAGCCTCGATCTAGAGCTGCCAGCGAAATACGACTTTATGCCAAAGACTATGCGAAAGATGATGTTAATCAGAACACTGAATGGACTTGGTCTGGCCCAGCAGCCTCGACAAAGCTGCAGGAATTGATGAAGGCTCGCAACACGGTTGCCTCGCTGCCCTCAAACAATAATAACAAGCCGTACAAGAAGTTTCCGTCACTGTCTTTGCCGATTACCGCGCCTAAAAATTTCTTCCCCAGGTGGAAGAAACACTTTAGGAGTAAAAGGACATCGGATGTCGGTCCTACGGAGAAGGTAACTGAAACGGACGATAGCAATCGACAGAATAATCCGATCAGTCCATTACCTTCATACTTCAATGAAAATTCATTACCTTCGTACTACGATTCGATATCGAAAACGCCGAATTATTATACACATACTGGCTGCAATTTGCCGAATTATTTGGAGAACAACAATTTGTTGGAAGAAACGAGTTTGGCAGATTTTCTTAGAGCGTTGACTGCTCTTCATGCAAGAGTAGGAACGATCCCCGATGAATGCGTTGCTAAACCCAAGAGAAAATTAGGAACAGCCTGCTTGAGTCCACCCAAGCTACCCAGTCTGTTCACCCTGTTTTCACCGAATACACCTGATTCGGATTCGGCAACTCAAAGCAATCAGAATACTGTTACAGAAGCGCAATCGTATCAGTCCAGCAGAAGAGTATCTCTTAAAACTGAGAACGGCTCCACTACACCTACCTCTTATACGAGGAAGGAAAGTAGTGCTGTGAAACCTAGAAGATTCTCTTTGAGGCCGGTGAAGACTCCAGTGAATTCGGTCACGCCGCCTGATTATGCATCACTACGGTCATCGGTAAGTTGAAGTTATTATTTTTTTACAGCAAATATAAAGTATAAATTTAAAAAATTTCATAATTGTTAAATTCCTCATAAACATTCCTGAAAAATTTCAACTTTTCTGTAAGCATACAAATTTAATAAAACGCGAATCTTTTTAGCTACGACTATCTCAGAAGATGGATAATCGAAATCTGCAAGAACCTTATGTCTCGATGGAACCCTTCATTTCTGTGTCACCAAAAGAATCGCTGGTCAACATGGAAGGACCACCAGGAATTTCATCACCGATCAAGCAGCCGCTCGATAATCGACGTTTCTCCATAAGATCTGCTCAACTCAACACGCAACCGAATGCGACAAGCGCATCTACGCCATTACACACGCCAAAACCATTACCGAGGTGGAAAGCGGGTATGCTACAGCGACAGATCAGTCAAATGAATTTACGTCGTCGCGTTAGAGCATTCAGTCTTAGCGATGTTTACTCCGACATACGCGAGAAAAGCACTAATCCAATTAGCCCCCTCGCCATGGATACTACTAACAAGTTTGTAGACGTTAGTAAATTGAGCAATTTGAATCAGAAAACAGTAACAATTATGTCACCGGCGAAGGAGATGAATATGACTTCGAAAAATGAACTCGAAAATTCGAAAGATGAGCAAACTTCCTCGTGGAGGAATCAGGAAAACGTACCTTCATCGATTAAATCCTGTTCTCTCAGGATTTCTGATGAGCCATCCGCGACGTTGAATGAATCCAAGGTTTCAAATATACTCAAAGATGAGAGATCTCAAGGAAATAGCAATTTTATATCAGTTCATCAGCAGATTTACAAATCAAGATCTCCTGATAAAAAATTGGTAAATGATACATTGGATAAAACAGCTCAAAAGGAAATGCAAGAGATGAATGTGGATATCAAGGACACTTCATTTAAAATGGAGAAGCAGAATGATATGTGTATAATTGATAATTTAGATGAACCTCAAGAAGCGACGTTTTTGAGTAGCCAAAATTTTCCAGAATCGAGTAAAAAGCCTAGTGTGTCGATAGATTTTTATAAACCACTGCTACAAACAACGATAGAAAAACCAATGACCGATCCTTTCGAGCGATACAGAGTTATGACAAGGTCCGGTCAAACAAAAGATGCAGACTTGACCGAAATTAGAATTGAAAAACCCCATGAGAAATGAAGAAAGTGATCTCGGGCTATAAAGAATTTAAAAATTAAAAGTAGAGAAATTTGGAGTCGATTTTTGTTGTCAAAAATATTAAAACATTAATAATCCAAGATATAAGCAATATTATAGACATAATTAATATTTTTGTTAAAATAGACTCCACATATATGTATAAAAGATGATATTGTTATATTTTATATTAGTTTTTGAGAATCTTCTATTATAGTATTTGACGAATTCATATTTTGCCTTGAAAGGCTACATTTAATTTTTAAGAACTAGGAGAAATTATGTAGGTAGAGAAAAGAAATATAATTTTATATTGATGCATCAATAGACAACGCATTAATAGAAAACTGCTGAAAAAGATGCAATTTTATAGTTTATCAATTTTACAGAAGATTAATTTTATCATGTACAATGTACAAGATATTTAATTCTTCAGACAATCAAATACATTTTTTTAGAGAAATGAAAAAAGATATATATTTTATGAAAGACTAAACAGAAAAAAAATAATATTAATGATGATAATTATTAGAAGTAAATTAATTTATATATTATATGTAAATTAGCAAGTTTTAGTTTTTAAGTATATCGAAGACTGTGATATAACGAAATAACATATCCTCGATATTTAATGTGAATTAATGATAAGATAATGTTACTTAGAAAAAAATTGATATTAAATAGATTATTAAGGAAATATATCGAGATTGTCAGATATCAAAGAATTTTTATCTTTGAATCTAGAATACATTAAAATTTATTATACTGAATGGTCGAAGTAATTAATATCTCGTATCGCAGTTCAAACATTATTAGCGATCTCGTGACTGCATATTTATCACAGTCACTCGTAATCATATTTCCCTAAATCTTGAAATTGACATTTTTGAATGTAATAAAGTTAGGAACGCGCATGTTTCATGAAATGCGTAACGTTTTATTTTTAAGTTTTTGCAGAATAAATTATGAAGATATATTTGGTTTTTCAGACGATAGCTCGGAAGCTATGAATTATGATTTATTATTATAAAATCCGGAGAAATTTGGTTGAAAAATTACCCATATGGAAATTATCCACGTGATATATTCACGAATATAAAGTGTCATCACTTTTTCATGCATTTACTTATTGTACAGTTTAGCATCTATACCGGTGACAAGGAACTTATCACTCGACGAAGTAACGATCTATTATGTAAAGTAATACACAAATAGATTTGCGCGTGAATAAATAAATTTTTTTCAATGTGTGCAAGTTGTATGGAGAATAAAACTAAAATGCATTATAAATATTTTGTTGTACTGATGTTCTTCTCTCGATAGCGAGAAACACGTATACGAAAAAACCATAATTGGCATGCTACGATGTTTTTAATAGCTTTCGTATTTCTTCGATGAGATTGCTACGTGATACGCGAATCTCTTCCCGACTCGAGACGATTCTTAACGTAACTTCGCCCTTCGCTAGTTCACTTTCTCCGATGATTATTGCCAATGGAATCTTGTTTTCCTCACAGTGTTGCAACTGCGCCAAGAGTTTAGCGTTTTTCTTGTAGGATTGTTCCGCTTTCACTCCAGCTTCCCACAAATCCACCAGTATCTTCATTCTTGGCTCATGCAAATTTTTCTGTGCGCTCGCCACAAACACTTCGATCTCGTTAGTGCGTGTTTTCAGGCCCTTGTTAGCTAATCTTGCCTCTAAAACGCTGAATATTCGTTCCACGCCCAGAGACACACCAACACAAGGTACATTTTTATTCTTATTGTCGAACATTCCCACTAAATTATCGTAACGGCCGCCACCCGCTATACTTCCCACATCAATGCCATCACCTATAAGAAATTATATTGAGTATTATATTGATATTTCAGATCAAAATTACTTTGCAATAATTTAGAAATATTTCACATAATACAGAAAAACATTTTAAAAGATTGATATATATATATGTACAAATATATGCATACCACACAGTACAGCTTCGTAAATAACACCCGTGTAGTAATCGAGTCCTCTTGCAAGACTCAGATCAAATTTAATTTTATCTAGGACTTTGTAGATACTGCAATACTTCAATAACAGTTCCATGGAATCTAAGCCTTGCACAGCAGCAGATTGTCTCATTAGTTCTTTGTCTTTTCTCAATTCGGTTATCAATTCGATTCCGCCGGATTGGGAGACGTAGTTGCCGATCTTATCGGCAATATGCTCGTCTAATCCCTTTTCCTCTATCATTTCTTTCTTCACTTCCTCCCATGGACTTTTATCTAATTTATCTACAGCAGAGCAGATACTGCGAAACTTGCTCTGTGGAACTCCACATGCAGCAAAGATGCCGTCCAGCAAAGATCTATGATTCACTTTAATCAAATATGATTCCAGATCTAGCATCTGCAGTGCTTCAGACATAACCCGAATACATTCCGCATCCGGTAGCATCGGATCGTACTGGCCAGCGATATCGAAATCCTTGAAAAAATATTAACATTAATTAAAACGTACACAAAATATATATATGGAGAGTAATTTTAGCGTATATGCTTACGCATTGATAAAATTCTCTATATCTGCCTTTTGTTGTAGCTGGGTTATCTCTGCGATAAACCTTAGCAATATGATACCTTTTAATGGAGGATATTTTGTTCATAGCTAGATACCTCGCGAAAGGAACTGTTAAATCATATCTAAGTGCGAGGATCTCGCCGCCTTGATCCTTCAAATCATAAATGAGCTTGGAATCTTCACCATATTTACCTGTCAAAACATCCTGCACAGCAACAAATAAAATCAGTATGGGACCAGTATGATCAAATTATTGCATTATTAATAGTAATCTATTATTAATAGTAATCTTCACCTTCAGCTCGAATACAGGTGTATCTATGGTCTCCGCACCGTGACGCTTGAATACTGATATTATTTTTTCCAATACTCCCAATCGCAACGCCATTTGCTCCGGATTATAATCCCTTGTGCCTTTAGGCGTTTTAAGGATGAGTTTGTGAGAACAACCATTTTCTTCACGATTTTCTAGTTGCGCTTTAAGATCCAATAACTTGGAGACTTCCTCCGCTATCTATGAACAAGCAAACAAATGCATTAATATATGGAATGTGATGACGATTTCGTTTTGACAGGGTACAATAACCGAAAATGTACCTGTGGCGTAGTCGACATCAGCATGTTGCGATTGCATTTCCATACGATGGAGAAAGAATTGTTGCATATCAGGCGTAACATCACGAATGGGTGAAGGAATTACAAGGCAACCGGAATAAAAGAGAAGAAAAGCCCCCTCAATGTTGATTTATCAAACTAGTTCAAACAGCAGAGATAATATCAGTAAGCAAGCTAGCAAGGGGTTACCATTAATTATTGCCATTAACCATTAAGAATATTATTTTTAATTCTTCCTTTAATAAATATTTGTTGTAAATGTTTATACATTTTTGAGAAATATACATAATTATTTGAGTTATATTCAAAAAACATAAGTCATTTTGTAGAAATTTCTCAAAATGTTTGCTATAAATTATATCCATATTATTCAGTCATGCAATCATCAATCTTCTAGCTAGAGAAATCAAATACTTGTTTCTCACAATGTTGCAATAATTTATGGCAGCTCTGCTTGCAAGCAACCGACTGCCTCACCTTTTTATCTAGCATATCTTTGGTAACATAGAGAGTAATCTTTAGTAGATCTATTTTTTCTGCCAGGGAAGTGAATGGTGCTTCCGCAAGAGGAAATGCTAGACGCTCTTCTTGAGTAAAGCTTTTCATGTTAACATGCCATCTGTTTAGATAAGGCCACCTTGCAAGTTCATCGTTACAAATGACATTCAATTTGTCAAATAGTTCGGTATCTTTGGATGTTGGCCACCAACCACACACGTAGCTGACATTTGCAAAATCATTGTTTAAGCTCTCTAACTCAACATTTATATCAGACTGCTCTCTGTATCCCTGAGAAACAAGATGTCTCTCAAAAGAAATATATACCAGTAGTATACAAATTAAGGAAGCAATCCATTCTTTGCATCTGATCAATAAAATTACTATTGTGCTACATCATGTCTATTATCATAAATGCTAATAATCTGTTTACATTTTTCCCACTTCTTTATCCCAAAATAATGAAGAAAATGGTTATTTGCTATGCATATAGAATTTATGTGAAAAATGAAAACGAAATTTAGGGAGTGTAAAAAGAATTAATAGACTTAATATACTATGAAGAAATGTGAATTAAAAGTACGAATCTCAACTACGTGAAAAGAAAGCAAGTGTAAAAACACACAACATGAAAAAAGTGAAACGCTCTTCGATGAAAATCGTTTTCGAGCGATTTCGCAAAAGAGAGTGAAGGGGATAAGATTACAGAATCTGCAATCGAGCACAAGGAAACAGAGCACGAGGAGAAAGAGAAAGGCGAGTGACATCTGTCACGATGACGGAACGCATCGAGATTTTTGCGTGGAAGAGAGGGAGGGAAAAAAGAAGGATGAGTGCGTACTTGCGTTTTATCGGCCTGTGCAGCTTTCAATCGTCGTACCGCCTCGCCCTGCTCTTTCACGCGATTCAACAACGTCTGCTTCGCGATTTCGTCAGCCATCGCTAGCACCATGTACCATGTGGCATGCGGTCTCTTGAGATCCGATTCCGTCCGTTCCGACTGTCGGCGGGTTACTTTATGCTTCGCAGGTTCGCACGCGAACGAATCGTGGCGCGAGAACGATTCCCCCTCTCCTCTTCTCCCCCTCCACCCACATTTGGATCGAAAGGCTCGATGCTCGATTAGGATCATCTCGCAAATCGATTGTTACATATACAGATAATTGAAAATACAGATAATTGAAAAATGAATATTTTACTAGATATTTTACGGTTTATATAAAATTAAGAAATGATTTCAAGCTTCATAACTCGAAAAGTATTCAATGAAGAAATATTTAATTAGAATGTTTTGGAAAGCTCTCGAGATAAGCTACACGAATATGTAATAAAAAATAGGGGATTTCATTTAAGAAATTGACGGTGATCTTCACGTGACTTTCAAATGACTCTCCTATGTCAAATCATTGCCACTATTTGATGGCCCCTTAAGCCATACAACTTTTGCCTGAAACATTTCTTTCTAAAGTGCATAGTTTATGAAATATTCGACCGGTCCGGGACTTTTGGGACTCTGTATATGTATTTAGCAAGGTCGGATTTAGGGAGAGGCAACAGGGGCTGAAGCCCAGGAGCCTCCACAAGAGGGGGGCCTCCACAACACAAATTTTTGAATAAAATTTCCTATCGAATGGTATACAACACTTACAAGATCTATGTATATTGCTTGACCTTGTTATTTCACAATAAATTATTTAAACAACGTAAAAATTTCTATTTGATTTTGATTTAAAAATGGAGTCTCCACCTTTTCATTGCCCCAGGGCATTTCCACACCTTTAAATCCGGTCCTGGTATTTAGATACTGGAGAAAAAGATAAATTTGCATTGAACGTATCCTCATCAATCAAGTCGAGATATTCAAATAGATTTTGCAAAGTTTGCTTTAGACTTTTGCTAGCAAAAAATTTAATAAAGCATAAAGTATCAATCATGAATGATTATTGCATGAATATTTCAATATTTGATTTTCATTTGTGTATTGAAAATTGCTTGTATATGATACTTTTTAAAATTTTGCTTGAAAAATAAAAAGAGAGAGTACAAAGTTTTTAAATTCTGACTTATGTGTAAATACATACACATGTTATTTGACGTTACAAGTTAGTAGTAAGTAGAAACAAGAGTAAGTAGAAACATATCCGATATGGTCTAGTGGCTAGGATACCTGGCTCTCACCCAGGAGGCTCGGGTTCGATTCCCGGTATCGGAATTTTTTTTTGTGTATTGTAAAATGTATTTTACCTATGTAATATGGAATATGTATTTTATTTATATATATATTACAATAAAAAATTTAATTCTTTCAGCAATTACAATATAATGATAATAAAAAGAAATTGACAATAAACATATGGCCAAAATAAATCCTGCGATGGCCGGGAATCGAACCCGGATCAACTGCTTGGAAGGCAACTATGCTGACCATTACACCACCATCGCAGATGTGAAAACACCTCTTCAATAATAATATGTCTTGTGTATTTCGATATAAGTAACGGGAAATATAAATTATAAAAGAATAAAAAAAATTCTGTTAAATATTTTATATTATTATATTATATGTATACACACACACACACACACACACACACACACACACACACACACACACACACACATATATATATAATTTATATTTCTAAACATAATATTATAAATAATTTGCTTTTATATGTACTATGTAGTATAAAGTATTATATTTCTAATAATATATTTCTAAATTTAATTATATTAATTATATTTCTAATATTATATTTCTAAATATAATATTATATATATATATATATATATATATATATATATATATATATAATAATTTTCTTTCTCGAATAACTACATTTCTGTTGTTATCAATTATGCTTATTACTTTTTTCTTTGGCCATTATATTTTCTGAGAAAATATTAGCGTACAGTGAATTTTCAAAGTCCTAAGATTAGTTACCTTTGATAATATTTATATCTCATAGGTAAGTTTGCTGATCAAAAATGAAATTTGAATCAAGTACTTGAAAAATAATTACGTATATTATTATATGTCGTAAATGTAAGTTTCACGCGTTGAAAGTCACTTATTATGCCTTATTGTAATTCCTATACCTATGACCATATTTTAAAAAAATAAAAAAAAGAACCTGCGATGGCCGGGAATCGAACCCGGATCAACTGCTTGGAAGGCAACTATGCTCACCATTACACCACCATCGCAGTTGAAGTAAAGATTGCACATATATAGAGTAGTAAATATAATAAAATGTATAAAAATTTATAAAAATTATTATAACGGCATCAAGTTTTTTACATTAAATTTTTACTTGTAATAAATAATTGATTAAATAACTTAATTTTTTCCTCTCTTTTTTAACTTATTTAGTTAAAATCTGTTAATTGACAATTTAAGATAATGTTAGTTTATAGCTGAAATATATATATTGCATTATGTGTGTGCAAGAAACAGCTGATATCACTAAATTTGTTTTTAACAGAAATTTCTTTTTTTAATAAAAAAATTATTAATAATAAATTTTTTAATATATTGCAGGCATATTATTTAATATATTACATCTCGAAGAAAATTTATATGATTTCCATAAAACAAATTAAAAATAAATTGTATAATAATTCATAGTAATTAAATTTCATGATGACTTATTAAAATTTAAAAAAATTCTCGATTCTTTAACTCCAAATAAAATTTTTTTTTTCAAAAGTTCGAAATTTAGTAAAACGTAAAATTTTATATATATATATATATATATATATATATATGTATATATACATACATGATAATACTAAATTAATTTACACATAGTTTCTTGAATGAAAAAAAGGAAATTTTATCTTTAGTTAGCTTTTATTTGTAACAATAGTTTATTTATCATTATTAATTTGAAAGATAAGAGACAAGGTAATATTCAGCGTTAATTTATATTATAAAACAATACATAAAATGCTAAACATTTTGTGGCAGCACCAAATTAATTGTGATACATGAGATCTTAATGTATTATAAATATATTATCTTTACGGTATTATTATGACAGAGATGTACAGCGTATTGTCATTCACACGGCGACAAAAAGAAATAAGATAACGATATAAGACGTTGTATATATTATCAATTTCTTTTTCGAATCATTACCGGAAATTGATTATCGGAGGAAATAATTCGCTATAATTATATTACAATTAACGACAAATTAATTTTTGATAAATAATTGAAATTATACCGTGATGACAATTTTTTATTGAAATACGTATTTTTCGCAATTTTTTACTTATAATTGCAACTAACGTAAGAATTAAAATGTGATAGGAATAAATATTTTAAATTATTGTTTTGTTGGAATCTTTACGAGCAATAATTATTTCTTAGATGTTCACAAAGTACAAATATATCTAGTCTAATATCTAGTCTAATATTTTATCATTTGGCAATTTATAATTCAAATTGTAAACACGCAATAAAATGATCCAATCACAGAATCAAATTATTAATATAACGATAAGCTTCATTCATTATATATCATTAATTAATAAATAATTTATCTACACTTTAAAATGCTTATATAATTGTCTATATATATATGTGTGTGTGTGTATGTGTGCGCTATATAACGACACGCTAAGTTATATAAATAAATTTTTTATTTTAATTTTTTAAATAAATTTTGTCCTCCCTCCCTCTCTCTCTCTCTCTCTCCACTCACACATACACACACACATAATATTTCAGATTTTATTTTAATATACCTAAATTCATCTTGTAATATGTTTGTTCTATTGAAATAAAATAAATTTATTTGTTCCATATATATTTAAGATTCTTTTGTCTATATAAATCTCTATATAAAAGTCTATATAATAATTCTTATTTGTAAAATCCCTTAACTAAATGATACTTGATATGAAGAGTATGAGAATAATGCTTTTTCCATTTTTTGCTTTGTATAGTTTACATTGTAAAAAATATTACAGAATTATATAAATAATGAATGTAATTTAACATACTTTTTCTATAATGTACTGCTATCATCTCTTGATATGATTTCAGATAACTTATGCTGTTTTTATGTAAAATGCTAATCCTATACTGATAAAATATTACATTTGATGTTGCTGCACTTTATTGCCATTGTCTTGATAATAGAGAAGACTTGTTTTTGTTTCGCGTGGAGTTTCTGGAATTCCGTTGATGCATCGTAAAGTCGGATCTATAATTTGCAATAATATTAATGATTAAAAATATTTTACAATTATTGAGACGTTTTATCACATCTTCAAAAGCAAAGAAAATATTTAAAAAAATTAATGAGATATTAATTATATATAATCAAATATTTTATCAAACTATTATCTTTCTTGAATGTTATTAATATAATATATTAATATATAATATTAATATATATAATATGATATAGGATATAGGATATTTCAAGATTAAATGTTCTACATTTAAAATATAAATTTAGATATGATATGTTCGCAAAAATGTCTTGTTAAGATTTAATCTTGATAAATACCTTATATAATATTATAAATATGATGTATAAAAAATAATGCTTGTTTTTCATTTGGATTATCGCTATAATCAAAGTCAGTACATCTTTTTTTCAAGCATTCGTATTCGATTTTGCCTGCCAATGAATTCGGCATTTAATAAAGATTTTTATTATTGTACTGTGATACATATATGTCTACCATACTCGTGCAATGTACCAGTATATGTTGGAGCAAAACGCACGAGTGAAAAAGGAAAAAAGGGAATGCGATACGCGGTACATCGAATGGTCTCGTAAATTTTATTCACCTTTGATAAGAGCCCTGCCGTTGTTTCTGCGGCCAAAGATGAAATGCACCATATATCAAAGGATTTACCAAGCTGTTGCTCATGCCAAAGAAAAATATTCCGCTCTGTAACTCCTCGCTGAGCTGAAAGCATCGTCTGTTCGTTAGTATATCGATAGTAATTTTTCGAGACAACAGATAAAATAATATAGTTTCCTTCGATTACAAAATAGATTTATACTAACGTGTTCATCGGGATCGAGAAACAGAAAGATTATCATCATCGTATAGTACGGCGTCCACCAGATTAGAAATGCCGCTACAATGACGACGCTAATACGTAATGACTTTGTTTTCGCCCGGTGCATCAGTCTTCTCCTATTTAGATCGCTATTTCTAATATACGTCCCTGTTGTAGGCTCTGCTTTGAACATTTTCTGACTTCCTGAAACAATGTTAGCTTAACTTAGTGTATTACATAATTATAATTGAACATCAGCATTTTCGACTCTCTCTCTCTCTTTCTCTATGTTTTTCTCTCTTTAAAATTCTTATATTATTTACTTAAGAGTAAAGTTATACTCTTTATTCAATTATAAATACTAATACAAATATTTTTTTGCAATCATTTTTGCACATTATTGTGACTTTATTAAATTCAATTAAATTCAAAGAATATCTTACGCATATATTTTAACATAAAATGTTCTGGAAAAAAGTAAAATTTTCCTGTCCATTTAAATTCAAGTTGACTTTTTTTCAAAGATTTAGCTTCAGATACAATTATCAAAATAAATATGAGTTATCAAAAAGTTACAATATAAGTAATAATCTCATCGATAATATAATTTTACAATGCAAGTAATGTAAAATACTTACGGGAGATGGTAATCACTGTAGATACATATGTGGTAATTAAAATCACCAATGGCAACAGGAACATGAAGAACAGGCTGAAACTAGCATAAAGTTGTTCCTGCCAGGGCTCGGTGTAAAAGCCATGGGTTACGCATTGTGGAAATTCCTCGATAAATGGTCCTTGTGCAACATGAAATATCGCGACCTGTTAATAAAGCCAATGTATGAAGATACAAACATCGATATGACGAGTTAAATGCGCATTGTGTCGATGAGATGAACTATCTAACATATATAGTTAATTAAATACATATACCTACATACATTCATATATATAATTCTGGATTTAGAGGGATTACAGAACTCATCATAGAAGTACTTAAACATAGTTAGCGAAGAAAAATAAATAAATTAGATGTAACGTATTAACATGAGGCGTCGATATTAACTATAACAGAAGGTTGAAATAAATGCGAGTTCGTAACGATGCGACCTTGTAACAATTACATGATGATACAGTTGATGCAATTTAATACAATTAAATAATCTGAAGGTTATCCAGATGCAAAAATGCTAAGTAAGGAATTGTTTTTAATATCATTTAATATATTCCATAAAAAACCTTCGATTTTCTTAGAAACGATAAATACATAGTTATTATTAAGATTTTTATTTGCATATCAGCGATAAATTTTTTAACGAATGTTTTTATTTTCAATTGATGAACAAGTCTACTGGTTTCAGCTGTGTTTATCACTGTCTATCATTATATATATATACAGGGTATCCCAAAACTCAATCAATCTTTTAAAGACAGATTCCTGGAATTATTTGGAGACGATTTTTCCTCAGCGAAAATGTCGATGAAGGCCATCATTTTTTGCATGTTCCCGATTTTTGTCATCATATATCTTTGCAATTAAGCCTTAAATTAAAACTCAACTAAAGTAAACTCTATTTAAAATTAATCAAAGAATGTGGTTTTGTTAATATTTTATTTCTTAGTACAAAGCTTAGTTTACGAAAAAACCCTTATTTCCAATCACTTATAATTCGAAAATTATTAGTGCCTCGACATTTTCGTTGAGGAAAAATCGTCTCCAAATGATTCCAGGAATCTGTCTTTGAAAATTGATTATGAGTTTTGGGACACCCTGTATATACACATATGTTCTGAAAGTGCATAAAATTACATAAGAATACGTGTAAACAGAACAGAGCTAATATCACTTTTAACGTTCATTTGTAAACTTTTTGACGTTTATTTATTCATCAACTTTTCGAAGATGTGACTGTCATTAGGGAATCATCTTAAATTCATCGTATTTCCTCGGTAAGATTAGGACACAATGACGGAGGAGAGAGACGGAAGGTAAAGGTAAAGGTTACTGCTACCGAAGGCAGAGTGAAGTTCTTTCCGCTGAAAAGAATTTCTCGGAACAAGAGAGGTGCATTGATTAAGCAGGCTATTCCCCGTGTCTCGGCCTGTCAAGATATACACGTTTCACTATCAATCTCTGCCAGACCGCGTCTCTTTCTTCCGTCGTGACGACAGCATTATTCTCTGACTCAGCGATGGCTCCGCGATTTCTATCCTCCTCTGAAGCGGGTGACCTCGCGAACGAACTGATCTCAGAGTCTGCATCCGCTGTTTGCGGTCGATGCACCTGACACCTCGTTAAATCGAGTCTCGGGTTTATCTATACAATTGATTTTCTTGAGAATTCCGAATAGTACTTGATCGGATTGCAAAACGTCTACTTCACGTCTGACAATGTCTATCTGTCACTACTTGTTTTCTTACATGTATTAAAATCTACATTTATCATTTGTCACATCCTGTTTATTTTCTTGATAGTTTTGTATAATTTGTATAAAAGAAACATCAGTCATCAAGAATTGAATTAAGTTAATTGAGTTGTCGACATGTTATTTATGAAATTCTAGGATGCAAAATATAATGATCATGTAATTGTAATAATACCAATTAGATTTTTCGATTTTTTGAAGAGTATAATGAATAAAAATATCTTGTTTCCTTTTATGTCACGTGCTAATGTTTATGATCATTCTAGAGAAAATGATCAAAAAATCATTTTTTCCTACGTATCATTCACTTCGCAAAAGGTTGCTAAAATATTTTAAGATAAAAATAATTTTCTTAAACTATAGCTCTTTCTGTTTTCTGATAGATTTTATTGATTTGTATTAGAATTTTTCACACATCGCGATCATCATGGTACATCTGATCACGAAGATTCTCGGTTTAGTGATTTCTGCAATTAAGAACCTATGTGAGCTCAAGGGATGCACATCGCAGGAAATTCTTCACTATATATCATCCATTTATAACATCCCATCTGCTACAGCGCGATGTCAGGTTAACAATATATATTTTCCATTCTTTTATTGTGTAATCGTTCAATAAAATAATATATCATATTAAATTTTCATTTTTGAAAACTAGAAACGCATTTTTTGCAAATAAATTATATTATATATGTTTATTATGTATCTATCTATATTTATTTATCTGAATTTTTTCTATATAATATATTTATATATTTATAATTATATATTTATGTTCAATGACGTAATTATTAAAGAGTAATTATTAAATAAAAGAGAGTTAACAGATATAAATAACAGATCTTCTTATATTTATTTTTTATGCTTGTGTATTTTATATATGCTAAAATTTTCATTTATTTTGCAGCTATTCACAAACAAGATATCATATTTTTGCAGTATATAAAATTAACAAGTTTTTTTTAAACATATACTATTATTTGCTACGATATCCATTCATGACGAGTTGACTTTTAAAATCTGTTGCAATTTCTCTTTTTTATAAGCATAATCTAATTTAAGCGTTTGCAAATTTATCATAAAAATTAAAACCTTGCTAATTTATTTATAGGTTGTATAATAATTTATTATTTTAAAAATTAAAAAGAAAATTTGTCACATATATTTCCCACGTTTATTTTGTCGACTGTTTAGATGTGCAACATATTTATAATTACTTATTATTATCTCAGTTGATAAACCTCTTTTAAATCAATAACTAAATCATTTAATTTTATTTATAATTTTATAATTTGATTGTATTAATTTAATTTTTGGTTAAATAAATACAATTAAATAAATACAAATATTTAATTTTTGATTGTATTTATTGATAAACCAAAGATAGATCACATATTAACGATAATAACATAGTAACAAAATTGTTTGCAAAGCTCCTTCCTCTCTTTTATTTTAATATTTATTTTTATATATAATCAGAATTTATAATATGTATATATTATATGTATAAGTAGAGAAGTTTTCAGATAGTATATGATAGAAAACGAATAATAAAAATTGATATTTTTGTTATCTTTCCATGATAAACAACAATTTAAATTGCAAAATTAAGTAATTTACAAGTTTTTCAGAAATTCCTTATAATTCTATAGAAATTATTCATGCAAAATTTAAAACTAACACTAATAAATAAAGAGCTAAATTAAGGAAACAGTTACATATTCATAAAGATACTTGGACTATCGCAGATGCAGAGTGCTTTAAAACGCGGCGTTACTTGCGGTATCTTGAAGAAAACCGGTAATCATTATAGTCTGCCGATTGATAATGAAATCGCGCGACAAGAAGTAGCCATTCAAGAGATCGGTCTGCTGGATCTATATTGTCAGCGGAAAATTCAACGGTCGAGGAATCGTAGGGTGCGATTTCGGAGGACTACTTGCAAATGTAAGAGAAGAAGCGCACAACGAAAGTCACGAGGATGCGGGCCAAGGTCTTGCAGAAGGAGACGGCAGAGGAGGAGAAGACGATGCAGGTGTCGAGGTTTCGATAAATGCGCCTATAATAGAAAGACCAAGTCTAGAACAAAGTACAGTTTGAACAATGACAAATTGACTAGATCAGACCGGACTGCGATTGAGACCGCCACAGCTAACGTCATTGAACAAAGTTATTTAAACATACCTCCCGTAGAATGCTGAGATTGTGAGAAGTTATTGTATTAATTATGTCAATATGTCTTAGAAATATCGCGTCTTCTGATGATTCCAAATTTTTTTATATAAAATTTTAATTTCTTAAAACTTAATATTAAAATTAAAAATTAATATTTAATAGTCAAATACTAATTTTGGGAAGTAAATTTTGATTTTTTCATTTTTAGTCGTTTTCATAAAAGTTTTTTATATTTAGTATGTATGTTAAAGAAAAAAATTTTATACATAATGAATATTATTTGTGTAATTATGTTTTTTGCCGCAATATTCTTATTATATAAAATGTCAAAAATATCTCAAAAAAGCAAAACTGAATTTTAAATTAAAATTAAAATTATTACGTTAAAAATACATGTATATTAAAATTGAAATCTGCCATCGAATTAGCAAGATTTGCAAATGCTGCGTCATGTAGTGATTATTAAATAGGAAATACATTCTTTTTGTATACATCAAAATTAGAAAAAATTATCAATATTTAATGAATTTTTAACATAAAAATTTTTATAAATGTGTTTTATAAATCATGTTTAAGTTCAAGATAAAAAATTATTAAAATATTCAATACGTCTTAAAAATGTCTTTTGATTATGACTTAAGATCTTAATAGATAAAATAATGTACACATTATTTTATAATTTTTCTCAATTATTGATTATTATTATTTAAATTATATTATATATTTATACAAATTTATTTAAATCCCTTATAAATTTTCAATTTATGCGACGTTGGATATATTCGTAGCGTTTTTCAATTACTGATATTATCATATCGCGTAAATATTAATCTTTTTCCTAGAACACTTTGTATATAGATTCTGAGGGATATCATATGAATATACAAGACTGTTTTGCATACTAATAATGCATACGATGCACATGAGACAGAATATATGTTCCATAATATTTGTTATATTATCTTATCTTTCTATGTCAAGGAATGTATGCATATAAATTATATTGTTTTTATATTTATTGTATTACAAAATGTATACATTACACTTTTTTCCCGGAAACTTGATGCAAATCAGAAATTGTCGTAAGAATAGTCCAAGTTTAAGTTTTCGCGATTTCGATAAAGAAACGAGATTATTGTTATCAAATTTTATTTATATCGCAATTGAAATTTATTTTGGTTTCTCTTTTTTTTTTTCTTTCCATTATTTCTAACAAATTTATTATCATTTATTAGAAAATTTATAATCATTATTTATAAATATATAAATTATGCCACTACATTATATATAATGTATTTGTACATATTTTACATATAATATATTTGTATATTTTATGTATAATATATTCATATATTTTTATATACATATATGTACATACATTATATGTACATATTATAGTACATACATTATATGTTATATACATATATGCATATATACATATACATACGTTATATGTACATATATATATATATATATATATATACATTATATGTACAAATATATACATATATTTGTACATATAAGAAAGCTGTAGTGCAGCTTCCAATGCAATTATAATTAAAAAATTTTTCGATAAGAAATAAAGATTAAATTCTTGATTTATAAAAAAGTTGCACTTATCGTAACCGATCATAATATTGATATTGAAAAGTAATATGTATTATGTAATTATTAATAGTAAAAAAATAAAATTGTTATATTCTAATACATTTTTTATTAGTAATACATTTTTTATTTTTTCAAGATAGGATTACACACAATTAAAATTAATACAGAAAATACGAGATATATCTCTCCGTGTATAAGAAAATCACGAATATTTTTGATTTATCACAAACGTTTTATAATAAATCACGCAACATACTCTTTTGTAAAGTTATATTGATCTTATTTTTAATTGACAGAGACAACTTTATATTTTTAAAAGCTCAAGATAAAACATTTTTATAAATTTTATTTGAAGCAGATATTATGACATTAATTCTTATGTACAGTTCCCAAAATATATCGCAGCTTGTCAAATCAATTAATCTTTTTAAAAAATAATACATCAACAAGCATGTAACACTTCATTTTTTAAATGAAGTGTTACATGCTTGTTGATGTATCATTTTTTAAATGAGTCACAATTTCTAAACAAAAACTTGTTTACTTCAAGTTTGTGTGATCTTTGATTTGCTAATTATCCGCTTCTCTTTGGAATCTTTAACATTCTTATGATCAGAGCTCAAGTTAAATAGCAACTAAATTGCTATTAATTTCATGTAAATTTATATTTGCTTGTTAAAATTGCGTAAAATATAAATTTTAAAATTATAGAGAAGATTTTTTTCAAATTTTTCGACAAAAAATATAGCTGGGTCCACACAAATTTGATTTATAGGATTTATAGGAATTTTTCAACTTCAATCGATCAATCGTCACGTTGGCGACATTTATGATATGTATCTTAATATTCCAGTGAACTATTCGTTCGAGACAGCAGTATAATTTTCTTGTAAATTACTATTGAATAAAAAGTTGATATTCAAGAGAAAACATTGCGATGATTGATCATGCGATTTCAACAGCGCTCTTAATAAGTTTTAAAATACCATGCTAATGGTGTAATCATTATCGAATTAAAGTATGAACTACTTTTTTATTTTACGTGTAATTTGAGATAATAAAGTATAATTTGACTATATGATATATAATTTTATGAATCTCAAGGATAAAAGATCGAATCGCATATTATATGCATTTGATCAAAACGTGCGATAATCAATGATGCAAAATAATGAAGAATGATATGTTTCTCTTTTGAGAGAAATATAAAATAAAAATCTATAAAATGTCTAACATAAAATTCGACTACTTTTTCGCAGCAATTTTTTCCCGTTAGATTCTCCCGTTAGAGTAAAAGTTTACGTCTACGTAAAAAAATTTATGTATTTTAATATAATTAATACTAATTTCTATATATTTTTTAAAAAAGTAAAAATATATATTTGTATAACAAAATACGTTTATATATCTCTAAAAAATATTTATGTAATTATGTAGCATTCTAAGATTTGTACATGCATTATATATGTAATATAATGAATGTTATTATGATAAAATTAAATGTTCCAAAAATGTAAAATTATTATGATAAAATTAAATGTTCCATTTTATAGAGAGCTGAAGCCGGCTCTTATAGAGCCGACATAAGTAAGGTAATGCATCTTACCTGTGGAGTGGCGAGGACAAAGGATAGTGCCCAAGCGAATAGAACGAATCGCGAGCACTTCTGAGACGTATTGAGACCCTTCATCGGATATCGTACCGCGACAAATCGATCGACACCGATCAACACGAGCACGAAGGTGCTCAAGTATAGGCTGAACATCTGTAGGAACTTGAAGAGCTTGCATGCAGCGTTGCCCCATAACCATGCGACGTTGTAACTCCAGATTGCATCGCCGGCCAGGCAAAAGATGGTGACCAAAAGGTCGGCCACTGACAGATGAAGGATGAGCGTGTAGATTGCCGAGCAACCTCGCTGCTTTCGACGATTCTTCGTGATTGAGTATATTGTCGCCGCATTACAGATCAGGCTTAGAACTGACATAATCGCTAACACGATGACTTGGAGATATACCGCTCTGGTCAGTCTAGGCGCGTGTTCCAGACACGTAACATTCTCGAACGATAGGTATTCGGCCGATTGTCCAACGAGACCATTGTTGCTGATGAAGTCGGTGAGGTTGTCGCAGGGATTAGGGAAAATGGTAGAGAGGCCGATAACGTTCACTGACGAACTGTTGTCGCTGCTATTGTTGATGATCGTCGACAGCTTCATCGTTTCCGGCCGCTCGTTCCCTTGAATGTTTTCGATTCATTAGAGGTACGATGTTGACGGTCGAACGCGTGCCTCCATTCTTCTGCAAAATTACACGGTCACCTTAAAAGATGAGATTCTTGTGCACGAGCAACACTTAAGTGGGAAGGATGATCTCAAGAGTCTTGTTGACGATTGTCTTCTTTTAGGCTTCGTCAAACCCGTTTCTACGTTTCTCATCGAAGCGACTGCGTTCGCTTTACGTTCGTTTAGGCGACGTGGGGGAATGAAGCATGTTCTGCGCGAGGAATATAACTATGCGTCAGAATAATAGAGATTCGACGAGAGGGTACCGTGGAGATGTTCGAAGGACATTGTTATCTGAAATGTATAGTAAATGTTATATAATTAATATATATGACAAATGACATCTTATATCGATAATTTGAGAGATGTATTGATTTGTATTAATAACATATTTAAGTTTTAAAAAATGAATTTGTTATTCATATTTATATTGTGTATTTTATATTTAAGTTGTATTATATATATATATATATATATATATATATATATATATATATATTTCATATATGTTCAAATTCTAGGTTATATTCAAAGAATCTATAATGATAAAAAAGTGCGATCGAGATAATTCTACTATTTCCAAGCACAAATTACTATAACTTTTATAAAATATAATCATTTTAATAATAGTTTATATATATAATTATATATTAATATATTAATATAATTATATATGTGTGTGTGTTTGTGTATAAATTTTTAAAATTATATTTATATTTTAAATTATATTTATATATTTATATTAAATTTATAATTATATTTCTTATCTCAATGAATTTTTTAATTACTTTTCTAAATTATTTCTTTTTGTACTGTAATTTTGTACTTTAATTTTATAATATAATTGTATAATATATTATAATTTTAATTCTATATGACATTTTCAAAAATATAAAAAGATAAAAATATAAAAATATAAAAAAATAACAATTCTAATCTTTTATTTTGAATTTGAGAGAGTAATTTTGAACAATTTTACACTTATTTATCAAATTATTTTTTCGATTTATTTACTTCTTACTTATTTACTTATTAACTGAAATAATTTTTTAAATAATTGTAATAAGAAAAAATCTTTTATTGTATTTTAGTTAAAATAAAAGAGCATTCCAGTGTAAAAAAATATAAAGAGAGAAAGAAGAACAAAATATTTATAAATCTTTATTAAAAGATAATTTTATAAATTATTATAAATTATTACATTATATATAGATTATGTATAAAATTATTAGATTATATATAGATTATGTATAAAATTAAATAGAATTTAAATTTAGAGGATGACTCAGATAGCAAAATATAAGTTTTGACGTCAAATTATAACAAAATGACGTCAAAACAACTACTTTTACTATCTAAAGGAATTGATATATTTATTTTATCATTTTTAACAGCGAATAAAGAATTCAGAGCAATTCGATCTGAGATTATGCACGAGTTTTCCTACAGCGACATAAACTGGTTTTGAATAAAAAAATCGACCTTGAACGCTCTTGTGATCTTTCGTAGCTTGTTTATGAAAATCCGAAAGATAAGTGATTCACCAATTATTTTTTGTAATTCTATAAATATTTTTTAATTGATCATAATTTCTATAGAATTACATGTATAAAAGATAAATTTTATATAATATTTGTCCATCCATTTTATATCTTCATCTAAACATAATTCAATAATTTACTCTTAAGTTAAAGACAACTTTAATGTTTTATGTTTTATGTTTTAAACAAATTGTAAATATTATAAAAAGAACAATAATTGAGTTATATTGGATTTTTATACATATTAAATAATTATGTTTTTTATATAAACAATTATTATCAGAGCATTAATCATTTATGATAATTTTCTCGATGGATTTAGATTTTCTTTAATTAGAATTATAGAATATGAGCTGAAAAAAAATTTGTTGTCACTTAAAAATGTTTTCTCGATACATGATCACATTATTTTGTTGATAGATAAAGCATTCTTATTTATCTTACTTCACAAACTTTCCGAAAGTTGCACACGAAAAAAAATAATTTCTTTATATTGTTTTCTTTCTTTAATTTTTTAATATTTTTGAATGTTTAACGTGAACTTAACAGTTAAACTTGAGGGATAAATCACATGTTTTTTGTACAAAACCGAATATGATTTACGACAGCTTGTTTTTACGAAATTATATGCTGCTTTATATACGTGCAAACGCAACGACATCTCATTCACACTGCGTATTCTCGACTGATCGAAAAATTAACATAATTCGATCTCGCTTGTCTGACTTTCGCATGTTGTCTTTCTTCATTGCCTTGATCTTTTCTTTGCTCTTGAACATATTTTATTGAGTGTTATATGACATCTATTGCAATCTAAATTAGACATTTGCTCTGATAAATTTATTCTAGTGCATTATTATACATGTTGAGTGTTTGAGACAATTTATGTCAGCGATACTATATATAATAAATAGCTGTCTTGCAATATAATTAGATTGGTTAGAAAGAGAAGGAGAAAAAAGTTATTTTTAACATTATAAATTCTTATTTCTTCTTCATAAAAAGTTTTATTAATCGTAATAAAACATATATTTTTCGCATTTAAACATAATAGCTTTCTATTTTTGCGGCAATGAATGAAGATACATTAATCCCTGTTTTGGTTTTAAAACCACAGACATATCTACGGTCATTTCCTCATGCGTTTTTATGCTTTTCACTCTCCACTTTCTGAGTATGGCTACTAATATGATCTTTTCTTCCAATATAGCGAATTTCTGTCCGATGCAGTTTCTTGGTCCAGCACTGAACGGGATGTAAGCGTATGGATGTACCTGTTCCAAATTCTCCGGTAAAAAACGATCTGGATCAAACTTTAATGGATTCGACCAGATTTCTGGATTTCGATGAACCAACAGAATTCGCACTGCGACCGAAGTACCTTTCGGAACTATATAATTATCTGAAATAAGAGAATATGTGCAGAGATTAATGGAAAATCTTATAATTCAATTAGTTCACAGAGCCTGGTTTATTCATTCTAAATCCACAAAATGTGCATTTTCCATTGTATCATTATTAAAATTTAAAAACTCTTACCCATTTTTATATCTTCTGATATTTTTCTTAAAATTATGGGTATGCTTGGATATAATCTGCGCGATTCTTTTATAACTCTTTCGAGATATTTTAATTGCGAGAGTTCTTTTACACTAGGTGGTCTTTGCGAATCTTTGAAAACCTCCTTCAGTTCCTCACGAATCTTTTCTTGACATTTGAGATCATTGCCTATACAAAAAAGTGTCCAATAGATGGAAATCGCTGTTGTATCATGACCCTGTTATTATATATTATTATTTAAAATCAAGAATTACATGATATCAACAGATAAAAAAAATAATATCTCAAACAAAAGAATTTTTTATCATACAATTTTTCACTTACTGCAAATAGGAGCGAAGTTACGTGTGCTCTCAAATCTTCATCAGGAAACGAAACATTGTCTTTCTCATTTATGTCCAGAAAACGATCTAGTAAAGTTTTACTTTCCGGTTTGTCTAATTTAATTAAAAATATATTTAATTAGAAGAAAATCACATATGTATGTAATTCAGTTTAAATTAATAAAAAGCGAATAATTTGGTTTCAAAAAAATATGATAATTTATGATTATATAAAGAGTTTTGAAAATTAAAATAATAGATTATGGTCTTATATCTTATATAGGGGGATTTATATCTATAAAATAATAGATGATAATAATAGATTACAAAAATAAATATAAAAAATTTTTTTTAATTAAACACACTTTAAATGTGCAAATATATAATAAAAATTTTATTCTTAATTTATTTTGTACTTTTAAATTTATTATTGTATTTTAATATACAATTTTATAATTTAAAGCTTATTATAATTAAATACATTATAGAAGTGATTCATATAAGAAAAACGTTTGTTTTCTGAAATTATTCTGAGGAATTTTGCTGTATTAATTCGCAAAAAAATTTATAAGAAAAGAATAATAAGGCATTTGACACATTTATAGTATAAATTTATCTTTGTACCTCGTATATGAAAATCATCCTGTTGATTTTGTATTTTAATGTTTTGCATACGTGCGATTTTCTTCTGTCGTATTATCTAAAAATTGTAGTATTATTATTATTTATTAAAATATAATCTGTTTTAAGCAAAATGGCGTAATGATATAAATATGAATTTAACATAACTACGTTATCGTAAATTATTTTTAGTTTTATATAATATTATGATAAATCACTAATCAATATTATAATATAAAATGAATATATATGAATATATATAATATAAAATGAATATATATAAGTATTACTTCTCTCTATATGTTATGACTATGATGATTATTATGTAAATTACTAACAATAATATTTTTTATAGTCGTAAATAAATAGATGATAATAAGCATTGTATACAAAAGAGAAAGAGAGAGAGATATATAAGTATTAGACTAATTAACAACTAATAAGTATTAGATTATTTAATGCAGTAATATGTCTAATTTTATCAGTTATATATAATATAGTGATAGAATATATGTAAATACAAATACAATGAAAATTTATATTTAATATGCAAAACACGGGACATTTAAAAACACTATAAACTAAAAATTTAAAAACATTTAAAACACTAGATCTCAGTGAAGATGATATTTATAATGATTTTTTTATGTTGACCTAGCTGAATACTTTTAGATTGAAGTTCTTACTTTATCTGAACAGCTATGCATAATGTTAATTACTGTTTTAAATTCTTTTCCCTGGGGTAATAAATCATATATCCAATTAAGCCATAACCATGATTGAGATATACGCAACGAAAGTAATTCAAAAAATCTGAAATATATCCTTTATTAATTTTTACATTCAAGTTAAAAGAATACACATATACAAGAATAATGAAATTGTAATAAATTTTTATTATTACTTTATATCCGTCATTATCAACAAGATTTATTTTTGTTTGATTCAATTAGTTATTGCATAACTAAAATTTAATATTTAATTAAATAGATAACGCAAGTATAGTTCATGATAGAATATTTCTTTGATTGAACGAAATACCAGAATCCTAAATAATTGTACTTTTGACGCAAGTATTTAATTTGATACAAAAATATCTCAGCGTTTAAAAATAAAGTATTTGTTACAATATTAATATAATTTTAAGATATATATATATATATATATATATATATATTATATATTACATATGACAGTATACACATGTACATAGCAATATGTATATATATATATTACATATGACAGTGTACACATGTACATAGCAATGCATGTTAAAAAATATAATACAAAATTATTAAAATTATAAAAATTATTAAAAGTATTTACATAAATATTTTAAAAATAAATCGTTATATGTAAATAATATCAAAATAAAAAGCAAAGAATTTGTTTTGTATCAATCTAAATATATAAAAACAAAAAATATTAACTATATTAAAAGTACTTAACTAAGTTAATAATTGTTAATATTCAAAACCATAGTTACAAACTTTATAAAAGTATAAAAATAGAATAATTTTATATATTAAATTATAATAAATTATAATTATAAATGATATAAAAGTATAATGATAAATTGTAAAATTGTAAACTGACCTGTTGCTGGCCAATCGATAAGATGTAACTTCTTCATCATCCAAATTTATACCCATTATAGTTTCTATAATTAATATTTAATTAATATGTAATTATTAATATTTAATCTTTTATGATAAAACTATATATAATATAAGGAAAAAATGTACAATTGTAAAACATCAGCGGATAATTACTAATTACGCGAGTTGTATAATATACAACTTGCGTACTAAGAAACATTGCATTTTTTGTGTTAACAAAGTTTTGTGAACTTGTAACATAAAATTTGTTATTCGATTTTCTTTGTTTTTAATGTTGCTATGTTAGCATGAAATAATAATTCTTTATCGTTAAAATTGCTCATTTATGGGCTTATACATGATTATATTTTCTTTCTCTTCTTTTCTATGTCATGTTTTTACCACATATAATGTTGAAAGTGATTTGTTGTATAAATGGAAAAATATCAATAATTTTCGTTGAATTTTCCTCTATTTCCTTCTCGATACATTTTATTGCAGTTTCCGTTTTTTCGGACATGATGACAATAAATTGTTCCAGTATATTGAAATAAAATGTAGGCCATACTATTTTTCTATATCCATACCATTGTTCAACTGAAATATGCGATATATTTATGGAAGTCACCGCTCTTTTACTTTATATTTTTATATGCTTTATTATTTATATCACTACCTATTACTAGTGAAAATGACAGTCTTTTGTGAAATATATTTTCAAGCTATTTTATTGCTTACCTGGAGCAGTAATAAGCCCATTACCTAGCCATGGTTTTAAGAAGCTATATTGTTCCCCTTTCTCGACATGTGTCTTACTTTGAAGAATGCTCTGTCAATTTATAAGAACAAAATAGTGACTCAAATAGCAATAACAGAGGCATAACGATATATTTCAATGATATTTCGTAAGTTTGCAATTAAAAAAATAGTATTCCGTGTATTTTATCGAGAAAATGATTCTTAATGATATTAAATTTTACGCTATTAATTGTAAAAATTATTTACTCAAGGAAAATAGGCGAAGTATGCCCAGGTATTTATAATAATAATAATAATAAATAATAAATAATCTTCTAGCATTACAAGTTTTGAAATATACTTTATTTTATGAAGAGAAATATATACTTTATTTTATGTGTATATATAGGTACATTCGATGTACATTAAGGTTTCATTGTTCCATAAATGTATTACTTTTTATTTAATATAAACGGGGATGACTTGAGTTGCCTACATTCTCGGTTGCCAATTACTTCGTTTGCGCACAATATTTTGTCGACATTCCCGATTGCCTACATCTATTATTGCGCACACGAAAAAAATAAAATTACGAAAGTATGATTGTGTACATGACAGTATTTGCGCGCATACACATTGCACACATAATATTATTACGCATATGTATATTGCACACATGATATTATTGTACTCGTATATACATATATATTGCACATACGTATTGCACACATAATATTAATACACAAGTGATATTGAACTTTCACATATATAATAAGAAAATAACTTTGCATAATTAAAATTCACGATTAAAAGTACAGACCGATTCTGGATTGTTCAATCCAAAATTCCATTTTGAAATCTTTAATTAATTTGATGGTAAGATTCTCTTATGAGATTCACTTCCGAATTTGATCAACTTTTACAGGCATTAAATGAAGTCGAATGCAAGAATGAATGTGTGCAGAAACGTTTACTTCTGATATTTTAATTTTAATTATCTTTTTAAATTAATAATATTTAAGATTTCTATGTAGAAAAAAATATTAGAATTCAAAAATATTTTGGATTATACTTTGGAAATAGAAGTGGATCTCGCTTCATGTGAAAGTCGATAACCCATGTGAAACAAAACAATTAATGACCTCGTTTCGGGTCGTAAGCATGGAGGCTACGAGATAGACTTTGTTTCACGTGGAAATCGAAAATCTAAGTGGAACAAAACAATTACCTCATTTAGGGTCGCACTATATTCGACCCACACAGCTCTTCAAAGAATCAATCCTACAATTGAAAAATTCAACAATAAAAATAATAAAAATTTGAATACTTCAAGAACAAGACGTTTCTTTTCATTCGCACTTGTGGGATTCGACTTCATTTAGTACGTATTACATGTCTGTAAAAATTGATTAAATTCAGAGATGAATCGCATACAAAAGTCTTCACCAAAATATCAAATGAAAAAATTGTATTTCTATTTTTTACATGAAATAATATCATGTGTGCAATGTGTATGTACGCAATAATATCATGTGTGTGCAATCTGCATATATACAATAATTTCATGTGTGCAATGAGCATGTGTGCAATAGAATCATGCGTGGAAAGTGTTAATATGATTTTCTTATTTTATATGTGCAATAATACATGTAGACAATCGGGAATATTGGCAGTAGGTTTACTCATTAAGAAAGAAAAAGATAGCTATATCGTAACGATAACGACATCGTCGTTACATAGTTAGAGAATCGCCCTATAGAAAAAGCTGTCGGCAAAATGTTGTACGCAAACGAAACAGTTGGCAATCGGGAATATAAGTAAACAGGAGCCCTTCATATGAACGTATTTAATATATAATTTATTATTTACACATGTATTGAGAATGTATTTATTAATGGTAATCTATTATAATTATCATTATTATTATTATATAATAATGTTTTCAAATTATTTCTTACCTTTATACATTCTGGTGTAATTGCGCAAACTATTGGATGTAGTCCAATCCAAACTGTATAAAGTCCACTTTTATTTTTGTTTTGAAGCAATTTCTTATGCGCTGCGTCAAATAAGTAATATAGTTTATGTAATATGCGTTATACAGAGTGTCTTAAAAGTCCCGGACCGGTCGAATATTTCATAAACTATGCACTTTAGAAAGAAATGTTTCAAACAAAAGTTGTATGGCTTGAAGGAGACCATCAGATAGTGGCAATGATTTGACATGGGAGAGCCATTTGAAAATCACGTGAAGATCACTGTCAATTTCTTAAATGGAACCTCTTGAAATCATTTCTTAATTTTGCATAAACCATAAAATATCTAGTAAAATATTCATTTTTTGATTATCTTATCTTAATACTTTTATGTATAAAATAATGAGAGGAATCAATTGGTCTAAAGAAAAAACATAGTCCGGTCCGGAACTTTTCGGACACTGTATAGTTTATATAATATGCTTTTATATTATGTGCGTTTATATGTGCGTGTATATGCTTCTTGCGAATTTATATATATAAATAATACATAGAAAATGCTAGTAAATCTTTTTTACCTTCTGGTCTGATCTTACGTAGTAATTGATATAACGAACGATTAGTTCCAGGAATATGGCTGAGTTTTATTCGCATGGTGTAGTAGACATACATTATCCATGTAATCTTATAGAATATAATCACAACAATAGCGAATATTATCACTAGGAGGAGACTCATCGTTCTAGTTTGTGATTATTACAGAAAGTAATTCAATTTACACAAATAATCAATTTTTATATGTCTTTTCTCTTATATAATCTTTTACGCAAGATTCCGATGGATCTAAATATTTTTTCAGGTTTGTTTTTTTTTATAAATGTAGGAGATCTGTTATTTATTTGCATTTATACGTATATATCTATATTATGTGCATTTTAAATATAATTTATTGCTTTTATAAATGGTTTATTTTCTTTGTAAATGTATGAGGTCTGTTATTTATGTGCATTTAATGCGCGCATATATCTATATTATGTGCATTTTAAATATAACTTATTGCTTTTATAAATATATTTTTTATACAGTTGGGCATTACTGACAGGCGAATTTATTTTCTGTTTAAATATTATGTGCAGTAGTTAATTGTAATTCTCTGTTCTTTGTGTCTCTTATGTTAATTATTCTTTTAAGAGTTGTGTTGTTACTGATAGACAACATTTTTACTTTACCAATTATTCATGAAAAAGAATCAGATCTGTATAACTGATAGTAAAAAGAACAGAAGAGAAAACGGTACATTAAACAGTATGTTTAAAATGATACAAGTGAACACACGTGCACACACAGATATACATAAATGTTAATATAGTAAGTAATCATTTAATTCATTATCAGTAATTTCACACTTGCATCGATATAACATTGTATATTATTTTTTAGAATAATGCAGCTCATATTATACTTCAAGCTATATATCTTGAATATAACGTATTTAAATATAATACAGATTTATTTAATGTATTTCTCTTTGTAATCTTATATTTTTAAATAATAATCAGAAAAAATAATAAAAAAGGTTAAAAACCAAATGTTGAATATTTTAAACGGAAATAATAATTTAAATAATTTAATAAATAATAATTTTTTAACGGAAATAATAATTTAATATAATAGAAGTATAAATTGATTACAACGTTCGTAAAAACTTTGAAAATTCTCTACATTATATAAATAATAATTGAAAATTGTTGACAGGTGTTAACATTTTAATCCATTCCGGATCATTTTCAATGTCATCTTAAATTACATAAAATATACTACGTAAGTAGGCGTATCGGAAAGTGGCATTCGGAAACGGATGCAAACAAAATATAAGAGAGATATAAAATAGAAAAACGAACTGTCTAATAATTTGAATAGTTCAATATCATGATAATATCAATTTTCATCTTTGACCGCACATGTATGTAAAAGTATTATTTTATGCTCGGTAATGTATATATGCTCGGAAATATTTGTCGGAAAAGTGTCGCTTACTTTATATAATAATCTTCAGAACTGACGTTTCCCTCGAAAATGATACGCTTTGTATGATTCTGCGTTAGCTTGTCAGTCCTTCCTCTCTATCGATAAAGATTTCCTTTCTATCGAAGAGATCAGAAAGATAATGGAGCTAGAGAATGAGAAATGTATGCATGATGATACTTATCTTTATGTACACGTATATACGAGCTACCTCGTTTACTCATCTTTGGCTTATGGCTTTGTTGTGCATGACTTTAATAATTTTGTACATAACAAAGTATATATCGGAAAAATAGTCCAAATCGAATATAAAAAGGAAATTTGCAACGAACAGATATTAATTTTTCATCAGTTTTCGTACAAGTAACCAATATCTCAGCAGTCTTGACGGGATTTCCAAACCCAGGAAGAAACCAAAAGAATAATCTTTATTTAAAATAATAAGTCACAAAAATTTTTTAATTATTTTTGCCTACAATTTGAATTTTTAAATCCAGTTTGATTTTTAATGGACCTTTTCCACTAAAAAAAAAATCATGCAAAGAGGATCTGCTACCACTAGAATCACCGAATCTGAAGCCTCTTGATTTGGACAGCGTCCAATTCTTCGAGTGGGATAGATTTAAGCTGACTCAATCTTAGCCACTGTCTAAAATAAATAATATTAGCGATTATAATTAATCTCCGAATTCTCCTTCCTTTTTCTTTCCAAGTTACTCTTCTGTATATGACACTGAATCTGACCTTCCTTCTTCAAAAGTTTTACTATATAATTCTCTCCCTTTTTCTCCTCCGAGAATATTTCTCCTCTGAATTATTCTGGAATTAACCTCATCTGCCCAGACTTAAACATATACCTTAATCAATTTCCTACTCATTAACCGTATTCTTTGAAGACTTTTTCATAGGGAGAATCTTAGAAGAATTTCAGAAATTTCTAAATGAAAATCTCCTCGGTTCAGTCATTTCTATCTATATTTCGTAGAATAACTCTTATAATTCTCTCCATAGAAATAATATATTCTTCTTCCTCATTCACACATCTGTTTAATATTAAACATATATATGTACATATTTTTATTTTTTATTGACTCCAAGATTTATGTAATTACGAGATAGAACATAAAGATAACGACAAAATATATATAAGATATATAAGAATAATAAGATTAATTCTGTCCCTATTTTGCTCTGATTTCCTGTTCTAATTTTGTTCTAATTTCTAATACAACATAGTTGCATCGTTTTAGTATTATTAAATATAAATTAAAATTTAATTTCAATTTAATGTATAAAATTAACGAATAAATTTGAAAATATATTTTTATTCACATTTATTAATTAGCTCTCATTCCCGCTGTAGATCGTACTTGGTCTCGTTCTGTGTAAAAGAGATTCTTTTACCAAAACAGGATCATCAAATGAACTTTCGAAACAGCGATTCGAAATAGCGAAAAAAAGTAATTTATTTATTTTTCAAGCCTTAGAATTCGTTTGACTTGAGTCACCTTTTATTATGTGACTTCAGGATTATACAATTGTTACGCTTTTTCCTTGATATATCCTTTCTCGGTCTAAATGTAACATAATACATAAAGCATTATTATTTATGCATAATCTTATCATTTACTGGTTGACTCTCGAGCAGTAAGATTACGATACATTTCATATATGTAATACAATAAAAGAGATTTTCAATAAATCTTATTAATAAAAAAATGTAAAGAGAGCAAGAAAGAGAAAATATTTATAAATCTTTACTAAAATAAAAATAATTTTATAAATTATTAGTTAAATTATTAAATTACGCATAACATTAAATTAGAGTTAAATAGAATTTATTTTTGAAGGACGACTTACGTAGCAACAGTATAAGTTTTAATGTCAAATTATACCAAAATGACGTCAAAACGATTACTTCCACTATCTAAAAGAACTGATACATTTATTTTACTATTTTAACAACGAATAAAGAATTCAAAGTAATTCGATCTAAAATTATGCACGAGTTTTTGTACGATAAACCGGTTTATTGTTGTACAAAAACTCGTGCATAATTTTAGAATAAAAAAGTCGACTTCGAACACTCTTGTGACTTTTCGTATTTTATTTATGAAAAATCAAAAGCTAAATAATTCACCAAACATTTTTATAATTCTACAAATCTTTTTTAATTGATCATAATTTCCATAGAATTACATGTATAAAAGATAAATTATAGGTAATATTTGTCCATCCATTTTATATTTTATTTAAGAGAATGAGTCATTAACATATTCTTAAGGTAAAACGATTTCGAAACAAAAAACAATTTTAAATGTTAATTAAAAATAATTTTAAATGTTTTAAACAATTTGAAAATGTTGCAAAAAACATTATTGATTTTATACATATTAAATAAATGTTTTTTTAAAATATAAACAATTATTATCCGAGAATTAATCATTATTAATGATAATTTTTTTGATGGATTTAAATCTTCTTTTCCTTTATTAGAATTATATAATGTGCTGAACAAAAAAAATTTTTTGTCACTATAAAATTCTCTTCCGACATAATCGCATTATTTTCGTTGATAAAGCGTTTTTCGTAGATAAAGCATTCTTATTTATCTTACTTCACAAACTATCCAAAAGTTGCACTCAAAAATAATTTCTCTATATTCTTTTCTTTCTTTATCTTTTTAATATTTTTGAATGTTAACGTAAACACTTGAAAATTAAACTTGAGAGATAAATCACATGTTTTTTCTACAAAACCGAGTACGATTTACGATAGCTTGTTTTTAACATATGAAATTACATGTTGTTTTGTGCACACGCAAATGCAACGACACACTGTGTATTCTTGACTGATCAAAAAATCAATTCTGTTTCGCTTGTCCGGCTATCGTATGTTATCTTCTTTTATTGCCTTGATCTTTGTTTTGGTTCTAAACATTTCATTATTTTACGACTTATTATTATTTAACGACATCTATCTAAATTAGACACTTAATGATAAATTTATTCTAGTGTATTATTACACATATTGACCGTTTGAGGCAATTTATAGATCAGCGATACTATAATATATATATATATATATATATATATATATATAATAACTAAATATATATAATAAATAGCTGTCTTGTGATATAATAAGCCTATAGAAATAGGTTTTTTGCTTATAAAATTTTTGTATATAAATTCTTATTTCTTGTTTATAAAAAGTTTCATTAATTATAATAAATCATATATTTTTATTACAGTATTAAACATATGATTTTACACATTAAACATAGCTCTTTACTTTTCCGGATTTAATAGATGAAGATATATAGATTTCTAACTTGGTCACAAAACGTTAGACTTGTGCATGGTCGTTTCCTCATGCGTTTTCATACTTTTCATTCTCCACTTCTAAGTATGGTTTCTAATATGGTTTTTTCTTTGATTATAATGAATTTCTGTCCTATATAGTTTCTTGGTCCAGCACCGAACGATATGTAAGCATATAGATATATCTGCTCTAGATTCTCAGGTAGAAAACGATCTGGATCAAACTTTAGTGAATCCGATTAGACTTCTGGATCTCGGTGTCAACAGGATTCGTGTTGTGACTGAAGTACCTTCCAAAATTATATAATTGTCTGAAATAAGAGAAAATGTGCAAAGTTTAACGGAAAAATTATATTTTAATTCTGCAAATGACGGAATCAAAGAAAATATTATATAGCTGAAGAAAGAAACTTTAAATGTCTCTTGAAGAGAGTTGATAATCAAAATTTATATTTTCTTTACATTTAAATTTAAAAACTTTTTATTCTTCGATTAATAGTGTAGTCTAAATATATTTTTCGAAGATAGATTGCTATATATAATCATAATTCGTTTTTACATTGTATCGGTTTCTTTTATTTCGAATACTTTGAAAGTACAAATAGTTTATAATTTGAAAAGTAGATATTTATTGTGTAAAACATTTATTTATATTTCTTTTATCAATTATTTTAACGTAAGCAAAACATAAAGATATTTTGATGTCAAACAAATTACTAATATATATATTACACTATATATTCTTTAAGTTTCAATCTTCCAAGAATAAATGTTAACTAACATTTGCATTTCACATTGAATTTTTTGTTTATTTTCAAAGATTTATAGCATTATTAAAATTTAAAAGATCTTACCCATTTTCTTCCGACATTTTTCTTCAATTGAGGATATGCAAGGATATAATCTGCGCAATTCTTTTATAACTCTTTCGAGATACTTTAATTGCGAGAGCTCCTTTACACTGGGTAGTTTTTGCGAATCTTTGAAAATCTTCTTTAGTTCTTTATGGATCTTTTCTTGATATTTGAGATCATTACCTATACAAAAAAGTGGCCAATTGATAGAAAGCTGTTGTGTCATAACCCTGTTATTATATATTATCATTTAAAATCAAGAATTATATTATATCAACAGATAAAAAAAATAAATTCTCAAACAAAAGAATTTTTTACTGCAAAATAATTAAAATAAAATAAGATAAACATCAAGAATAAAAACATTTTAGTAGAGGTTTTTTAGTTATAAATGTTTGAAAATTTGAATAAAAGGTTGTATAAAGAAAAATATTACTGATTTTACATCAGCTGTTACGAGATAAGCTTCTGTGTGAGATAAGATTCTACTTATGTGTCACGGTGTATTTTGATAATGATTCTATCGACATAACTAACGCACGACCGAGATGCCGAATTAACATGCTTGAGGTGCCAAAAATGTTCGTACTTGATTTTCGTTTTATTTTATCATAAAGAATTATCCCGTAAATTTGAACCCCTCTATTGCCGAATACTCCGTATAAGTATTATTTCTCTCTATATGTATTATGGCTACGATAATTATTATGAATTATTATGATAATTTTTATGAAATTATTAACAATAACTTCTTTCTGTAGTCGTAAATAAATGATAATAAACAGATTATATACTGAGAAGATAAGCTGAGAAAGATAAGCATTTGACTAAATAAACCAACTAATAAATATTAAATTACTTAACGTAGCAATATATTTAATGTTACCAGTTATATATTAACAATATAGTAATAGAATACAGTAATAGAATAATATACTAATATAGAATATATACAAATACATACAAATACATATAAATATATACAAATACAATGAGAATTTATATCTCACATATAAAGAACGAGACTTAAAAATAGATTTAAAAATACTAAATCTCCAGTATAGATGACATTTATAGTGATTTCTTTATATTGACCTAATTGAAACACTTGAAAATTGAAGTTCTTACCTTATCTGTACATACTAGCTATTCATACTGTTAATTGCCGCTTTAACTTCTCTTCCCTGGGAAATAAATCATATATCGATAACCATGATTGATCCATATGTGCAACGAATATGATTTAACAAATCTGAAATATATTTTTTGTTAATTTTTACATCCAAGTTAAAAGAATACCCAGTAAAAATAATAAAATTATAAGTTTTTATTATATTTTATTCATCCGTTATTATCAATAAGATTATTTACTTTTGTATGATTTTATTTAGATATTGCATGATTAAAAATTTAATTAAATAAATAATGCAAGAATAGTAAGAGATATTTCTCCGATTGGACGAAATATCAGAATCCTAAATAAAAAATGTTTAATTTGTTACATATACCTAAGCGCTTAAAAATAAAATAATATAATAATAATAAGGAAAAAATATATAATTATAAAAAATCAGAGGATAATTATTAATTATGCAATTTCTATAATATATGCCTACTTGAAAGCAATGAACTTTTTAAGTTAACAAAGTTTTGTAAACTTGTAACATTCATTATTCGATTTTCTTTGTTTTTAAAATTATTATGTTAGCATGAAATAATAATTTTCTACCGTTGAAATTGTTTATTTATAGGCTATTTTAGACTTACACGATTACTTTCTTTCTCTTCTTTTCTTCGTTGTATATTCTTACCGTACATAACATTCAAAGTCTCTCTTGCATAAATAGAATAATATCAATAACATTCGTCGAATTTTCTGTTCTTTTTTCCGCTGCATTTTATTATACAATTTCCGTTTTTTCGGACCTGATGGCAGCGAATTTTTCCAATATATTAAAATGAAATGTAAGCAAAAATATTCTTCTATGTTTATATCGTTGTTCAAATGAAATATGCGATGTATTATACTTATGTATTACAAAAAGGCCGCTCTTTTAGTTTATATTTTATTTTTTACACTATTTTATTTTATACTACTAGCTATAACCAGTAAGAGAAGTAAAGTTGACAATTTCTTTGTAAAATATATCTTCAAAGTGCTATTCTATTATTTACAGAGCAGTAAGAAGCCCATTATCTAGCTATGGTTTTAAAAAGTTACATATTTCCCGTTTCTTGACATGTATGTTACTTTGGAGAATGCTCTGTAAATTTGTAAAAACAAGATAATAATTCAAATGGCAACAGGGGCATAATAATACATGATATTTCGCAAGTTCGCAATTAAAAGAATATTGTGTACATTTTATCGAGAAGATGGTTTTTAACGATTCTGATTTTTATACTATTGATTATAAAAAATTATTCACTTAAGAAAGACAGGTGAAATATACCCAGACATTTAATAATTTGTTAGTTTACAAATTTTGAGAAATATATATTTCATTTTATGTGTATTAAATACATTCGATGAAGGTAGAGTAACCCATTCAGATCCTATGTACACAATTATGTAGAAAACTTTAAAATCATGTGAAATAGTTATTTTTTAGAATTAGTTTCCCTGCGATCTCTCGGTGGACTTGGAAATTTCTAACAGTTATAAATCATAAAAAAATCTTAGCATCAATAAAAATTAATTCAATAATTTTTTACATTAGCTAACCAGAAAAAATTCAGGTCTGAATGAGTTAAGATTTTTGTTGTTCCATAAAATTCTTAATTTTTATTTCATATGCATCAAATCATCTAATAATATAATATATATCCAATATGTAAAATTTATTACTTACACATATATTAAGAATATATTATAATTATCATCATGTAATAGATTATCATTTTAATAATGTTTTCAAATTATTTCTTATTTCTCTATAAATTCTGTTTTAATCGCGTAAACTGCTACTGGATGTTATCCAAATTGTGTAAAGTCCATCTTTATTTTTATATAGAAGCAATAGAAACAATTTTATATGCTTTGCGTGAAAGCAATTAAATTAACAATTAATATAGTTTACATAATATACGTATGTTTATGTTATGTGCATGTGTGAATTTATACATATAAATAACATATAGAAAATGTTAGCAGAATTTTTTTCCTAAGGTCTTCATATATAATATTTCAAAAAAGGAATGATCAACAGTTCCGGGAATATGGTTGATTTTTTTCATGGTATAAAGAGCACACAATCCATGAAATCTTATAAAATATAATAATAGCAATAACGGATATTATCAGCAAAAGCAGACTGTTGTAGTCTGCGGTTGACAAAAAGCAATTTACAAATTGATCTTTATATATGTATAGTCTCTTTATATAGTCTTTTATGCAAAAATTCCGATATTCCAAATATTTCTCCAAATTTGGTTTCTTTGTAAACGTATGAGATCTATTATTTATATATTATGTGCATTTTAAGTATAATTTATATCTTGTATATATTTTTTACAATTGCATGTTATTGATAGACAAATCTACTATTTATATATTATGTGTATTTTAAGTGTAATTCGCTTTTCTCTTTCTCTCTTTTATATACGTTATTTTCTTTAAAGAGTTGAGTTATTACTAATAGGCAAAAATTTTTATTTTACGACTTATTTTACGACTTATTTGTGAAAAACGGTTTATGTATCTGATAGCAAAATGGACAGAATATAAGACGACTTATTAAACAGTACGCTTAAAATAATACAATACTTGGACGCACACGTATAAACAGAGAGATAAATGTCAGATAGTAAAGATAGTAAAGTCTTTAATTCATTAGTAATCCCACATTTGCATTGATATTGCACATTATTTTTTATAATAATGCAGTATATTTCACAAGACATATATATTTTGAATGTAATGTATTTAAATCTAATGTAAATTTAATGTAATGTATTTCTCTCTACATCTTGCGTTTCTAAATAAAAAAAATATCAAGAGATAAATTTTAAATTTATTTAGACGAATAAAAATTATCATACATTATCTTGTTTTTCTCTAAGAATCTTCATGCCTATTTATGATTAGTTAATATTTTCGTTTTTGTCCACGTGCGCCAACTTTCTGATAAGCAGAAGCAGAACGTTGGTACAAAAACATACTGTAACTATTAGCATATATTACAGTAATTAGCAGTCTACAAGAAATTATTATCTTTTTAAAATTCTCTGTAAAGTTTAGTCTCTTTTTGGCTTTCATTTTTTCTTACTTGATGGAAGATGTAAAATTTATGGATTAATATTCTCTAATCAGAAAAGTACACTTGATTTATTAATTATACTTATTGTATAATATGAATAATTAAGCACTTATGCATTGATATTTGCATTAATAAAAATGGTAGTAAAATATATATATATGTATGTAATTAATTGATATAATATATTATAATAAAATAGTAATATATTCAATTTTGAATATTTCATGTTTATCGCTTTGTATAATAATTATTTATTTACATAATGTGGAGGAATAAAGATTGCAATACATGAATAGATGTAGTGTCATTAATCAATGACAACTTTAATCAATAATAACGAGTAAACAACAATATGCTTTACATGTGCAATGATTTCAACAATAAATATAGATTTGTATGTTAATATATTGTCAGAGTTACAGTTAAAGTAGGTAAGGAAATATATTGTCAGCCTTCACGAAGTCGATAATAGAATCAAGGCATCGTTATTTTATTGGATATCGATGCATTTCAAATCCTCATTATATTCTGACGCTATCTATCATTCTATTTTCTATCAAATTTTATCTATTGTTTTATGCATATAATTATGTTTATACTAACATTTCGAGTTATCTAAAAATTTTATAAATTGAAAAATGTGATTTATTATTATGATGAGTGATAAAATAAATGCAATTGTATAATCTATGTTTAAGAATATCTCTATCGGAGAAAAACTGTTATACAAGAGCAATTGCAAAATGATTAAAAAGATGCACGGAAAAAATAAAAACTCTGTCAAATATCTAGGAAAAATATGGGAAGAATCATCGCATTTTTATTCATATTTATTTTTCATATTTATCTTTTAATAGAAAATTATTTTATAATTATTTTTTTCATTATATGACTTTAAATTCTGTTAATTTAAAATTTGCAAGT